CCCCCCCCACTTCCCAGCCCCCCCGCGCGCTAGCGAGCCTGTCTGCCGCTACCTGCGCGGGGCGGCTGGCGGTCGCCGCGCTAGAAGATAGAAGATCTGGTCGACAGGACCCAGGTACGGGTCCGCGGCCCCATCTTTTCGCGCTTTTTTCGCGGTGCACGGCAACGATCCGTTCCGGCCGGGCAGCCAGTCGCGCTGCTCTGCCGCGAAGCTACTGCTGGCGACCCCTGCTGTCGGTGCGGGGCGCCGGGGCGCCGGGGCTGCTGGGGTGCAACTTTGATTGTGGCGCGCGGGCGCGGGGTGTCGCCATCCCAATTCCCTCTTTTGTCTGCCGAGCGGGGAGGGGGCGCACCAGGACGTCTGCGTCTGCGTCCGCGTCCGCGTCTGCGCTGCGGCCGAGTTTCGATTCGTGCCTGGTGTGTGGTATCTGGTGCCTACTCAGTATATGGTGTCGGCTGACGTGCGCGCCCTGTTGATCTCAAATCTCTGGACCACAAGACGTCAGCCAGAAGTCCGCTATCCAGGGAAGACGCGCGCGCTCGCAGGGCAAGCGCGGAGGAAGCGGGGAGCCGCAGCGGGTGCAATGCAGGTGCAGGTGTGGTGCTTGCCAGGCGGCTGCGCGGTCGCCGGTGCCCTGCCCTTAGAGTTAGGCTGCCCTGGCGGATGTCGTGCCGGGAACCAGTAGGGGCAGGCGCAGGATGCCTGTGGCAACGGCTCACGCACTAGTGGTGGCGATCGCGGCCTTCTGCGTGTTCGGGTGTGCTGCCCGGCCTCGATGCCATGACAATTGCTCAGCACGCTAGACGGCGGACGGTGGCGATGGACGGTGGACGGTACACGGCCGTAGAACTGACTGTTCGAGGCGGCAGGCGGAGAGGCTTGACAGATGTGCAGGTAGTGTTCTTCTCGCCGCAGTAAAGCTTGCGTGACGGCGCGGGCTATATCCCTGAGCGTCCATGAGGAGCTCGTCTGACACCGCTAGAGGGCCTGAACCTTCGTACCCTTGGCGCTCTGATGGTGTGTATCGAGTTACCGTATCGCGCGCGACTTCTTCTGGCATTAAGATACCCAAAAGAGAGAGAGAAGAGAGGGGAAAGAAACAGAGTAACTGCCTGTCTGATCTCTACGGCGCGTGGCTGCCCGCGGTCACGGCGGATGCCCAACGCGGCGGCAGAACAGGGTTTTGGGTGATGCATCGGCGAAGACGAGCCCCGTGAGCGGTTTCAAGACGCCGCGCTGGGCTTCGCGCGAACAAGATCTGGGGAAGCTGGCCGCTTCTCTTCGATCGATTGCACATTTGCGAGGACTGCGGAGTAAGTTCGACGGCGGGCGGCGGTGGGCGCGATGTGCCCCCAATGGATGCGGCGGTGTCGGGCGGGCGGCGTCTACGATGAAGAGTGCATTGATGTGTATCTACGAACGAACACTCCTACGCAATACAACGCGGGGCCGCCATAGACAGCGTTAGAGCACTCCATTGACCGACCCTTCGACGTGTGCGTGAACAATAACGAAGGCGTCATGAATTATCTCTTGCTGTCTTGTGAGTCGCCACGACGGTCAAGGCCACCAACCCAAATTGGGCACAAGGCGGCCAAAGCGGTAGTCATCAGTGGCCGGCCACTTATTGTAGAGGGTCCGGCTGGGCCGAGCCACAACTCTCCCCGTACCTACAACCACAACATGGATAGCGATGAACATCCGGTATATCACGAGCGTCGACTGTCTACGACCGACGTGAGTTCCTTGGGTAACACACTCCTTCAGGCTTCGATCTCCGCGCGGGGAAGCGCGCAGGGGGAAGACCAATGCCACAACGTGCCGGCACGAAATACGGCGGGTTTCAGGCCGCCGACAGAAGCCTCGACGCAGGAGGACTCATGGCCGATGGGACCGCCGCAAGAGATCCCTGCGCAACGCCATCCAGCGGTCCCGCCACGAAGCCCAACGCCCTTCGGACCGCCGCCAGAAGAGGCAACAGCATCTAGCCACAGGGCAGCGACTCCCATGCCGCCGAGCCCTATTCCGGGAAGACGGAGGCGCGCGCGGCCGCCGCCAATGCCTGAGCCACCCATAAAGTGCCCAAACTGGATGGCGGTGTCGGACTTCCAAGGGCGACGAGGAGATACGGACAAGGCGCCACCGACGCCCAGGGCACCCGCGGGGCGTTCGGACCCAAAGCGGGGCCGGGGGCTTCTGCAAGCGATGAAGGAGGCCGATATCAAGGTTATTGCGCGGACGACCGATCTTACGCATGACAGTGCGTATCGGTGGCTCATCCCATGCCTTTTGTCTGACACCATAGGACTAGAGGTCGGTGCGTACCAGGCCACAATGATCGATCCGTGGCTCCTGGACCAGGAGGTCCTCAAAGACAGCACGGCCTTTCTGGCGCGTGTGGCCGTCGAAGATACTCTGCATAACAAACAGTCAGTCAACTGATGCCTGCGAGAGTGCGCTGCTGACGGCAACGAGATAGGCCTCGTATTCAAGATGTAGGAGATCCTGAAGATATAGTGGACGAGGTATTAATGCGCTATGTGAGTCTCTTTCGGGCTGAGAAATGGGCCCCGATACTCAGGCCGTCTTCAACAGAGGGTGTACATGGGTCTTACCTTGATGGACGACGTACCAGGGCCCCACTTCACCTTTGTCGACCCGCTGCTGGCCATAAACGCTGGCGGAATGGCGAGGCAGGCTATGAAATTGGTTCGTCTTTTTGAGGCTGCAGCAAACGGAGAGCGTGCGAAGGTAGAGGATCAAGTAATAAGTAACGAAGATGTAGAGGACCAGAAGCAGGAAATCAACTGCGGGGACGCGGACAGCCAGGGAGCAGGCCGTCAGAGATTGAAACGCAAAGATATCATTGTCTGCGTATGTCGCCCAGTTTACGTCGGAAAGCTGCCGCTGATAATGTCTGGTAGATCCCGGCCAACACTGAAGGCATCAAGGCGGCTCGGTGGCTAGAAACTCAGGATATCAAAACTAACCTCATCTTCGTATCGAGTCTGGAGCATGCATCGTTATGCATAGAAGCTGGCGCAACTTTCATCACGTTTAACCTGAAAATGGTGAGTCCCGGCTACTATGCAGAGCACATAGCCGAACTGATACGGGTGTAGTTGGCCAAATGCGAGATGGAGTGGGCATACGCAAAGTCCGGAAGTACACAGATTGCTGAAATAGTCGATGCACAGTGCCGAGCTGCGGCCCTCGATACAATCCGTATAGTTGCAGCCTATTGTCATTATAACAAAGTGAAAACGGAGGTGCTGGTGGCGAACACGAGGGTCAGCATATCCTCTGCTTATATGAAACGAAATCTCAACTGATCTGCTCGCCATGGTAGCTCTGCGACATCCAGTGGCTTGGCGATGTTAAAGGTGTAGTTTTGCATGACTATCAAACACAGGACGCCATTTCCGAAAACGGCTGGATTAGGGAGACGTCCCCGGCGGTGTGCGCGGTGGCGCGAGCGGCGAAGTACCCGACCACGTACGTAGGGCAGAAGGGAGTGAAGGAAAGGTACGTAAAAGCGCTTCCACCAAGACCACAGTGGCTCGCAGGGCGCATGCTATTTCTCGGCTTGGACGACATCATGAAGAGCTTCCGCGAGCTGACGGACCACATGCAAGCGCTTCTTGAGAATGGGCTGTTAAAAGGCTTGAGCGTTGAAGAGCTCCAGCAAATGTACTTTCCGGACATCACCAATCAGAAAGCTTATGAGGCCCAGCTCGAGCAGGCCGAGAACGAAGGGCACCCGACATACGTGCGAAACCCGGGGGCGAGGACAAATCACTTGGGGTATCGACTTTACGACATCAATTGGGACAAGCCAGAAAAACCGGTAGAGCAAGATGGTCGGCTTGAGGCCGATAACGAGCTGATGTCTCTCAGCTCAGAATAACCAGGAGGCGCCGTCCGCTCGAAGTTGGGACACGCAGCTATTGATCTGTCATCTGACCAAACAGTTTCGTCAGAAGGAGAACCTCTGGTAGCAGACTGCTCCCGTCTTCCCGGCGAAGAAATGGATGCATTGATCTGCTGGCGAAAGCGCGGTGTCGCACGGTAGGGGATCTCGGAGAACACTGTAACTCAAAGTGATGTTATCTGTATGACAATTTTTGGTGTCTGGAACCTGAGACTGCGGTGACTCAGAGAAGTCGTTCGAGATCCGCACTCGAACCTGATCAAACGAGAGCGAGCTTTTTCCAGGAGCGCAGTGAAGCGCGTCCGCGATCAGCGCTTCCTACATGAGGCCTCGGCTGGACCGTTGCTAGCAATTTTGACCCTGAATTACCGTGACGACAGGCGAGTGTAATTGCTTTGTCGATAAGACAATGCTCACCTCGCTCTGTAGGCATGTCGTCGGCGCCAGGCAGTGGGAGCAAAGGGCTTCCCAAACTACGGTTCTAGTCCGCGGCAGGGCTAGCCAATTCAGTTTGCTTACAGATGCGGTGCTGTGGGATGATAGTCCTGCCAGTCCCGCGAGGTTTTACACGTTCCGACCGTGTAGAACGTGGTGCATCTGCTGAAACACGGAGCGCCCTAAAGTCATACCTAGAATAGAAAACGGGAAGAGATAGGAATGCCTTGCTTCCGAAAGAGTTCCGGCTATCTGACACTCCACCGTATGACTTCAAGCAAACTAGGAACGGAGGGCCAAAATCGACTGCCATAGTCGCACCACACAGCGGCAGGGAGAATTGTAGACGAAGACTCACCGAATGAAGAGTGCGATCAGCGCGGTGCTACCTCATAGAAGAAAGGCCCGTCGCAGAGGTAGACCTGCTATTTTTGTCAGGAAATTCTGCGTGTCAAGCTGCAGCTTATTATGTGTGACTTGACGCCTCACGGCGTTATGGTGCGCACAGTTGCTTTCAGGAATGCGCACTCTGGCTTGCCTATTGCTATATGGGTATTTGAGGAGCGTCGTCGACACACTTCCTGTTAGTTTCAGCTCGACGGCGTAAGCTAGGTGAGGCCGCGGCCCTGAATTTCAATTGAGCGGGTAGACAGTAAATTATCCATCATTCTTACACATGGCTGTGGGGAGGTGAACCTCGTCAGTCGATGGCGAATGAAGAATAGGTGGCTCCAGCGACGGAGCTCTGAGGATCTGAGCTCCTCACTCCTGACAAATAGGTTCATTGAACCATGGTAAGTAGGTTGGATTTCCAAGCGAATAGACTACCATCTTCAACAGACGCTGGCGATCTGCAATTGATCGGGTAACAAACTGGAGTAATAATTTGGACTAATGGGCGTCTGATTGTACTTACCCAATGAGACCAAGAACAGCAAGCGCTTCATCATTGCAAACCGCCATTTCTGCGCTGTCAATCGTTTCAGCCTGTGCGTTCTCACTGAAACACCATTTGACCCCATTCCGTATAAACCTGCGTTCTCTTTGACGGCGCTGACGGTTTATACTGGGTCTAGGTGCCTGGGAGGACTACTGCCACTTGCGTATTATACATTCCGACGAAAGTATCAGCGAAAGATCCATAGTTTTGGCGATTGAAGGCTACACCGATGCCCTTGCGAAACTTTAGGCTGCGTAGCAACCAACCGCCCAAGACAGTTCCCTCCAAGGCGGACCCTACAGCAGAAAGGGGGCTGTCCAACCCCGATGCATTCTTCCCCTACGCGCCTTACATCTCAGCGACCGGTGTGCACGTGTGTCTGCTCGTGTTCACCGCGTTCTACTTGCCACGCACAACGCTGTCCTTCTTGACTACTCTCAATCCTTTACAGGCGCACACGTTAGCGGAGGATGGAGTTGCGCTGGACGCGCTGTCCCTGCTCACGAGCAATCCGCTCAGGACGGTGATGCTGATGTGCGGGGGTGCGCTGCTCTTACAGGCGTGGTGGGCAAGCTGGCTCAGGACATGGTCTCTCGAGATGCGCGCGCGCTCTGCGGGCGAGACAAATACTTCTGAAGCCAGCGAACAAAAGCTCCAGCGTGGCGCAGTGGACAGCCGACGGATCCAGGTCCGTTCTTCTGACCTCAACCTCAACCTCCGCGACTTACAGCGACACTGTTGGGTCACAGGTGCTCAAGGGTGCTGCTCTCACCACGGCAGCGGCGTCGGTCGCTTTCCACGTTCTGATCTTGCTTTTCGGTGCACCAATTACAAGGTACGTGCGCCCACAACTGCCCAAGGCCATGTGCTCCAATTGTATGCGCCAGCCATCCTCTCCAAACCTACTCCCTCGCGCTCCTGGTCGCCCTTCTCACTGTCTGGACACCAGCCTTCGTGTTCGGTCCGCCCTCACTCGGATCTAGCACAGAAGCCCTAGTGATTAGGTTGACTTGGATCCGACTCTTCGCTGAGCTTCGGTGCGTCGCCCTTCTTCCTGTTCCCGCACGCGGGGTTCTCACTGCTCCTGCTATCTCTCGCCAATCTGCCCCGCTGGGTGCTCCCACATACACATTGCGTCTCTCAGCCCGCGCACGGCCATCGAACGCACGGCAGTGTACCCCGCTATCGGTGCTGCCTTCGGGTGCTGGTCCGGGGCCATCCCTATCGGGTTGGACTGGGAGCGGCCATGGCAGGTACGAAATCTTACGTCCCATCCCTTCGCAAAGGTCCTGAGCCATTGTGCACATGCAGGCATGGCCCCTCACTCCCGCGTATGGCGCTATTTTGGGTTACATTGCAGGCTCGCTCGCGGCTGCCGTGGGCAGTGGCATCATATACCTTGCGCGGACAGATATCCTGTCCCGCGCACGACAGCTTGCCGGGAAGAAGCATGTGAAGACGAAGAAGCAGTGAACCCTGCCGGCGGGCTCTACATATGCACACTGCACGCTAGCGCACTCTATCCCGCTCTAATTGTACATCTCATCGTCGTCTATTCCCAGTCTGCGCCACTTCCCTTCTGTGTCACGAGAGCGCGGCGCGCAGGTCTCCAATTGAATTGGTAAAGTAGTCTGGGACGGTGCTGGACGCCTCCGGGCCTACGACCTCGGACTCTTGAGTAATCCCTGGACGAGCACGCCATTGCGTCGTCAGCGCGCATCGGACCACAGTGGGCGCAACACTCACCGGTGAGCACAAGCAGAGTCGCAAGCCCGCCCCGCTTGCCGAACTCGATGTCCGTGTTTAGCCGGTCGCCGACCATGATCGTGCGCGTGGGATCGAATTGATACCTGCGGGTAGTGAGTCTGCCACATCGCAGCACAGGACACGGCGGGGGCGTACTTGGCCTTGATGCAATCCAGCATCGTCGCCGCTGGCTTGCCGATGCTGAGTGGCTGCCGCCCGAGCGCACATGCGAGCGGCGCGCTGATCGAACCTGCGCCAGGCAGCAGGCCCTCTGCGCTCGGGTACGTGCTGTCCGTGTTCGTCGCGAGGAATACACAGTCCGCGTTGCGTCGCAGGTACGTGAACGCCTTGGAGAGCTTCGTGTAGTTAATCGACGTGTCGAGCCCGCAGAGCACTGCGCCGACGGCCGGGTCGGGCGTGAAGTGCTTCAGGTGGAACTCTGCGAGAGTGTTGTCTGCGGGGTCCTAGAACGGAGGTCAGATTGGGCGGCGGAGAGGGGGGTTTGATGATGGCGACGACAACTGACTGTGCCACCGATGTGCGCGATGCCCTCTTCGTCGAGCTCCTCCTCGAGGCCCTTCATGCCGATCACGTACACCTTCTTGTCCTTCGGCAGCTTCATGACCGAGGAGATGTACACCGCGGATGCATACGCGGAGCCAAAGACTTCGTCCTGCAACACACCATCCTGCGTCATGCTTTGCCCCCGTACGCAGGGTAAATGTACCCGCCCGCCGCGGGACTCACCACCTGCGCCTCGACGCCGAGCTGGTCAAATTTCTTCTTGTAGTTCTTCCGCGACTTGGTCGCATTGTTCGTCACGAAGAAGATCTTCTTGCCTTGCCGCCACGACCGGTGTAGCGTAACGTGCCGTGATAGTGTCGCAGCGTCGTCGCAGAGCACACGGGATCGTCTGAGATCGCGCTGTCTGGAGTCCAATTGTGTGGGACGCACCGCTTCGCCGTAGGAGGCTCAGCACCTCCGGGACACCCTCGATAAGGCGGTCGCCCTGCCAGAGCACGCCGTCGCAGTCGAATAGCCATGTATCGTACTTGTCGAGCAGACCGTGGTAGTCGGACGGAGAGGAAAGTCGTTTCGCCATGGAGTCACTCAAGTAGGAGTGCAACTGGGTAGAGATGCTCGCCGTATTACAGATGTATGTATGTGCGACACAAGTAGACGCGTCCCTTGTTCACAGGAACGCTCCGGAGGCCGCTCAGATATTATCTATTCATAGGCGGTGGGACTCATGGTGACCGATGGACGACAACTCAGAATTCAAGAGCACGTTCGTTCCTTACCCGGAGAAGCGACACACAACGGCTGTTACCACAATACGAGCAGCATCTCCGCAGGTACCGCATACGGACCTCATCGGTCGTGGCTTTGTTGGTCATGAGGGTAAGCAGTATACATGCGTGCATGGCAGACAACGGACAGCCGAAAGACTAGCGAAGGAGCGCTTCCCGCGCATCATAAAGGTAGTAGACAAGGAGACCACGAGGAGGAGCACTCTACTTCCTGCCGGGCTTCTGCTGCGACTTGATGACCTTCTTGACAATCTTCGCCTCTTCGACGAGGAATGCCCGAAGGATGCTAGAAGCCATGATGCAAGCCATTAGTTGTGAGATGCGTGAGGGTGATACTGAGGGACGCACCGCTGCTTCACACAGTCACCACATCTCGAGCCGCCGTATGCCCGGCGCACGGTCTTCTTCGTCTTCGAGACGGTCGCGTATTGACGCGGACGGAGCGCAATAACCTGAACGAATCACACATCACACAAGACGTAGCATACATCTTAGGATAAGCAGTAACAGTAAGAGAGGCTGGGACGTACACCAGGCAGCGCGATCCCGCAGTCGCCGCACTTGGGCGCGGTCGCGAGCTTTTTGATGTGGTGGTAGACGAGCTTGCCACCTGGCGTCTTCACTACCCGTCGGCGGTTGGAGGTGGTGTTGTAAGGGTTGCGCTTGCGGAGCGTCACACGTTGGGCCATTGCGACTGTGCGAGCAAGGCAGTCAGCTTCAAGGTCTCAGAATGCGACCATACTGTGAGGGGCGAGTCCGCCGTCTTTTCTCCAGTCGTGCCGTATCGCACACCAAGCCCGAACCTCATCTCCCCTCCAGGCGGTCCCACAACCACCCCAGCTCTATCTCTCCTTCAATGCCAATCTCCTATCGCTTCCTCATAGTACAGCCCAGCAGAAATCACTCACATTAGTGACGGATGGTGGTTGGAGGTACCTAAAGCTGATAATTTAGCTCCAGCTCACGCAACACACTGGCATGGATTCCACGTACCTTGGTCTTGAACTTGCTGAGGCCCGCGCCGATGCCAATATTGATTGGGTAAAGTTAGGCGGAGTGGCTGAAGGAGCTGTATAGAACCCGGCATCTTCCGGAATATAGGAGATCGTGGGAAACCCCGACGCCCAGAGTGTATATTTCTCTTGTTCCGTTCTATGCGGTCTGGGGCTTTGCTAGGGCTCACACTACTCGGCTTCGCTATCTGTTCTCGCCTCTTGCTAAAATGTCAACTCTGATTTTTTTGATTCAGCTGTGCGCATGTGGAGCTCGCGGATTCATGCACATGTCCCGGTTCACTCTTAGCTCTGATTGAGCAGCCTTGACGAATGGTCGGTTCCAGGAGCAAGCCTATTGTATCAACTCTGGGCTGGATATCTGCTATCTAAGGCACCCCTCTTTGTCCGGTGGCTGAGGATCACCACACAAAAGAAGCTCCTCTACTGGGCTGATGTTGTATTGCTTGTCTTGAAGGTGGTTATCGAAGACCCAGTCTGGCTGTGAATGCGATGCACGCCCTCGGCGGTCTCGGGCTGTGCACTGCCATAAGGTAGTTCTCCGTGGTACATTTTGCGGCAGTGACAACGGTGGGCATGTCCACGTCTCTTCGGTAGTTGCTTGACATGTGTTCAGTATGCGCAGCTCATGTGGGAGACAGATCATGTAATTATAATAGTAAATGCGATGCATGTACCGTCGAGATATTGATATTGTGAACGACCAGCCTGAACGGGCGTCAGACCTATTCTTGTTGTTGAGATGCCGCAGTAGCGCGGTCGACACTATTCGACACCCCTGTCTCATGCCTGCCCACACACGACCCATCGTCGTGCAATTGTGTCAAGAAGGCCTGCTCGGGGAGGAACCCGCCGATCACCCCAGCCCAGGCTGTAGCACGTCGTTCATCGCCTCCTTACCCCCACATGTCAGTACCGCCACCCTCACGCACGTCACTCCCTCCGACAACTTACGCTCGCTGTTCCTTTAGTCCATATAGCACGCCCGACGCCCGGCCGTCCGCAAACCCGAGCCTGACCATCTTATCCACAACTCTCACGTCGCCATGAACTCAAGACCGCCCCCAGGTACGCCCGATGTCGCAGGTGGACGATTCACGTAACTGACGATGTTTATGATCAGGCAGCGGTATGATACTGCGTGCTTACAACGCGAACCTGCGTCCTGTCGTCATTGTGGGTGAGTGGGCCGGAACGGAGGGGTAGCGTCTCAGGATGGATATTGATACTCGGTCCAGTCGCACTGTTGTCTGCAGTGTGGTCACTCTTTTCGTGAGTAGCGTATTTTTGACTGTGTTCTACGTTACTGGATCTAATGAATGAACGCACAGATGTGTATGTCCTTCCTTGAGCTCCAGCAAACTGGACGGTGTCGTTGACGCAACGAGTGTAGATAAGTACATTCCAGACACTACACACAGACAAGTCCCGTAGGTTGTCCTTGTGCTCTTTGCAGACCATTCGTCCTCATGCGATATAGAGGGTTACCCAAAGCTTGGCACATTCGCTATTGTCCTGGGCTCAATATACGCAGTGACATGTGGAATCGAAATATTCGGCGTTACGGCGGCCTCGCTCGTGAGTCCTCGACTGTATGACGTCGCGCCATTGCAGCGACTAATGCAGCCGTATATGCACAGCAACGAATGCCGATGGCACGGCTATATGCGCTGTTGACCGTTGTGAGCGCGCTGGCCATTGTAGGAGCGGGCCTAATCAGGGTCATCGTGCACTTCATGCTGAAGGTGCGTACCTCGCGGTTGCGTGCCCTCTTGCAGGCGCTGATTCATCTCATAGAATGAGCTCATAGACGAATGCACCAAGATCGCCAAGGGCGATACAGTCATTGAAGTGCGTCATTCATTTCCCTCTGTAGTACTAAATCCTCACGATGGCCCGTAGCAATTCGGTTTCTGGGGTCCGACGTTCGAGACGAAGCTGAACCAGTCCGAGGCAAACACATGTGAGACGCATCCTGTCCTCGCGTCCGCAGTGCGCTTACGCCCACACGCAGACTGCCACAAGACATGGAGCCATGATTCCTTCGTCGAGATCATCTCTTTCATCATCGAGATCTGTGCGTGTCGCTCTCCCTCTCCTCTCGTCCGCGCCCCGCTGACGCACGTGTTCATCCCCATGCAGTCATCACCGCCTTCTTCAGCTCGCTCGCCTTCGCCTACTCACACCAGCTGCACGACCCGGCTAGCCCTGCGAATGTCACGCGCGCCCCCGTGACCGAGCCGCTGCGCCCCTCCGGCGGCGAAGACGCCTACCCCTCACACTACAACCCACCGTACCTCGCGTACAACGCGCCGCAGTACGCACCGCCGCCCGGTGCGCCGCCTGCGCATGATGGGTACGATGACGATGATGGCGCGAAGCTGTACGGCGGTGCAAAGCCCCCGCTATACTCAGAAGATGACCTCGGGAAGCTTGGCAAGGGTTCAACGTACGGCGCTGGCGCTGGCACGGATCCGTTCGCGGATTTTGACGGTAATCATGGAGAGAGGGACGACTTGAAGTGATGTCATGCTTTGGGCTTGCCCTGTATTCTTGCTGCTTTCGTGTCATGCTGTCTGGGTGCATCATGCTTACGGTTTTCGGACAATGTCTTTACGATTACTAGTGTTCGTTGTGATCACCGTACCGCACATATTTGTATGTTATGTGCGTTGTGGCGTCAGGCGTGTCGTGATTGGCTGACTGCAGTGACAGTCGAGCATGAATGCTTACGAGGACTCTCGAAAGTCATTTCCACATTGTTGGGCTCAAACTGCGACGTGTACTGATACAGGGAGCTTAATGGCTCAGTCCATCATTACAACTGATTTAGTGAAGACCGGCCAAAAGTCCGACCGTGACATGCAGCTCGAATGGATACCTCCAGCTGAGATTGACCTCTGGGTATTCATTACCAGCATGAACCAGTAGTGGTTCCTGCCAGATGGGCTTTTGAAGACCTATTAAAAAGTAGACTGATATCAGGCAAGCTGTTGAAGTTCGCCACCACTTTTGTGCCCTCCTTGAGGGTCAGTTCAATCATCGCGGTACCACACTGCCGCATGGTGTAACGCTATTCCGACGCTCGTAGTCATGCCTTAGAACCCAAACATCAAATTCCCACAGAAGGCGACCAAGTACAAAAAATGGCCATTGTCTTCTCTCCGTTCTGCTATTTGAACGAATCGAGGAAGCGGTGCGCATGAGTCAAGATATTCCGTTGGATGTGGAGTATGTCTACAGCCCCTCCACCGCGGCGCTGTGGTGTGGCTTGTCTGCTCTCTTGCGCTTCCACATCCAGCACGGCGACTGGCAGTGCTCAAATGTTCTTGATACGTACGCCACAAGGTCCCTCCTAGGCCTCCACTTTTCTCTCCACGGGCGAATACTAGATGCTCATTGGTCACAGTTAGACCAAGGTTTGATGGGGGAGCGGCCTTTGATCTTCCAATCGTGATTTATGAATACGTGGCCCTTGAATTGTCTTGATAATGGAAGGATGTATTATTTTCGACGGGTCCGTTCAACACGCCACGGGACCGCGCAAATGTACTGCAACGGTGGAGTCTGAATTTGTCGCCATGACCTGTGAGTGACGGAATTTGCAGAACTACCGCAATTTGGTCGCTTCCAGCCGGCATCCATCTACAGCTCGCAATTCATCATGTATCACTTTGAAACTTAGTATACAGACTGCCAGAATCATTATAGATGATGCCTGAGCGATGAAACATACGCTTTTTCACTCGTTTGAGCAGATTGGCCAAGGCATCAATATGTTTTGCAAAACCCCGACTCGGAGTGACCATCCTCTGATCCTTAAAAAGGTCGCTCTATTGTAGGTTGCCTAGAAGAGACTATAAAACCCCGTAAGTATCCCACAGTACATCGCCTCCTTTTCCCCACATGTCAGTACAGCCACCTTCACGCGTGTCAGTCTCTCCGACAACTTACGCTCGCTGTTCCTTCAGTCCATACAGCACGTCCGACGCTCGGTCGTCCACAAACCCGAGTTTGATCATCTTGTCCGCAACTCTTGTGTCGCTATGAGCTTAAGGTCGCGACTAGGTACGTCCAGTATCGCAGGCCGACTATTCACGGAACTGATGATGATAATGATCAGGCAGCTGTATGAGACTGCTTTTTTGCGACTCGAGCCTGCGTCCTTTCATTACTGCGGGTGAGTGGGTCGGAACGGAGGGATAGCGTCTCGGGACGGAGACTGATACTCGGTCCAGGGGCCTTGTTATACGCACTGCAGTCACTTTCTCGGTGAGTAGCGTATCCCCGATTGTGTTCTACGTTACTGAATGAACGAACGCACAGATGTGTATGTCCTTCCTTGAGCTCCAACAAACCAGACGGTGTTGTTGACGCAGCGAGTGTAGATAGATGCATTCGAGTCATCACGCATAGACAAGTCCCGTAGGTTGTCCTTGCGCTCTGTGCAGACCACCCGTCCTTATGCAACATAGTGGGTTTCCAAAGGCTAGGCACATTCGATATTGTCCTGGGCTCGATATACGCAGCGACATGCGGGATGTGTTTATTCGGTGTTATGGCGGTCTCGCTCGTGAGTCCTCGACTGTGTGGCGTTGCGCCATCGCAGCCGCTAATTCAGTTGTACACGCACAGCAACGATTGTGGATGACATGGCTATATGCCCGGTTGAGTGTTGTGAGCGCGCTGGCAATCACAGGAACGGACCTATTCAGGGTCATCGTGCGTTTCGTCCTCAAGGTGCATGCCTCGCGGTTGCGTGCCTTCTTGCAAGCGCTGATTGGTTTCGTAGAACGAGCTCTTAGACGAGTGCGCCAAGATCGCTCAGAGCAAGACAGTCATTAAGGTGTGTCATTCATTTCACTGTGCAGTAGTGGATACTCACGATGGCGAAGCTCGGCCTTTCCGAGGCAACCACAAGTGAGACGTTTTCCTGTCCTCACATCCGCAGTGTGCTTACGTCCACAATCAGACTGCCGCAACAAATGGAGCTATGGCTCTACCCTCGAGATCATCACATTAATCTTTGTTGCTAGTACGTATCGCTCTACTTCTCCTCTTTCGGCCCTCGTCCCCGTCCCGCTGACGCACGTTCTCATCGCCTTGCAGTCGGCGTTTCCTGTCACAGTTCACTCGTCTTCGCCTGGTCAAATGAGCTGCACGAGGCAGCTATGTGGGCCAGACTCATGCGCCCTTTCGCGACCAAACCGCCGCGCCCCTCCGGCGGCGAGGATGCCCACCCCGCACACGACAAACCACCGTTGCCCGCTTACAACGCGCGGCAGTGTGCACAGCCTCACGACGCGCCGCCTGCATACGACGGGCACGACGGCAGCGATGGCGCGAAGCTGTACAACGATGCAAAGCCGCCGCTGTACTCCGAAGATGACCTCGAGATGCTCGAAAAACAGGAAACGTACAGCGATGTTGTTGGCCCGGACCCGTCCGAGGATTTAGAGGGCAATTATGGAGAGAAGAACGTCGTGAAGTGATGCCGTGTTTCGGGCCTGTCCTGTGTTATCGCTGCTTTCGTGTCTTGCTGTCTGGGTGCACCATGGTTACAGTTTTGCTTCGCTTTGTGAAATGTGTTTACAATTATCAGTGTCCGTTGCGATTACTGTATCGCACACTTCCATATGTTATGTCTGCCTTCGTCCCTTCAGAACGTTACCTGCGCCACTTCAATCCGGGAAGGTTACACAAACATCCTATCGCTTCCTCACAGTACGGGCCAGCAGAACTCACTCTAATCAGTGCTGGCTGATGGTTGGAGGTACATGTAGTTGCTGATTGAGCTCCGGCTCATGCAGTACTGTACCTTGTTCTTGAACTTGTTGAGGCCCGCGCCCATGCCAATATTGATTGGGTTGAGTTTAAGGTACGGTGAAATAGGTACGGTGACCTGCTTAACCGGCTAATTAGCCTAGGCCTGTGTGAGAGGTCAAATTAACCTATGTAATCTATGGCTAATTAGCCGGTATAGAACATGGCCTAATGAGTACTTCTAGCCACTAAAGTAGCCTTATATAACATTACGTCGCCCAGCGACCGAATACCTAGACAGCAGGTCACAGCACGCAGCTGCTACTACTATTCGTCCCGTCCATCACTGGCCTTCAAATTTTAAATTCAAAACATGCTCTAGTCCCAACGCAGTACTTGGGGACACTCGTTAGCAAGGAGGTCCTTCAGAAATGGCGCGTTGAGGTCGATGAGGTCAGAGACTACGACCACTGATCTTCCTGGATAACAACCGCAAGGCTGAACTCCTATTGCGTCCGGAACATGTCCAAAATCAGCGCAGGTCATTTAACCCTATTTAACCCTATTTAACCTTTGTTTTGGGGGCCTCGTGAAACTTACGGCTAATTTGCAAGGGTTAATTAACCGAGGCTAATTAGCCCGGCCTATTTCACCGTACCCTAGTTGAGTTAGGCGGATTGGCTGAATAGAAAGGTATGTACTTAGCAGCAGCCGGACGGGAGAGGATCTCCTGTCACACCTGTATGTGTGCCACGGACGAGCGCAGAGTATGGCAACATGTCATATATATGATCACAGCGACATGTAGTTGTAATTTACAAGATGCACGAAGAAGAGCAGGAGGGAATGGATACACATTAATGGAAGATGAATGACTGCTCGACACACCACACACTGCTACTTACTTTAACGAAAACTAAGGATCAGAGGGGGAAAAATGGACAATCAGGGGATTGAACCCTGGACCTCACGCAAGCACAAGATGCGAAGCGTGCGCGCTACCACTGTGCCAATTGCCCGTGCAGTAGTACTCGGTCACATCATTATCGACAGACTATCTCAACTGTAGTAGCTTTCTAGATACCGCTCCTGCAGTGCACTCCCTCCGCCACCCTCGTCGTTCACATCTCCCAAACCTCCCCCGTTTGCTGCGTCGTTTATAATGGATGTTGACACGGTAGATGAGAATGAAACACCCGCAGAGTCGCAGAAGGCTGCAGGGAAGAAGCCACTCAGTCTCCCGGTAGATGATGCACACCCGCTAGATCTCGACGCTATCACATCGAGCTACACAGGTCCGTCCATTATGTCGCTACTGGAAGTATTGGATGTCGGACTCACGGTTTCGTCAGATCGCTCTATCGTCGAGCGACTGGTGCATATTACCGCGGCGTGTCCAGCAGTGGCGGTTCAGGCTCTGCAGCTTGCTCTCGATCAAGTCTTCAAGATGCGCGACACGAACCTCTATTTCTCTGTCCGAAGTGCATACGAACAGTGTCAAGGGAACAGTCAAGGACAGCTTCCGCCAATTACTGAGATTGCGCCGCTCGACCAGAAGTGGATCGATGAAACGGCGGCGAAGAATGCTGCGGAGAAGAACAAACTCGAGGTCGAGCTCAAGACATACTCGAGTAACATGATCAAAGAGAGCATCAGAGTACGTGCGCGGTAATCCACGAGCTCAATAACATTCTTACGGTCGGCGCAGATGGCTCATCGAGACCTCGCCAACTACTATCGAGCAGTAGGAGACCAAGCCAGCGCCCTAAAGCACTATACCAAGTCGCGCGAATTTTGCACGACCAGTCATCACGTACTCGATATGTGCTTCTCGATTATTGAGGTGTGTTTCGCATTCTGCACGCCACACCAGGTAGCTCAAATTTATGACATTGGTAGCTGCTCATTGAGCACCGGAACTACGCTCACATGTCAACATATGTCTTCAAAGCTGATGCGGCGCTCGATGCCACAGCAAGCACCGCGCGTCCCACGGGGCCCACAGCGCCCGCAAATTCATCGGCTAATCGCGTGCTCACCGAGCGCGAAAAGGTTCAGAGCAAGCTGGATGCCGGTCTCGGGCTGTCACACTTTGGACAAGGTCAATACGAGAAGGCCGCTAACTTCTTTGTCAAAGTTGGGCCCATCAAGTCCCTGGGCACCTGGATTGGTACGGTCAGTTTCGATAACTGTTTCGTATTCTCGTCCTCTCCCATCGACCTTCACCACTTTCCGTAACGGGGAATTGTGAAGGCCAGATATCATTCCGCTCGCAAGGGCCACAATAAATCGACATTGTTAGCTATCGCCACCTCGTATACTGACTGCGGATGTGTAGGTCATCGCACCGGGAGATATCGCGGTTTACGGCACGCTATGTGCACTGGCGACGTTCCCGCGACCTCAGATCAGCTCACAGATTCTCAATAACGACGGATTTGGCGCCTTCATCGAGCAGGAGCCATACGTGCGCGAGCTGATCGAGGCGTACATGAGTAACCGCTTCAAGGATGTGCTGGGGATTCTCGAGAAATACTCGGTTTGTGCACGACCCTGATATGTCTGTCAGTGCTGCACACTGAATGGTGATGCGGATTCGTCCACAGACACGCCACGCGGTTGACCCACACCTCGGAGCGCACATCCAAATTCTCATCAAGTTGATCACGAATCGCGCACTGGTGTTGTTTTTCCAGCCTTTCGTATCGATTCGGCTGGAGCGCATGAGCACGGCGTTCGGATGGACCGTCGACGAGCTCGAGCAGCACGTCGTCGCACTCATCCAGTCTGGCGAGATCAAGGCGCGCGTTGACCGCCAGAACAAGGTGTGTGCTCTCCCGCTCGCGGTGTCGTCAGGTAGTAATGTATCGGTTTTGTGTTGCAGATCTTAAAGGCAAAAGAGACAGACCAGCGGTCTGTGCTCTACGCTCGTGTGATGAAGTCAGGGGAGCACATGGCATCCGCAAACCGCAAGCTACTACTGCGTTTGCGATTGTACGTACAGGCTCCACTGTGCAACTCACGTTGATTTGCTCACGATACGCGTAGGCAACAAGCCGACCTCATCGTGAAAGCACCGCGATCGAATCAGACCATCTCGCTGAACGACTTTGATTCCTACTATTAAGCCAATGGCCCCTGTCAATCGCTGTATTTCACCTGTCGCGCATCTGCTTCTCGTCACTCTGCTGTAGCATCAATGTACCGTTCTCACCTGTCCGTGCTGTATGTCACATTTTCCCGGAGGGCCCTCATAACTGATTCCTTAATGCTTTGCGTTGAGTCTTGCATGAAGCTGCGGGTACATTGTTCCATCCTTGCTCATGCAATGGCGAGCTAATTCGATGTCCAGGGTGTAAAGCTCACGGACACTGCTAGATTGGTCAATGGTATGGCCGCGAATTTCTCGTGCACAAGTCGCTGTAAATCCATCCCTTGCCATCAAAGTGGTGTGGATCACGACGGTGAGGGAACAGCCTGTCGCATACACTGTATACAGGGGATATACTGGTAGTGCTGCTCATCGTCGAGCTACTCACTACGCACATTACTCTCTTTCGAAGTGCTTCCAGGCAAACTTTTCAACCTCCTTGACCTTGTGCTTGCGCTTCCTCGGCCTGTGGTCACGAGTATGAGCAACAGGTAATAAGAACTGAATGTACAATACGTACAAGATGGGGACGCGAGGTTCAATCAGGGCGCGCTGTTGCATGCTTAAGAACCTGTCTCTGAATAGGTTGCCCTCGGGCTGTCCAACGAGGTCAGAGATTGCTGAAGACCACAAACGGAAGGCGAACCTTCAGCGCCCGTAAGCTCTCGCTGAGCTCTTCGCCCAGCTGCACGTCCACCTCTCCTTCCGGGACCCTGTGCTTCCCCAGCCGCTGGCCCCCGAGTCCCTTCTTCAATCGCTCCTCTTCGGCCTGCTGTCGCTCCGTCCGCACTCGCTCGCGCTCCGCGAGCGTACGGCCCAGCGCTTTCCGCATCGCCTTGGCCGAGTCCACCGACGCGAGCATGCGCTTCCGGGCGATCTTTTCCGCGAGGGCGCGTTTCTGTGGGTGCGGACGTGAGCAACGAGTGCGCGGGGCGGGAGACTACGCCATACCTCGGCTTTCCGCCGCTCGGCCTTGCGCCGCTCCTGCTTCGTCTTCCGCGCCGGCACATGCCTGACGGGCCGCGCCTCCTCGCCGTCCTGTGCGTCCTCCTGCGCCTCGTCCACAGGCGCCACGTCGACCGTCATGCCCAGCGCGACGCCCACCGTCTCAGTCTCGTCGTGTCTCGCCTTGCGGATGGCGTCGACCTTGGCCTGCACCTCCTCGAGCTGCTGCGCCTCCCTGAGGCGACGCTCCTCGATCTCGTGTGCGGTGCGCAGGAGGTCCAAGTGGGAGGTGACGAGCGGGTTGTACGAGGTGCCTTCGTGGGGGGAGGGGACGGCCGCGAGGGCGATGAGCGAGCGCGGGTGGGGAGTCTTGGGGTGCTAAAATGCAGGCACGAGTATGAGCACGCTAGCCGGTTTACTAATACGAGGGTGTGCGGATAGATTGTACCGTACCTTCACTTGCGTGCTGTCGTTAGTGTCAGTGTCAACGGGGCCCCGCGCATTCCAGACATCATACGATCCGCTGTTCTTTGCCGCCTCGCTCACATCGAGCAGGGCGCTGCCGCTCCCCATCTCGGTGGGGTCCATGATTGCATTGAACGGTCCTCGCCGAGGACGCTTGCCTATGCGGAGCAGGCGGCCCTTCTCCTCGTAAGACAATGTTTTTCGCTTCAGGGGGTTCACGGAGGTGCGAGAAAAGACGGCGGGGACCGCAGACCGCTGCGAGAGGATTCTTGCCGAGGAGAGGAGGGAAGTGGAAAATCGGGGGAGCGACTTGCGCACTGAAGAAAAACGCCGTGCGCTCGTTTCGGCATTGCGTGCAGCAGAGACTGAAAGCGACTCACCTCGCGCATCGCCCTTGACATCGACTTGAAAGAGTTCGTCGTCGGTTTTCTTCTGCAAGGCAGACCTGAGGACAGCTGCGAATCAGCCGTCTATCCAGGTAGGACTTGTGCAAAACGACTTGCCCTACTACTCGTTCCTCGGCGCGCATGCCTTCCATGCTCTCTTCAATGTCCTCGATGTCGACATGTTTCCTCCATGCCTTCTTGCCCTTGCGGCTGCCCTGGGTGTGCTGCGCGGGCGCACCGAGAGTAGAGCTTGACTTTTTGTGACCCTCAGAAGCCATTGGCGTTGAGACTTGGATATGATTTGCGACTGCCGGTCTCCTCAGTGGGGATGGTAGGAGAAGTACAATTGATGATCGAGGAGGGGACGCAAAGCGCCTTCCAGTCATACTAAATAGTGCTAGCTTCCGGACATTCGCATTAATGGGGTAGTGGTAACCTGGGTCGTTGCCATACTATCTCGACCCGCCGGGGGTTCGATTCCCCCTTAATGCATATCTTTGCCTGGGTAACAGTTTTTTTCTCACACGCCATGCCAGTATGGCTCTGCCGTTTTCGGGTTGACTCTTGATTTGACCGACAACTTGAACGCGGTTGGTTCACCTGGGCACAGTTCTCACTGCGTAGTATCTTCCTGACGGTATTAATACGTGCGACTGGAAGCATCTCGTATGTATTAGCTTAGGCAGCCGCATCCTCGTGGTGTTGAGCTGCTGCGCCAGGCACCCTTGAGCTTGATCCGCGGCACGGTACATGCATCCGTATGTCTCGGTGTGTATATATCCTCGAGGCTTGACCCTCTGATGTTACGCAGTATATCCAGCAGTCAGGCCAGTCAATCACCCGTTGGCTTTGCTGCGCTTGACTCCATCGCACGGGCGTGCACCAGCAGACCACTTGCCCTTTCGCTTCTTCCTCTGCACTGACGGCCCGTCCGCTCAGCATTAGCCTCCCGTAGTGGGCCGCACGCGGACACTGCCTCCGAATCCTCTCAGGCTCAGGAAATCTGTGTCTGACCTTCAGCCCCCAAGGTCCATCCGGGGAACGCCACATTGATGAATCGCTACCCCGGCCCTGTCCTCCCTCTGGAGCTCTACGAGTATACTGTCAGCCTGCTCTCCTGTGAAGACGACGACGCTACGACGCTCTACGCGTGCTGTCTGCTCTGCCGCACGCTGCTCCCGGCGAGTCGTCGGGCCCTGTATCGTAGCATCTGGATATGCAGCCGGCGGCGTCTGACATTGCTCGCGCGTGTTCTTCGCGACCCTCGCACCAGTGGCCACCTCAGCTGGCTGCGTGAGCTCCATCTCTACGTACACGACAGCAGCGAGCCTGCCTCTGAGCACGAAGGTATTGGCGCGACGAGTGACAGCGACAGTAGTGGTTCGGATTCCGAGGACGACGGCGCCGCGGCGGCGGGCGGGGAGATGTGGCCGACTATTCCTGGACTCGATGCGACTACTTTCCCGGACAACGTCGACGCCCCGGTGTGGTCGCCGCTCAATAGAACGTTCGCACACCTGCTGCCCTCTCTGCTCAAGGCTGCCATCCACAATGTCAGCTTCCTTGAGCTACGGAAGGAGCTCACTAGTCCCAGTGTGTTCACCACACCGTTTGTCTCAGTCACTACCGTGCTTCTCTCACAACACACCGTCAAGCGGTTCTTCCACTTGCAGGACGTGCTTTCGGGACTGCCCGCGCTGACTGAGGTTCATCTGGACGGCGTACTGTGCTCTGAGCGAAATCTGTCCTGGAGGCAGAATCATGGAGATGAGGATAGCATCACGCCCACGCATCTGTCCATTCTGACCATGCGCAACTGCGATGCTCACGTTGCTGATGCGCTCCTTACGTGGATCGTCGACTCGTCTCGCTGCCAGTCTCTTCGCCACCTCTCTGTCTGCCGGACCCTCTGGAGGACACACCGCCCGCAAGCTGCCACGCTGCACCGTTTCCTGGAGAATGCGCTCAATCTCGACGTCCTGCACATCAACCTGGATGACTACGGTTCGTCGCACAGCCGCAGTGCACGTCCCCTCCCCCACTGACCTGTCTCTGTCCTAGCGAACCAACGCCTCGTGCTCGCGGCGCCCGCCCTGCGCGTGCTGCAGCTGGACTACACGCGGGCCTTCACCGCCAACATCGACAAGCTCGTGGCCCTCCTGGACAGCACCGCCTGCGCCTCCCTGCGCGCCCTGCGCATCGCCGTCGACTTCAGCACGCCCCGGGCCTTCAACCACTGGGCCGCCGTCGCCGCGGCGCTCGAGCGCCCGCACTTCCGCCGCCTCGCGCACCTGCAGATCACGCACGTCCTCCCCGCAGGCGCGGACGCGGCGGCCGCGCAGCGGCTCGAGCAGGACATGCGCAGGCATCTCCGCCGCGTGCCTGCGCACGTCGCCCTGGGCGTCGCGGCGGACCCGTGCCCGCGGCGCACGCGCAGCGAGCTCGACGTGTGGCACCGGGAGCGCGTGCAGCTGCTCGACCCGGATGGGCGCGAGGCGGACGTGCGCGCGCGGCGCTTCCGTGACGAGGAGAACTGGCCGTACGTGCTTGCGTGCTGGAGGAACTCGAGGGGGAGACAGCCGACAAGGCCCTCAAGGTTGTCACAAGTCTGGACCCCGGATGACTGAGGCCGCTTGGCGGTGAGTGAATGGCAAGAGGTTTCTGTGAGTCTATGAGGACCTGTGTCTTTCTGCTTGCGTCGACACTGGGGAGTGGTGCTAGTTTATCCGGGCGGCACACGCTTTGTGCTTGAAGATTAGACGTGCTGTAGAGTTCATCTTACTTTGATACGAGCTAGCTCGCGGGCTTGGTCGACATTCCAGTACATCTCTCATTGTTTACATTTTGTAGCTTCCAATTCGATGAAAAGCACGCAATTATTGTATACAGCCCTTGTCCAGCATGGCGTCCAGTGAAATCAGTCGAGCAATCAGGCGTTATCTGGTCATCGTCGCGACAAAGGGGACAGAGAGGCTTCCATTGTGCGTGCGGGACTTTGTGAGTCTGCGGGAAGTGTGACGTTCAGTAACGGGCCCAGCAGGACATGAAGCACGAGTAACGACGCACTCGTCGAAATGCTGGCCGCGCTTTGGGTCCGCGCGTCGTTTCGCCATCGTCTTGCGCACCTTGTCCTCGGGCCGCACGACGATGATGGGCACGGGCGAGTGGCTGAGGCAGTACCGCGAGACGCTGCCTATGCGGCCCTGCCCGCCAAACGCCGCGCCCCATGCCTGCATCATGCTTCGCTGTCCGCGCGTTCCGACGACAATAGAATCCGGGCGGTAGAGGGAGATCAGTCGGTCTATTGTCAGCGGTACTTTGCCTGCGATGTACTCGACGATGATGGAGAGCTAAGACACGCATGGCATTGAGAATGCGGGCGCACAGGGGGGCACATCGCGTACCTTCCGCTCTGGGTCGGATTCGACACATTTCTCTTGTATCTGACGCATGAGCTCGCGCGCGTCTTCGCGATATTGATCGTGGTCTTTCACTGCGGGATGGTCGGGTGGGTGACAAGTAGTGCAAGCTAATTCGCAACGTACCGAGCTCTTCTGTATCGACGCCGCGGAACACGATCAGCTCGTCGCCGTCCTGGACGAGGCTCTCGAGTGCCCACTCGAGCGCCTGGCGACCGCTCTCGTCCGGGCTGCTCGCGCACAGGAACACGCGCGTGCCGCGATTGCGCACGTAGCCGTCGCTCTGCACATGCAGTGTGTACGAGAACATGCTCGCCTGGGGGTTCTCGAGCGTGTCGAACGAGACCTTGGGCGTGTAGCCCTGCGCGGCAACGAGTGGGGAGGGGGGCGGCATGAGCGGCGTGGTGGACGGCGGCGGTGTCGCTTGCGGAGAGGCAATGACCACAGCGGACGGCGGGGAGGACGGTGAGGCAGATATGGAGAAGAAAGGTGTGGACCCTGTGGACCCTGAGGGCAGGGGCGGGCTGCGGGGAAGCGGGGAGCTGGGTGTCTGTGCGGGTGTCCCTGGGCGCGAGGAGTGTTTCATGGCCGAGCGCAGAGGCTGTACCGGAATTGGGATGTAGTGCGGCTGGTCCCGCTCGGGCGGCGAGGCCATCGTGGACACTGTAAACCTGGTCAGATGGCTGGGTACTTGTGACCTTTGCAGGATTGCAGTACGCACAGCTGGGTAACTACTACCTTTGCAGGATTGTAGTACACACACCAAAGTTAACAATGAAAATGGTATACGAATACACCGCCCGCCTGTGGACGCAATATGTTAGCCACGGATGCCCCGGAGAGTAACAAGAGCGACTTAATGTTCAGAATCGAGATGTAGGATCCGCCTGCGAACGCAATATATCATTCACGGATGCCCTGGAGAGTAACTAATGTTCAGAATCAACATGTAGGACGCTGCGGACAACCCGCCTGCAATAATCGTCGGAGTTTGAAGTTCGCATTGACCTCGACCTTGACCATGTCGACTACAGGCTCCCGCTCGCCCTCGCCCTCGCCTGCCGCCAACGCTGACGACGCAGGCAGCAAACACAGCGTAGACGGTAAGCAGCCAGCGAGCTCATCCCGCTCCCCCTCACCACACCCCAAGCTCGACGCCGAGTCGCCCAGCACGCCCGCGAACCCTGCACCCTCGGACCCTGCGGCCGCTACGGACAGCGCAGGTGCCAGTCAGAATGCCACTAGCATTAGCACGGGCTCCGGTGTAAGTGAGTCGCTAAGCCCCCCGCCCGTAGCGGGCGTCACCGCCGCCAACGGCGACTGGCAGGCCATCTGGTCCCCTGCGCACAACGCGTACTACTTCTACAACGCGAAGACGCAGGAGACGACGTGGGCGAACCCGCTGCAGCCCGCCGCGTCTGCCAGCGCGTCCCCAAGCCCAAGCGCAGGCTCCCCAGGCCCGTCTGCATCGACGTCGTCCATGTATGATCTGCAGGCTGCGGCCGCCGCCCAGGGCATCGACCCGGCGCTCGCCTTCCTCGACCCATCGCTCGCTGCGGGGCCGTCCAACCCCGCGGCCTTCACGTACTCCGCCAAGTTCAACGCGCGGACGGGGGCGTTCACACGGCCAGACGGGCGCGACCCGTCGCACTTGTCAGAGTACGAGCGTGCAAAGCGCATGAGCGAGTTCTATTTCGACGTCAACGCGTGGGAGCACGAGGTCGAGGCGCGCAAGCTCGAGGAGGCGCATGAGGAGGAGACTAGGAAGCGCAAGCGGCCGACAAAGAAGGACTTGGTACGTTCTGCGACTGCTATATTGAACCTGGTATCGCCGCAGCCCAGGCGACTGACTTTCTCGATGCAGGAGCGCTTCAAAGAACAGAAACGGGCGAAGAAGATCGCAAAGACCGCTTGGTTGCGTACATAGTTACACACATAACGCATGTGAGAACCCATCCCTTGTTAACATTGCGGCGTGATATGGAGATACACATTGCAAGCGCATGTAACAGCTTTTCGGCTTATGAATGTGTGATTTACGAATAGCATAGAGTCGCTTTGTAGCATTTGAAGACTACTGTGAGATGGCTGCACCTTTTCTCTTGATCATCGCTAGAAACAGCAAGGTTCCCTCTTCGCCTTTTGCGCAAAAATAATAAGTTGCAACATTTCGTATTGAAACACTACTGTCCGATTGCATTAAGGGGGAATCGAACCCCCGGCGGGTCGAGATAGTATGGCAACGACCCAGGTTACCACTACCCCATTAATGCTATATTAGGGCAGGTCTATATATATATATCAACCTCGGCTGTTGGAAGACATTCACAGTTACGCAAAAGCATAAAACAGACGCGAGATGATCATATACACAACAGAACCCAACATAAAAATACTTGCTAGAACAATAAATCACGATGGCTGTCATCGACGTACGGCAATCCTTGTTCTCGCGACTCTTCTCCCCGCTGCAGGCTCTTCTCCCGCCACACTGGGTTCTTCCGTTCCCGTGCGAACAGCACCCTTCGTTGCACTTCGTGTCGCTTTCGAGTGAGAGTTTGCCGGCACCTTAGTTGCACCCGCAGTCGCCTTACCTTTCGTGGCGGCCGGCTCGTCTTCTTCCTGCGGCTCCGGTGTATTTTCTTTATCACCCGCGTTGGTTTCCTCCTCAAGTTCGCCCTCCTCCGAGGGTGTCGACTTGCCCGAAGACTCTCCGGCGGCCTTCTTCGCAGACGCCGCCGTCCGCGCGCGCGTTGTGCTCTTACTCGCGCTCGTACCTGCCCTGGCGGCTGCTTTGGCACCTGTAGATCCGAGGGCCTTACGTCCGCGAGCGGTGCGCGAGACACCCGTTTCACCGGCTGGCGGTACGGCGTGACCGTCGTCCTCTTCCTTTACGGCACCAACGGGGATCTTGCTGCGCGTGTTGCGTCGCACCCTTGCTGCAGCAGCCGGCTGGTCTGCAGGGTCTTGGTCAGCCACTTCAACATCTTCCATGGGCTGGGCTCTGGCGCCACGACGCCCCGTGCTTGGCTTCGCAACAGGTGCAGCGGGAGGTTCCTCGGGCACAGGCGTGCGACGGGTCCTTCGGACAACCCTCGTCGCCGATGGTTCTGCCTCCGGCGCAGGCGACGCGGTCGCTTTACGCGTACGGCGGGTAGCAGTCGTTGGTGCTGCTGCTGCTTCGTCGTCGCTAGCTGCACTCGCGGCCTTTCTCCTTGTCGCAGGTTTTGTCTTGCTTGCCTATGGGCCATGTATATAAGCAGCTGAGAAAATATAGTAATAAATATACTTACCAACTCAGGTACTGTGTCCTCCTCCTCGGTGCGCGGTCGCGACGAGCCCGAAGCACCTGCGCTCTCCTAACAATCAAAAAGTCAGCCATCTTGTACACTGGCATAGCGATCATGCACACCTGCGCGCTCTCCGCTGTCCGGGTCCTGGTCCTCGGCGCAACGCGTGCGCCCTTGCTTGCAGCAGTTGCAACATCGGCACTGGCCTCAGGAGCTATTGCAGGCTCGGGCTCACGCGATTCCGGTAGCTGGGCGGCAGATCTTGGTGTCCGACGAGGAATACTCGCAATTGGGCGTACAATCTTACTCTTTGTGACACGTGATGGAGCAGGCTTGGATACGTGCTTTTGCTGAGCGACCTCAGCCTCCCGCTCGTCAATGGCAGTCTCAGGGGCAGGTTGGCCTCGCCATCCGGCAGGAGAGGCGAGCATCTCGCCCATGCCCTCCAGCGCCGATTCCTCCATCCCCCGCTTGCTTCGCTCGCGCAGGAACATGTCACGTACGCCGTCCATCCTTGGAGTCTCTCGTGCAGTAGGGACTTCTCTGAACAGCTCGCGTACCCCAGTGAATCGGGGTGTTGCCGGGGCCGCAGGAGCTGAGAAGACATGTCGCAGATCATTCATCTTTGGAGTCTTCGGAGGCTGGAAATGTGTAGAAGGGCCGGCCACGGGCACATTTTCATCTTCGTCGTCCATCGCCTCGTCTGCGTGAACAGGCTCTTCGGCCATTTCCTCGCCCATGAACATATCGAACTCTTCGCCCATCTCGTTATCCACGTCATGTGGCTGTCCCCCTACTGCATCTGTCTCCATGCCACGATCCTCTTCTTCCTCGGCGATGATGCCTTGCTCAGCCTCTGCTGCCAGGAGGGAAAATGTGCTCTTCTTCCTTGGGCTCACCGACATCCGTCGGGAGTGCTCAACACTCGCTTCCATGCTCTGCCGCTTCTTGACGCCCTCGACCATCTGCCGCATGCGGGCCAGCAGCACTTCCGTGTTCTCCTCGCTTTCCTCCACCTTGGTGGAACTGTCATTAGCTTTTGCTGGGGACGGGCCTAGGATGTTTCTAGCCGAGGCAGACGCGAAGAGCGAGGGCAAAGCAGGCGTTGACTGGAGGAAGGGCGTACGTCGAGAGCCCGGCACTTGGCCATTGAAGAAGTTATCCGGCGTAGTCAGTGCAGACCGTCGCCTCTCACGGATGGCCTGTCACGACATCGGAAAAAAACAGTCAGTAACCCCTCACGCGTTGCGTACTCCTCACTCACCCTGCGTTCTTCCTCAGTCGCCCGCTCCTTCCGCGGCGACGTGCTCGGAGGAACAGATACATTTTCCTCCACTTTGCTCTCATCCTCTTCCTTGACATCAGTATCCTTTAGTGGCACGAGAAGCTCTGTCACCTTCCACGGTTCTACAAGACGCACACGACGTGGACCCGTAGGTCCAGACACCGAGCTACTAAGACCGCCAGGAGCGATACCACCCACAGAATAACGAAACCGTTGAGAGCGCATGGCGCGTTTGCTGGCCCCGGGTTGCGGTGTCATGAAAGCACCGAGGGGCCGAGGGGGCGGAGAGACGGGCTGGAGAGTATCTTCCTGTTCGTTCATGGGCATATCGTCTGTCTGTTCGTCATGTTGTTCGTAGGCACCGTATTCTTCATACTGTTGTTGGTCGTCCTGTTCCAATTGTTCCTCATAGTCGTGTCCTCCCTGCTCGTCATAGTCATGTTCTCCCTGTTCTTCTTCTTCGTGTCCTTCCTGTTCTTTATATTGGTCCTGATCATTTGTTAATTCGGAGTTGGCATCCTCGTTCGCCTGCGGTTCCGCCTGGGTGATGTCAATATGATCCACTTGAGGGAAGTTCTAGTGCCTACCTCAACGGACGCCGCGCGGAATGCCCATCCGAGGCTTCCTTTGACCGCCTCCAAACTTTTGCGCCACCCAGACATTGGCGTTGAGCGCTGCTCCTGATCCCTGACCTCCACGACCTGCTCCTCGTAGCCAGCGTCGTCTTCCTCCTCGACATCTTCCATTCCCTCGTCCCCCATGATGCTCTCTTCCACCTCCTCCACCTCCATCTCCTCTTCCATCTGCATCTCCTGTCGCAGCGCTACGCGTTGGGCCGATCGGATGAGCACTGCACGGTGAAGCGACGCACGCGGCGGCCGTCTCACAGGTGTGCGCGGTGGCGCCCAAGCCTGCTGTGGCAGCAGCATCTGCGGCGCGAGAGACTTTGTCGGTGAGGTCTGGGCATATGGTGAAGGTGGGGGCGCCGAGTCTGTGACTGTGACATGGTCCAGGATGACGAGGTCCCTGTCAGACTCGACGACCCGCGGGTGGTCACTCTCCACCAGCACGATCTCATCCTCGCCTGCAGTGTCAGCATCAGACCTTTGCTGCTGCATCTTGAACGGCGACTTCATTGGGGACTGGAGAACACGCAGGTTCTCCCTCGGGTCGTCGGACGGGCGTGGCGAGAAGACATGCGCGCTGTGGATCATCGACATTCGGAGAGCGCGGTGGCGACCAGGGGTATCTGTGGGCCCGGGCGTGGGCGGGAGTGTCGCAAAGACAGGACGAAGGTGTTTGGGCGGGTAAGCAAACCGGAAGCTCTTCTTGTGGACTTCAAGCGTGGAGTTGTTTGGTAGCGGCACTGTCGCAGGCGCTGAGTTTGTAGGTGCCGGAAAGACGGGACAGCCATCGACGAGCACGCCGTTCGAGCCCAACACGACCAAGAAGGCCTGTGTGGCGTGGCCTGTCAGCGGATTTCCAGATGATGGCTGGGCGGGTACATTACTTTGTTGTCTTCGTTGAAGACGAGTTTGCAATGCAGCGCGCTGACGGCCGGGTAGTACAGGCGGATACTGCAGCTCGGATCACGTCCTATCGTGATCTGCGAGTCGTCTATAGGGTAAGACGCTACGATTGTGTCTGGGTCGTGTCTTTTCAGCAGAGACAAAGTGCCATATCGTCCGATATCACTGGCGTCCATATCGATATCCTTGAGCAGTCGCCCTATTTGACAGGAAATCGAGGAACTAAGCAAGGAGCCAGTGAACTATAGAAGAGTGAAGGAGCGAGGAGTAGCCAAGACTGAAATTCGGGGACTTGGTTCGGGTTGGCCAGACGCGAGAATCATGTGACCGTGCTTGCCCTCCAGCGCTCAACCGAAGCCGGAATCTTAAGCAAGAACCAAGTCAGACTTCAGTGGACTGTGGCGTTGTCTAAAAAGCCTTGGAAGCGAAGACGTGTGGGAAGTATAAGCGAGAGTCTACAGTCGTTGCCATATACATGCGAGATACCACAAGGCTAACGTGAATAACGAGAGCACAGTGTGGGAGGGACGAGATTTAGCAGAGAGGCTAGCAGCGTGAGGCTAGCCAGAGTAAAACAGAAACAATATATGTATAACCATTATCATCAACGGGTAGAAAACACGCGAAATGCGATACGCGAAACCTGAACGCGAAGAACAAGAGCAACGAGAAGACTACCGTGACAACGCGTGTGATACTCAGATGGCTCGTCCGCATTGGAATGCTACCATACGTCAGCTACGAGACTAGACACGGCTTACCTTAGCTAACCGGTGAAATCGCTTAAGGAATTCACTATTACTCACTAAGTGCACGCGATGTCGCGAAGGTCAGGGTTTCGAGAAGTAATTTTATTAGAAAACTTTGATTATTCCGCGTATTCGTCGTTTCTATATGACTACAATACGACGTGCTAGTATGACGACCTGCTCCTAGAGAAAGTGCGGCAGGCTATCGTCAATTGAGCAGCGTTACAGTGCAAATTGCCTTGACCAAACAGGCAAGACCACTGCCATAACAAGAACGGCAAGTTCGGCGCTGACTGGCAAGGGTCATCCGATTCTCAATGAAGATGAAGCAGCGACTTGGAAAGTTGTCGCTGCACAGAAACAGTGTTACGCATTAATATGATGTATATTCCGCGCGGATCCGTTACGAGTATACATCAGAACACAAGCATCCTAGAGAAGAGGAAACATGAACGATATGGATACACTGGTGGGCAATACAGGGGGGGTATTTCATGCAAATCTGGGGGGTTGTGGTATGAAGGCGAGAAGATAGATGGGCGCGGGCACATTAGGTGAAGTATAAGGACCATGCAAGCAATGCAACGGGGTGTGAAGACAGTCCGGACAAGAAAAAGAAGATTAAGCAGAAAAGCGTTTTTGCGAGACGAACCAAAGTGCGGCCAGCTCGATATGCTCTATGCGCGTAGCTCTAGTGACGCTCGCGCTCGGCGATGCGCGTCAAGGCGATGAGCACGACCTCCCACGCGAGGTCCATGACACCCCACAGCTCCGCGTCGAACACGCCCAGAGCGCACACGTTTCGCCAGAGGCCGTTGATGACCTTCGCGTGCGCCATCAGGCTGCTCAGTGCGCCCTGCGGGCCAATCTGCGCCGCGGCACTAGCGAGCGCGTGCGCAAGGCGCGAGAGGCTCTCGCTCGTAAACTGCGACACGTACACGGACCGGCCCGCGGACGAGGACGTGCCCCCACTGGGCGCCTGCGGAAGCGATGCCGCGAGGCTTGGCAGAAGCGCGGCAAGCAAGGTGTCGGGGCGTTTCGTGTGGAGGTAGGCATGGAGCATCTGGAAGGTCTCCGCGCTCGGGACGGTGAGCGGGACGACAGGCAGACTCATCGTCGCGGTGCGGTTGGACGGGCGCGAGCGCGGCAGCGCGGGGAGGAGCGTGCAGTACGCGGCAAGCACGACTGCGTGCGAGGGGAAGAGGGGGACGGTCAACGTGCTGGATGCCCCCGCCGTGAACGATGCCGCCGTGGGGGTGTTCGGCTGCGAAGGTGAGGATCTGGACGAGGAAATCGCGAGCATGTGCGTGGGGAAGGCGGATGTGTTGGGCGCATTTGACGTTGGGCGCACAGACACGTCGATAGACGATGCGAGACGCGCTCTAGGCAGGGATGTGGGGTATGTCATAAGTGAAAGGGCCGAGAGCATGCTGTGGAACAGCGACTGGTGAGACATGTACTGAGGCGGAGCAGCATGTTGATACATACGAATTAGCTTGGCCAGCCAAGTGCCTTCTAATGTATTCAATGGGGACATCCGCGAGCTCTGGCTCCAGGGAGGCGATAATGTCGCGCGACACCTCGGAGAAATTGGGTCGCTGGAGCGTCCGGGGCAGCTGGAGACTGGGTGGGACAGCAGCGACATGGGGGTTCATGGGGAGCGTGAGCTCAGGGATGGGACGCGACGCGACTTGAAACATTATGCCGGGTATTACTAGGAATCCGGAGGGAAGTATGAGGCACGCGAGGCACAGACGATGCGAGACGGGTTTCAGGTGAGATCGCTAGAGACACTGTCGCTGGCGTCACTGCAGTTGTAGGAGATTGCTGTAAACATCGAAAGCAAGCAGCCATACTTATACAGTGTATACGGCGCCGTCCCGAGTATAAGGCCGCGGCCAGCCACATGGTGAGGAGGCATAAGAGGATGCACCGTTTTGGGAGCGAGCTTGTCCCAATTCGGGCATGGGTCGGCCACTCATCACGCGTGGCAGATTTCTCGCATGCCCGATCGAGAGAGCGTTGTCGACCACTCCCACTTTGCTCGCGGCTTCCGCTGCGTCTGATCCACGCGAATGCCTTCGAAAGCACCGATCGCGTCTCCATCGCGATACTGCCTTGTCCTCTTCAGGTGACACCCAGCGCCATGGCTGCCACTGCTCCCGACCGCGTCAAGTGCCTTATATTTACTCCCAGTGCTTGTCCGACCTCTTGCAAATCGCACGTACAACAAATCTTCACATGGAAGATACCATGTAACAACGACATTTGTATGCACTCAAAAGTCAGGCCTTGTGTCATGCGCAGCGCGTCGGCGGCAACAGCGGCAGGACGATGAGATCTGGCTTCGACCAACGCTTGTTGCGATGTTCTGTTGGCTCTCCAGGGTACGTCGGATAGTCGTGTTTTCTCTGATCCTTAGTAAGCAGGACCCGCCGCACTCCCTGCAGTTCGCCGCACTTTCACCTGGACATCCGACGCTTGCATCTGGATCCTGGTTACCACACGGGCAGGCTCAACGCAAAACTACATCTGTCCGCCTCTTAGATGTGTTCATTTTTGAGGGCATGGCCGCCGACGAGCTGGACGAGCGAGCAGCGAATATATCGTGGTATCGGAGCCATGCGCGTCAGATAAGATGATGCTTACTTAGGCGGCAGAGATGGCTCTGCATGCTATGCGAGTTCGGTGAGCTGGTGTATGGGCTTACCTTGCTCGTAATGAAGGAAGACTGTCCGTCGAAAGCCCAAAGTGCATCAAGGAGAAGATGGGGAGCACAGAGGTTGAGATCTGTGAGAGCTGTCTCCCAGCTCCATTGCTCAATTTATATGTCTCGCTGACACCTAGTACACACACAAGACGCGTCGGTCCCTTGGACAAGACGAGACAGCTGCTTATTGCTCGCAGTGCCTGTACGCCGGGGTGTTTCCACGCAAGGCGGATGCAACTAGAAGGACCGTTGCCGTAAATGGAAGGGTGAAAGGGAGAGATGTACAACGGACGCTGCCCGACTGTCACCGAGGGTTCTAGTGGATCTCGGCAGTGTGATCACCGTTGTATCTTCTTCTTGCATATATGCACGTATTCCCGCTGGCTGTGCTATGCAGTTAGGGATGCACTTTTGGTGCGCCTGAGGCAGGCTTGAAAGCGCGAGCTGCCTAATGGAAGCATGCGTGCCATAGGATTATTTGAGCCTAGCCATTGTCTCACATATATGGAAAGTTGTATCGACTTACTAAAAGACTGCTCAAAGGATTTCTGACACTGTACATACAGAATGCACGTCCGCGAAATCGGGCTGGAACAATTAGACATGCATACATGGCGAGTACATATTTCCATCTGGGCCGTGGTTTGTCGTTACAGGCCTCAAAAAAATTGTGAGACTCTCAAAGTCCTATCGCGCTATGCATTAAGGGGGAATCGAACCCCCGGCGGGTCGAGATTGTATGGCAACGACCCAGGTTACCACTACCCCATTAATGCATATAGCCTAGCTGTCTACATACATTCACATGTCAATGGATGCGCTCAAGGGTCACACACCATTAATTTGGAAACCCTCAACTGTTTACGAGCGATGATATTAGCCTAGTCTGTTCGAGATACATGAATTATTATCATTATTAGTGTCATACTTGTATAATAAGCGTTGTACTTATAGGGATCATGAGGCAACAGGTGAAGATTTGTTTGTAAGTGACTTGAGAATACCATACGATGAACTAATGCAAGGGGTATCCCAATGCCGAACAATGTTCTGCCTTAAATCGGCGCGTAAGCCAATCAGGGTTTTAGCGAGGGACTGGCAGTCTGTCTCAGTGCGAACACACCGGCATATACTCGATCAAATCGATCTTGAGACTGAGCCCGAGACCGCCTGCTTCCTCGGTAGAGGGACATACTATGTCCTTGGAAGCATGATGTGGAGCTTGTGAGGATTTGATTTACTTATGAATCAGTGAAACCGTCGATGATGCCAGCCGGTGCCTGATGAGTGGCTGCTCTATTCTTGTTGACTCCGCCCCTGCGGAGAGCAGACTGGCCCCGTGAGTAGCAGAAATGGCAACTTAGTCTATGAAAGCATTGGCGTACGGTTGGGACCCGTGTGGTCTCGCGCCTGTGAAAAGCTGCACGACGAAAGTCAACTCCGAGAGTCCCCGCCATGCGTAATTATTACCGCAGCCACGCGAGTGGCAATTAAGGACTGGCGCGCGGCGCATATAGCTCATGTGGAGAAAATCACTTGTGCAGGACAAGAACCCCAGAATGCATCTGGTGGCAGGGCTATGACGTCCGAACAGTGGTTGGAGTGAGTGTAGAGGCAATTATTACAGCACTGTAAACCATCATCACCTGAGTTTCCTCACCGACGCTTCTCAGCTTCTTCGGATCATGTACTATATTGAGTGGATCGAGGGTTCCAAACACCGGAAGGCCTATTATCAAAGAAGTCGGACCCGGACACTGCCTCTGTCACAATCAAGACCGGAGCATTCACCTATAAGGTGGCTCAGCGCAAGCACCCTCGACTGGGCTACAACAGCGGAGGTGCTCTCCTCCACGGAGGACAAATTATTGAATTATTGAGTAAAGGTGATTATATTCGGTGGGTCTGTGTACTTGCTCCAAGAGCGGCGCATGAATGGAGTGGCGAGACCAAGAGCTTTCTCTGAGTTTGTGGGATGTCAGGTAAACTTATTCCATCCGTGATAAGCCATGGAAGATAGGACTGGAGATGATGTACCTTCTGTGATATTAGGGAGAAGAACACGAGATTTGAGAGGACACGCCGTGGGCGCACGCAGCCTGCAGGTTGAAGAAGTTGGTGTGCCGCTATACCAAATATAGGCATGACCACCCCTGATGAGGATTACTTGCATTTGCATTGATGTGATCGAACTGTGGCCAGTATGTGTCAGTCACGTTCTTGAATTTAACGAGACATTTCCGGCCACCATTGCGTCCTCACCCGACTGTCGCTACATGCACACCCAAAGGGCATGGTTCTTATGACCGTAATGGTCCAACTCGGAATAGCAGGTCATGCAGATCTTCAGGTGTTGCGGCCGAGGGATAACTCAAATAGCCAGGGGAGAGCATGACACAGTGGTTTCATACGAGGTATGGCGCTGCTCGATTGTTTTATTGAATCCAGCTGTTCACCTGCCGGCAGCCGATTGTTATCGGGTTTGCCAGCACGGCTCGCACTATTCGACTCGGATTAATTGCGCGATAAGTGCGCTCTGGCCTTCGCTCTATCTGTCGCACAGCAGTGACTTCTCACTATCGATCACTCGCAGCTGAAGATTTGGGCAGGCACTTCGGTGATGGCTCCTGTTCCACTCGTCGCTCATCTGGTCAAACACGTTGCCTGTGCATGGCTGGGGATGGAAGCGCCTTTTTGTAAATGTCTCCTCGTCATAAGACACCCAGTCATGGTCTCGAGCCGTTCTCTCGCTAATCTTCCTTCGTCTTCGGGCAACTGCATCGCTCGAGCCTTGCTTGTCCCTGACCATGCCTCCTTCCACGATGAGCCCGCGCTCGTCCCCGCCTAGCTCAAGTCGCTACACGGACGCTCTACCCTTTCCCCGCAACACGAGCATGTCGGAATTCGAAGTCGAGCACTCGTCGGTGAAGGTTCCCGTCTCTCCTCCAAAGCCTCGGAAAGGGCGAGCTTCTTCAGAACGCGATGTCGAGGTCGCGCTACGTTCGAGCGTCCCCGCCCTTCTCGCTGCGAGAGCACGCCCATTCACGGTGTCAGGGCGCATCCCTATCGATCCTACTGCATTGAAACTGTTCTTCAGAACGAGGGTAAGTCCATAGCCTCGCATATGCTAACAGTTGGGAGCTTGTTAATCGCATGCGCAGAGTGGAATCACGTACTCGGTGGACTTCCCCGTTGACATCGATTATGACATTCCTCCAGGCATGGAAGTGCTTATCGCAGCTTGCCTACCACATTCACCAGCATTTGACGACTTTGCACAACCTCAGAACGAATCCCTGTTTTTCCCGCAGGACCTACCTCTTACCTCGACGCTCGAGATTGCCAATCACCCAATATTGGATGCTATGCGGAACACTCTGTTCCCTACACTACCTGTCGGACACTACCTCACCACTCTTCGAGACAAGCTTGAGATTGTGTTGAGCGGGAGCAACATGCCGGTTCAGCTGCGGCCAAACGATAATCGGGTGGCGACCATTGTCGTGACATTACCCTCGCGCTTTCGCGGCGGTCCACTTGTCGTACGCAATTCAGAGGGTGTGGAGGAACGGTTCTTCGGTCGTGGTGGGAAGAGTGGGTCCATAGAATGGACGGCGTTCATGGCGGATTGTGATCACCATGTTGAGACAGTGCAGAAGGGTTGTAGGGTGACTGTCAGCTACGCTGTCCATCTCAAGACATTCGGACCGGCAGCCATACAGCCAGACCCGCTGATCTCGCCTAGCGATCAGTTCTTGGACTTGCTGTCACCGATCCTCAACTTGTCGCGCGGTCGCCGCATCGCATTCTATCTGACCGGCGATTACGGTGTTAACCCTGGGGAGGTTCTTGCGGAAACGCTGGTGCCACACGTATGTCTTTCTGTCACAACGTCACATCCGTAAACTGACTCGCACCATGCAGCTCAAAGGTGGGGACTCCTTACTCTACCACGCTGTCAAGCTATACAAGCTGGGCCCCGAGTTGCGCTGGACAGCAGGCGGTTACATTTGGCCCGTTGACCAGACTGTCGAGTTCACCAACGATGCCTATGATAGCCCAACACTACCACAAGCCTCCACGCCTTTATCTGTTTTGGATGGTGGTCGCTTGCCCCCAATGCAAGGTCCCTTTAGCTCAGGAGCCTCGGAGCCCGGCGAAGAAGAAGAGGAGAGTTTGCGAACGCGTGTTGAGAAGAGTGGTGCGATCCCTTTGTCCGATACGGACATCGTGCTACTGAACGATATGCTGCGAGGGCCCGTCGCGAAGCAGAGAGTACCCTTCGTGCAGAGAGGGGAGCTGGAGAGGTTAGTTGTGAATGTGCTTATGGTTTTATACGTTCCCTAAGTCTCGCTTTTCTCTGTCGTCGCCTTGCCTTTTCGGTCTTGATATTAGACCTTTGTACCGATAGCCCCATGTTGTAGTCGTAATACTTCAAGTTGACATTATTTCCTGTGTTTTCGTCGGTACCTAGCGCATCTATCACAGCCAATCAGAATGAGCCGAAATCTAACCGAAAAGCACAGTTTCGGCGAAAGCCGGAGTCTGGTCATCACCGCTACTCGTCGCGTTGCTCGACGAGCTCATCGAGTTTCCTATCATACCGCTGTGTTGGACGTCGTCGAGCACAGTCTCGACGCCCCTGGATTACTTCGGACATGTTGCGGCTGGTGTCGAAGCCTGCGTCCACGGGACTCATCACCAAGGTAGTCCCGTCGTCTTGCCTGGGGGGTACGTCACGATTTCTTTTATGTCGGCCGCATTTGCCGGTCTCATCTCGGTTGGTATTCTGTTCAGGTCGACGGTCATTTGCATCGACATCTACGCGGCAGGCCGACATTACTTTGACTGTAGATGGGAAGGAGGTGACAGTACCGCAGGGTGCGTAGCTACGTTAACTGCAATGAGGAGACGATGTCCATAAGGCATATTGTGACAGGCTCAGCATTGATTCAAGCATGCGAAGCAGCAGGCGCAACCATTCCACGGTCTGTCTGCCATGCATTTCAGCCTGAGGTTGCATCGTTGACGCTGACGATATATAATAGATTCTGTTATCATGACCGACTGGCCATTGCTGGGAACTGCCGGTAAGTGCCTTTTTTTTGTCTCAGATCTAGATCACAACGCCGGTATGCAGTATGTGCTTGGTAGAGGTTGAAAGATCACCAAAGCCGGTCGCATCATGGTGAGTACGAGCGTCTACACGGGTTGGAGGCAGATGTTCAAACGACCTTGTGAAGTGCAATGCCTGCGATGCCTGGCGCGAAGGTATTTACGAACAGCCCTCTTGTCCACGAAGCAAGGTATGCCATGAGATGACTCCTCTTTCACTATATGATGAGATTGACGACTCAAACCCAGGGAAGGTGTCATGGAATTTTTGTTGGCAAATCATCCTCTGGACTGCCCTATCTGCGACCAGGGAGGAGAATGTGATCTTCAAGATCAATCAATGCGATACGGTGCTGACCGTACTCGCTTTCACGAGATCACCGGCAAGCGAGCTGTCGAGGACAAGGACCTTGGGCCCCTTGTGAAAACATCCATGAACCGGTGTATTCAATGCACGCGCTGCGTGCGTTTTGCGAACGAGGTTGCTGGGGTGGAGGAGCTCGGCACGACAGGTCGCGGAAACGACATGCAGATCGGAATGTACGTGGAGAAGACGATGAACTCGGAATTGTCTGGAAACGTGGTGGACTTGTGCCCCGTTGGTGCGCTTACCAGCAAGCCCTACGCCTTCCACGCACGTCCCTGGGAGCTGAAGCACACGGACTCCGTCGACGTCCTGGACGCGGTGGGTTCGAATATCCGTGTTGACTCGCGTGGCGTGCAGGTCATGCGTATCCAGCCCCGGCCAAACGACGACGTCAACGAAGAGTGGATTAGCGACAAAACGCGCTATGCCTACGATGGTCTCAAGTTCCAAAGGCTGACTACGCCGTTGATCAAGCAAGGTGATCGGTTCGTTCCCGCCTCATGGGAGGATGCGCTGTCTACGATCGCAGACGGCCTTGCTCGTTCGGGGGCGCAGGATGATGAAATCCAGGCCATGGCGGGTCACCTCGCAGACACCGAGGCGATGGTCGCACTCAAAGATCTGATCAACCGGCTTGGTTCTGACAACTTGGCTCTGGACTGTGTTGGTGGAACCGCTGCTCCTGTTCACGGAGTCGACATCCGATCTAACTACCTGTTCAACTCGACCATTGCTGGTGTGGAGCAAGCGGATGCCATTCTCCTCGTCGGCAGTAACCCACGCCACGAGGCGGCCGTTCTCAACTCGCGTATCCGCAAGAGCTGGCTACACACGAGCCTCGAAGTCGGTCTGATCGGGGAGCGCGTGGACACCGCATATGGTTACGAGTACCTAGGTGCGGACGCCAAGGCTGTTGCGGACTTCGTTGCTGGCAAGGGCGAGTTTGCACAGAAGTTCAAGGCTGCTAAGCGACCCCTCATTATCGTCGGTAGCGCGTTGACCGAACATCCTGATGGCGCCTCAGTCTTTAACGCACTGGCCAGGTTTGTCGAGAAGAACCAGAGTAAGCTCGTAACGCCGGAATGGAACGGGTTCAATGTTCTGCAGCGCGTACGTGTGATGCGCTCAAGTTCCTCCCAGACGACTCATCTACTTCTCGTTCTAGGTCGTTTCCCGTGCTGCCGCATACGAGATTGGCTTCGTTCCTTCCAAACAGGCAACCGCTACGAAGCCGAAGTTCATCTACCTGCTTAACGCTGACGAGGTTGACCCGAAGTCGATACCCCAGGACGCATTCGTTGTATACCAGGGACATCACGGTGACCTTGGCGCGCAGCTTGCAGACGTCTGCTTGCCTGCAGCCGCCTACACCGAGAAGTCCATGACGTGGGTGAACACTGAGGGTCGTTCACAGTTGGGCCGTGCGGCTGTGCCACCTCCGGGTGCATCGCGTGAAGACTGGAAGATCATCCGGTGAGCCGACTGTTCGTCTCATGAGAGAGTATTTGAACTCACGGCTGTTTCCAGTGCGCTATCTGAGGTCGTGGGCAAGCCTCTACCGTATGATGATGTGCTGAGCTTGCGAGATCGCATGTGGGAGATCTCCCCGACTCTGGTGCGCTACGACACGACGGAGCCTACTTCCGTCGATGTTGCCCTTGTTGGTCTCAAGACACTGGCTGCGGGAACTGCGAATGCCAAGGCCACAGGGAAACCGTTCTCCAAGCCTATCAGCAACTTCTATCAGACGGATCCAATCTCTCGAGCGTGAGTATCTGGTGGCACTTGCTTGAAGCATGGAACACTAATCAATCCCCGTGCAGATCGGTCACCATGGCGCAGTGTACTCGTGCGTTTGTTAAGGGTGAAAACTATGGCTTCAGTGAACTTTCCGGTGCCCCAGAAGCGGCATACGCATAGCCTACATGATTGGATGTAATAGTGATGCCCTTCTGAATACTCTGGCGTGTCCCATTGTTGTTTGACTAATTGGACACATGGTGAAGGTGTGGCGTGGTCGTCAGGCAGCCGTGGCGAGCAGGCCGTCAATCTCATAACACCCGGTACCCCTTATGAAATGAAGTTATTGTACTATTGTCTGCGAAGGTACCCTGGACGTGGCGGTATGAATAAATGGGCTTACTCGAGATTGACTTCGAAGCCGTGCCGGTTATAAGAGGTTACCTCATTTAGCAAACTGCGGCTGTATTGCATACTGTCACGTCCGGGCAGCTGCCCGCCAATGCTCTTCCTTTCTATTCTTCGTTCATTCCACCATGAGTTCGTCTATCTATTCTGATGTTATGTCTACACCGTCCGGCCTTGGCTACCACCGGCCTGCCTCAATCTCTGAACTTGCAGCGCGAGCTCAGGACAATCTCTGGGACCCGACCAAGGGTCTCAAGCACTGGCTGCGCACTGCTGAGAGAGCTCGTAGACATGCAGAAGCTCTAGCGACCGATGGCGACTACGAGAGTGCATTTGTGGAGTATGCGAAAGCCGCCACCATCGTGCTGGAGAAGTTGCCGACTCACAGAGAGTACAATGTCTTGCTGAATGCCGACCAGCGGCAGAACTTAGGCATGGTGAGTATGGCCCGTTAGGGATCCTCGCTTTGTGTCTGCAAAGCTCCTGTTCTGCTGTAATCTGCCTGGAGTGTATGTGGGACCGCTGTCGCACGCGAGTAGTTGTCTGACCCCGGAGTGCTCTATGGTAGGTTCGATCGGCGAATGTTGCGTCTCACTAGTGAATTCTCGTGTCCCTCTACATTCCATGCAGATGACCTAGGTCATTTGATCTTTCTAGTCTCAAGTCCTTGTCTCAAGACTTGGTATTCCGTGAAACTGTGGTCACAAGTGTACGCTTCACACCGGGCTGAAGCAGATCCAGATCTGTGCTCGGGCCCAGGTTCTCTGCTACTGAACGGTTATTTCTATGTCCATATACGTATCTACCACGTCGTGATCGCTGACATGTACTCTTGTAGAATGGGCAAGACATTCTGGATAGCTTAAGCCAACTGAAACCAGTGCTCGTGGATCGATTTGAGCAGTGGCAAGCTCAGCAGGCCGCGGCCGCCAGCTCTAGTCGACCTTCGACCTCTAGCTCAATGTATGCAGACAGTATCAGTCGTGAAGAGGCTGCTCGGCGGCGCCGTGAGGAACAACAAGAGGAACGTGCACGGTATGCCCTCGAGGCAGCGCGTAGGGAGCAGGATTGGCAGCGCGATGCCCTGGCACGCCAGCAAGCGGAAGAGAGGGATCGACATGCACGTGAGGAGGGTGCCTGGGCTGCACAACAACAAATGGAGTCGCGCAGGAGAGCAGAGGCGGCTGTTGCGGCTGAGAGACGTGCTGCGGAGGCGAAGGCCCTAGCAGAACGTGAACGACAGGCGGAGAAGGCGCGGAGAGAGGATGAAGCACGGGGAGAGGATGAGAGAAGGAGGCTAGTTGAGAGGTCACGGCAAGAACAGGAAGGCATCTTGCGGCGACAGCAAGATTCAGAGATGGCAGCACTGTCTGCACGGATGGACGCGGTCACGCGATTATCGCCTGTTCCGCCCGCTCCCAGTTCGTCACAACATACCCCTGCGCGGACAAATGAAGATGGCCATTCCCGAAACGCGTCCCGCGGGTTCCCTGTCGCGGCGCCGCAGCCCGCGCGGGCAGCCTCATCCCAGCATGATTCGATGTATAGCAATGGGATTGGTTTGTCCATTCTCCCGCTCGAGAGTCCCACGCGCAACGATGACGATTCCTCGACGGATGTTGAAGGGATAGACCGTCAACAGTCCTGGCATCGCGCAAGGCACGCAGATCAAACTCCGACCAAATTGAAGCAATACACGCCTGGGTACGTCTGTTGGATATCCGCACAATTATGTGTACTCACATAGTTCAAATACCAGCATCGCATACCCACCCCCAATCACTACCACGTCCCCCGCACCTCCGGAGCTGAGCTCCATCCGCTATCCCACCCTCATGTCACAACATCAACTTAAGCAGGGCTATGTGCCGTCATTGCAGTCAATGTTCTCAAAGCCATCCACGGAAACACGTGGGGCACCAGATTCGTCATTGCTGTTCAACGCGGAACCTGCCAGACCATCGTACCCCAAGCCCCCAACGCCTATTTCCAACCCCGTCATCCCTCCGTATCCCAGTCATATGCCCGTCCCTGAGTCGCACAGCCGCCAGGGCTCCGTAACGTACCCAAATGTCGGCCGTCGGGGTCCTTCTCCTTCGGGCGCGCGTGGTGGTCCGTCTGTATCGAGAGAGAACGGATACATCTCCTCTCAGGCTGTAGCACCACGTATTGTCCCGAGCACATCTACTGATTCTGGGCGTGAGCTCAAGACGGTTCGGCTACCGCGGGAGTGCTTGCAGCGCTTCTTATCCATCGCGCGTATCAACACAGCGCAGAACAGGGAGACGTGTGGCTTGTTACTGGGGAAGGACAAGGGTAGTAAGTATGTCGTGACGACTCTCCTCATCCCTAAGCAACACTCGACCAGCGACACATGTACTATGGATGAGGAGGAACTTGTGTTGCAATTTACCGAGGAGAGGCATCTGATTACGCTTGGCTGGGTGAGGATTCTCATTGTCATACTACATTTTCACCCTCTTATACGACTCTTTGTCTTTAGATTCATACACACCCGACGCAATCATGTGCGTCTGCCTGCTCATGAGCTGTTATTGGCGACCTGCTGACATCTTTGGTTGTCAATTCCAGGTTTTATGTCGTCAGTAGATCTGCACACGCACTCTGGCTTCCAGCGTATGCTACCGGAATCATTCGCAGTTGTTTGTGCACCTTCATCACAACCCCAGTACGCCTCCTGTCATCCTCTGTCTCGATGCTGATAGATTGACATTCTCATGATTAGATTTGGGATCTTCCGATTAACAGATCCCGGGGGCTTGCAAACTATCTTAGATTGTACTGTCAAAGAGGCTTTCCATCCACACCCCGAGTTGCCCATCTATACGGTATGTCCATGTCGCTCATTGATTGATTCCTATCAACTCAAATATCACCATCGCAGGACTGCGACAATAGCCATGTACAAATGAAAGACATGCCTCTGGAGATAGTCGATCTGCGTGCATAGGTCATTCTCTCTTTCTTCATCATTTTCTGCTGTATACCTGCATCGTCTGTACCGGGATTCCCATCATACTTCATCTGCCTTATTGCATTGTACAAGGCGTTGTACGTTACACTATACATTGTTTAGGAGATTTTGCATCTGTCGTGTCGTAATATCACATGCTAAGCCTTTCGTAATGCCTCCGCTTCTGAGATCTGAGCACTGAGTGAGGCGGTTGCATCGATCTTGATCTCGATTCAGCTTATTTAGGCAAGCTATATACAACTCGCTGACAAAGCATCGCGAGTGGCTTGTCTTTTCATATTTGCGATGCCGTTCAGCCAAACCGAAATCGAAGAGGAACAAGCTCACTTTGCTCAAGTGATTTCTACGTTCAAGCAGTATGCAGCGTACTCTGTGAGGGCAGACTTTGGACGAAGGGCTTTTGCGCACGCTGATCGCTTGTTATCCAGTTGGCTGCGAACAATCGGCGTAGAAAGGACTTATTCACATTGCCGAGGGCTGACCAAGAATTGCTGGATAGCCTTGGGTATAAAGAAAAGTTGGCGCAGGCTGACCGAGCCATCCTCACCAATGCGGCATTTTTGAATACGATCGTGGCAAATCCAGAGATCTTTGGACATGATCTAGACGTTGAGGAAGAAGCGTCAGAACAACAGCAGGAAGGACAAAATAAACAGCAGAAAATTCAAGGTGATCAGTCTTCTGCAGGTTGACTTAGAGCTTCTTGCATGCTGATAGGGTCACATTCATGACTATCAGCTCCCTCTCATTCTCATTCGCACGGCCATACACACGGATCGCATTCGCATTCTCACTCACACGGTGACCCTCAAGCGTCTATGCATAACGCAAGCGCAGACAATGCCCAATCGAAACAACAGCCCCATCGTCCAAGCGACTTTGATATGGACAGGCTGCGTAGCACCCTGAAACAGTTTGTACGGGACTGGAGTGAAGAGGTTCACGCGATCCCTCACGTTTGAATCGAAGCAGCCACTTAAAGTATGTTTCAGGGTCGAGCGGAGCGTGAAGTCTGCTATGTTCCAATAAGAGATGCATTGCTTGATCATTTCGCGCATGTCTCTATAGAAGAGAGGTCGGTGGACTCTTTGGTTGGAACATGTTTCTTATTCATTCTCCCATTTCTCTCTAGGAGAAAGCTGCGTGTATTAGTTCCCGGCGCTGGACTCGGTAGACTGGCATGGGACGTGGCAAACTTGGGTGAGAGAACCGCCCAGCGGAAAAATGCTCGTGGCGCTCATAATTTTCGTAGGCTTCGCTTGTCAAGGGAATGAGTTTTCGCATTACATGCTACTGGCGTCGTATTATATTTTAAACCGGTACGTGGCGTATTATCGATGACAGGAGTGTTGCCGTTCTCATCACGGGCACATAGGACGGACAGCATCAACGAACACACGATATTTCCATACGTGCATTCCTTCTCAAATCTTCCAAACAGTGTGGCTATGTTACGACCGATCGCTATCCCAGACGTGTTACCATCATCGTTACCACCCGGTAGCGATTTCTCCTTGGTAGCAGGTCAGCTAGGCCGTTCTGCACTTGCCAAGCCACTGATCACGTTCCCGGCAAGGTGATTTCGAGGAGATTTATGGCGCAGACGATAAAGAGGGCGAACCACATGCGGGACAATGGGACGCGATCTTGACATGCTTCTTCATCGACACTGTGAGTGTTTAGAGTGTCATCTGACACGAATGATCCACACTTATTGTACTTAGGCCAAAAATATCGTCAACTACTTGCGTATTATTCATCGCATCCTAGCGCCAGGCGGGGTGTGGATTAACCTCGGTAAGCACCTCGTCGAATGTCCCCATTCGATAGCTGATCCTTCTCCGAATAGGGCCCTTGTTATGGCATTTCGAAAACAACTCGACAAATGATACGTCTATCGAGCTCAGCCTCGAAGAAGTCACAAATCTTGCAAGGAAGATCGGCTTTCAAGTAACAGTAAGCTCATAACACATTTCGACATTCTATACTGCATACCAAAGCTCATGGTAATAGCACGAGCGATCAATTGGCACTACGTACACGAATAATGCGCAGAGTATGTTGGGCTATGTTTACCACGCAGCATTCTGGCGGGCGACGAAGGCACATTGAAGGTAGTATGTCGGAATCTATCTAGTTGAGGTGAGAGATCCGATCGTGAGTGGCAGTGCTGAAAGCGTAGAATCCATCACGGCAGCAGCTCACATTTGATGGTTGTGATGTCATCGTTTTATTCGCGAAACTAGAATGAGGTAGAAGATGCCGTGACCGTCCGCGGTTCGAAGGCAATACGTGTTCGGGGACACATGTAGTGGCCTCATAGGTAAAGCGGTAGCATCCAAGGTATTCTGTGAGATGCATTGTCGATGATGATTTGAATGGTGTGAGCGATGTGGTTTGATTCAGGTATATTACCACCCATTGGCATGGAGATCTTCAAACACAAGCCACAGCAGTATGAGGGTGCCTTCGATCTTCCGGAGTCCGGATAGGAAAAGGTGAGACACTTTGACTGGAGGTCTCTGTTGATTGTCGTGCGGATAGTGAGACTAAATATTGATATACGTAATGCCAGAACAAAGGGAAATGAACGCCGGAGACAAACTTCAGATGTTGGATCCTATGCGAGTGATACTGTCGCGCACGGGTTAGTAATTGTGCTCCAGCGTGGAATGGGAAGTTCAGACGTACAGAAGATCGACCTCAGACATTGATGTCGAGCGGTGACGCTGTAGCTGTTGGCACCGACGTCAAAATGCCGAACATAGACGAAGGCAACGATGGTTAAGTCTTCACTTCCTCGGGCTTGATAATGGCATTGAAGACGGGAGAGATCTTGGCTGCGCTTCAGATTTCTCCATGACATTGAGATCCGGCTGCCCATACATACAATGTGCTCTCAGAGATGGCGCTTCTAGTCAAGATATCGCTGGATTGTAGGTGATTTCCAGAGGACTGTCGGCTTGCTTCAGGATATCGTCGTTATAGCCAAGTGAGTCGCGATATTGTCTTCATAGTTGGCACGTACTGAACGCGCCCATGACCTAGACTTCTTAAGAATGCCTGGGGAGGTAACCGAAAATATGCTGCCGCTTATGATCACTTGTGGATATGTCAGATAGGTCGGTGCAGTTCGTCATACTCCTTTGAATGGCTGCTATCGTGGCCATGTCCGTCGTGGAGGGCATCGATCTTGTGCAGTCAGTCATCGCCGATGCACCCGCGCAGCATTCTAACGATCCCGCTTACTTAAACAGCGTTGCTAATAACGGTGATGATACTCTCTCTGCATCTCACTTATTATTACCTCCAGCAAAGGCCGCTGGAGAGGTCATAGGTTATGCCTGAGAGGATGAGCGCATACTGCCGATGCTGTCACAGCAGTGATCTGTGAGAGTCTATCATTACTGGGGCTCATGGCGCACAGCGCAGGCTAGCTATGCGTATATGTACATGCGTGAAGGTATCTGCCGACACTAGTCGCCATCAATGGTATGCTGGCACCCCCCAGATTCGGCGCGATGTTTCAAAGCGCTGCGACACCTTTGGTAATTTACTTGAATCTTGCTCCTATGAGCGATAGCCTCACCATGTCCTCGAGAGACTGTATCACAGGAAAAAGACAGATTACGTACTGATCAGGGAGTCCAGAATCATGCTCATCTGACTATGTCACCCATGTGTTTCCCGCTTCTGGTGGCCGCTTCTGTCATCAATACTCTCCTGCCAGCGCCATTGGGTCAGTCATTTCATGGTCTCATGACAGTTACTGACGATGGATCGCCGCACTCCAATGCTTCTATCCAAGGTAGCGGCCCGCTTGAGGTTCGTGCGCTTGCGTGGGCCAGCTCCTTTGTGGCCATCTGACTGCTCTATCCGTCCACCGGACACTCAAGTGCTATCTGCACTTCGTATAAAATGACTTGTGCTACTGAAAGCATCGTGCGCGTTGGTCGTATGTTACTTCTCATGAACGTGATGTATTCATCGCATATCTTCGGCAGCACGATCGCGAAACTCCCAGTATTGGCATTTCTAGCATCAGTGATAGCCCGCACATATGCCATTACACCGGATGATTCAACCTGTAGGCAACTCGTAAACTCTTTGAGACGTCTCTAATTGTTTTTTTTTGCTTGATCAGTGCTTGATCCAACATTTACACGTTTGCCCACGGGGTCCGTCAAGCCATCTGGTTGGGCTTGGAACATGGCCCTGGTCCAAGCCAATGGCTTGGCGAGTCAGCAGCCTGTATGGTTCAGCTAGTGAGTATTCGCTCAATAGTTTCCTTAATGAGAGTGCTGATCTACACGTTACCCTCTCAAGCGTGAAAAATTCCGTCTGGCAAGGCGGGATGCTCGAATACAGCGAGATGCAGGAAGCTGCGCCTTACTGGTTGTAAGTCTTATTGCCTGAAGTCTCGCCTGGGTGAATATGTTTTTGATTTCCTGCAGCAACGGATGGGTTGCGCTCGCATATCAGACTCAGAACGAGACTTTGCGCGAATATACCAAGACATTTTTGGACTACGTTTACGCGTCGCAGGAGTCATCCGGTTATTTTGGCCCGTATCCCTTTGACTCATCCCTTCCAACACTACTCTGGCCGCGGTATATGACTATGCTCGGTCTCATCGTGCGGTCCTGCATTCGTGGTATCTCCGTGAATGATGTTGATTCGTTCTCCTTGTACAGCAATATGCGGAAGCCGACGCCAGCGAGACTAGCAAAATATCCGACCTACTTCATGCCTTCGTGCCATACGCAGCTGAGAAATTCGCGAGCGGCGATCTCGGTGATCCATCTCTCGGTGAGCAATATGGGTACCAGCAAGTCCGCTGGGAAGAGGTGGGGGCGCTCGTACAACTCGAATTGTTCCAAGCTGATGTAAGGCGGAAGTTTGTGCTCGTATTGCAGTGGCTATACGACAACGACCCGCGGGGACAGCAGACTCAGTTGATCTCGCTCATGAAGGCCGCCCGTGCACAGGGCTTCTCTTGGAAAGATGACTTGTTTGTAGATAACGGCACATTCCCTAGAACAGCAGTCCCTGCGGCCGAGGCGGGCATGCACAAGTCAGTACAAATTATCATGACATGAGTGTCATGAGGTTGTTGACGATCGTCGCATGTAGCCATGGTGTGAATGTTGCAGAAGGTATCGGAGCGATCGGGTTTTAAGAAACCGGAAAATACTAATTGACATGGCACCCAGCGCTGAAATCGGAAGCATTGGCTTGGCGAATGACCGGGGAACAGAGCGACATCGATAGCACGTAAGTCTCGTCTTCGCACATACTCAGACCAGGTATAATGACCACGTGTGGCGCAGCTATGCGCGTGTTGAAATGCTCTGGCAGTACCACGGACGTCCTCAAGGCATTTTCAACACCGATGAACATCTGGCCGGTCTTCACCCATCAAGAGGGTATGTGTGTCTCTGTTCGTATCTGAGCAACGTAGTCTAAAGCGGCACACCTCGCAGATCGGAATACTGCACGAGCGTTGAAACAATGTTCTCACTAGAGATGATGTATGCAACTCTAGGAGCGCCCCAGTGGGCGGATCTCTTGGAGAGGGTTGCCTACAATTCTCTTCCGGCTCAGGCACGTCTTCTCTGCCTAGTGCACGTCAATTGGGTTTTGACAGTAAAACCACGTATTCAGAGTACACCAGATTGGTGGGCGCACCAATATCTCCAGCAGACGAACCAAATTTGGGTTGCAAACCATAGTCAGGGTGTAGTATGGACCGACGGGCCTTATAGCAACGTGATGGGGATGGAGCCAAATTACCCGTGCTGTGCGTCCAGTGTTTCTTGCTGTATTCTAAAATATGCTGAATAGGTTCAGGCACTGTCAATCATCCACAGGGATGGCCGAAGTTCTGGAGTAACAGCTTCTTGTTGGCCGACAACGGTACAGCCCTTGTACATGCCTTCTTAGGACCAGCGACAGTCTCTACGAAGCTCGCAGATGGTGTGTCGACTAGCAGTGAGTTGGCAGCAGGAATTCTGCGATCCTGTTTATGATTTGACACACTCTATAGTCACCGTGAAGACAGACTATCCCTTCGGCTCCACGCTGATTTACGAAGTCACATCCTCCGCGCCGTTCACATTCTACATCCGCATTCCCAGTTGGGCCCAGTTGACCAGTACGATTGCCGTCAACGGTGGAGATGCCTCGGCGCTGTCGCCCGATACATCGAGCTCGTTGCAGAGTGTACGTGTCGGAGCGGGCATAACATCCGTCGAGCTATTCCTTGACATGCAGACCGAGATCGAGCAGAGGTCTAATGGCAGTATTGCTGTGTACCGTGGTCCGCTCTTGTATGCGGTTGATCTGGGCCATAACGACACCACGACGCTCGCTATGAGGTGCGTATCTTCCGTTCTAGTCTACGGAGGTCCTAATGTAATCCCTCACTGTCAGGTCTTCAGGGCCACTGGAGTTCCTGGAGACGTTGCCGAATGTCCCGGCGGCCGACCTTACATTGGTACGTACTGCTGGTAACCGTTATCATGCGATTCGTGTTCGTGTGATTGATATACGCGTGACAGTACGACAACCACACGCACGACCACACATGGGTCGTCACCACGCCATGGAATGTTGCAATCGACCCGTCGACGTTGGAGTTCCACGAGCAAACCATATCCGAGTTGCCCTATTATGTCTGGGAAACAGGAGCACAGCCTCAGTCGATGACAGCGACCGCATGTGAGGTAGAGTGGCCGACATTGCTTGGCGACGCGGATTGGCCACCTGCTAATGCAAGCTGCCTGGGCGGGTCATTCGAGGTGACATTAAGGCCGTTTGGTGGGACGAGACTGAGGATCGGGGAGATTCCGACTGTATCGATTATATCATAGTGTCATGACGCGAGCCACATGTGTGATTCTGCAAACATAGTGGCATCCACGCGTTATACCGCTTAGCGTATCGGCAGGCCGTAGACAATTAACTCTGAGTTTCGATAATACACCAGAAAATGATACGATCTCCCACACACCCTCAAGCGCCTTCGCGCGCGCATTTTGCGCTGCGAATGATCACTGCAGCGTCGGCCCGTTGATGAATGTGCATGACACCGTTTGTGAAACGAGGCCTAACATGAGCTGCTAAATGGCCGCCAGCGAGCTCGCCTTGCCAAGCATGTGTACAGTTGCGGGCAGGGTCGAAGTCCTCTATGTGGATGCGGAACAGTCCAGCCTGCGGGACAGCGACACGCTTGTACGGGCGGTCAAGGCCACCGAGTGGTAAAGGCGCGGATGCGGGTCAGCGGGAACGTAGATGAGCATGTAGGCAAACGGTGCGTATACTAGGTAAGTTGTACAGCAATCAAATTTTTGAATGCTTGCCAGCTTGCAAGCCACTTGGGTGGACAGGGTACGCCGTACATATTCTGTCACAAGGGCGAGTTGCACCCTCAAGAAGGCGTCTGCGGGGTGGCCGTGGCGGTCCTCTTTCGTGTTCAAGCCCTTGGGCAAGCTGAAGCCGCTGTAGTCATCGCAGCGCACGACGTCGTTCTCCTGTGTCCTGTCAGGTGGCCACGCAAGAGTCGGCTGCACGAGGTTATGGTCCCGGACGTACTGCCCGGTGTGCGCGTCGACATCCAGCGCATTACCGTGATCGAGAACACCGCCCTGCGAGCCGTGCGCTCATCCACCAGCATCGCGTGGGTGAGTGTGTGATCTTCTCGAGTAGGTACTCACAGATCTTTTTCGCGTCGAAGTGGAGACATTTTCCGATTACTTCTCTGCGCGCGGTGTCAGTGTCTCAATGCGCAGATGATAGCCGAAGGAGATGCACGCGATGAGACGCACCTGTAGTCCCCAGCGTGGATGGCCTCCATTTCTTGCTAGTGTGTCGCGGTCAAACAGGGTTTACTTACAGGGACAGAGCTTTCGAGTGCGGTCTTGACAGAATTTCATACAGCAGAGCAAGAAGTACGTGATGACCCTCATCGCCCACACATAGATAGGCTTCCCATATTTAGCTGCATTAACGTTAGGTCTGCAAGCCTTGCGCATATGTCAGTGGCCCGCCTTTTTGATATTTCAGGTGTCATGTATTATAGAGCACCGCGTCGTCAGTGTCACCATCGTTCAGAACGTTCAGCTTCACTCATTCCAGGCGTACCGCAGATCTCAGTTAATATATCATACGCCTCAGACAGAAATCGGCTATCATCATGCTGTCCAAATCCTCATTTTGCGTTCGGAAGAGCCGGTTCTGCGGCTTCAGACCTAGGCACAAAGATCCATACTTATCTTGGCTTTCTCTGTCTCGCAAAGACAAGATACAATCAGAAGCCCCGCGAGCGTTTTGTCATACCGACTCCTCTAGCTTGCTCGACAGTGCACGATGACTCTGCGGGAGTACGGATCTGTAGCGAAACACAGAGTCAACCAGCATCAGAACAAACATTGAATGATTTTGACATTGTAGACTTTGAGTCGAGACAATGGCACTGAGAGTGGCAGTTTTTTGCGGTCATGGTAGACGTGAAGCTGGTGTTCCTCGCCTGGCCGATTCAAACATATGGCACGCCCGACTGTTTGTTGTGATATGTATCCTCCTTCTGCGCGCGATTCTTCCATATATAGGTTCGTCTTGTCTATATCGAGCAATGGCCCGTCAGAAGACAGCTCTGGACATATTGTGACATCATGGACACCGTGTCGTCTATTTAGGATTATCAGTCGATCCTGCTTGTTTTCTCAAGCTTTCTCCGCTGTGCGCATATAAAGAGCAGCGCGACGCATGCACACATCACATCCTTTACTTCTGCCACTTCGAAGCTATGGATGAGGCAGTCAGCTTGCTTCAGTAGGCTCACAGAACGTATGACATGCAAACTGGGTGCATACATGAAGTCGCGCCGTAGTCTTGAAGTAACAAGATACGAGCTGGAATGCTCAGCTCTCATCCAGTTCCATTGCCCTCTCGCACTGGCCGTGGAATATCAAAATTCCTGTCCTCTAGTAGTAAGAGATTCGGAATGCAAGCCCCTATGTTTATTGTTCTCCAGAATGACTGATGCTTTGCATAGGGGGGATCGACGTGCCCCTATGATACAAGCAATCACATATATAGGTCAAGACAGACCTGTTTGATCCCTCCGGCATGGACCAGTACCGCCCTTCTTCCTAGAACAGCCTGCGTGTTTAAACAAACATACGTTGCGTACATTCTGGGAACGCCGACACCAATAGGCTTACTGCAAGGACTTATATGCTGAGGTAGAGGGAAATGTCGATAGACAATTCCGGAATCAGTCACCGAGCCTTCGCGCGACAAATGCAAGAGTTCGACAGGCACGAGACGGGCAATTAGGTTGTACAGAAACAATTCAAAGTCACTACAAGGGCTCACGGCTTGGAGACGGCTTCCGCGTCTTGCTTTTCCTTCTGCCTTCGTCCCGCAGTCTAATCTTTCAGGAGGTCTATCGTTATGTGGACTGCTACCAATATACCGAAGTCATACGTCGATCACAGTACTAACATTCTCGGTGAGCCTGCTCGTTTTTGACCCAGTGAGTACTTTCCAACAGATAGCTCACTCACTTTCCGCCTCGCAAGGTAGACGAGCGTTACTGTGAAGTTTAGACCGCCGGCTGGATAACGTTATATCTTCGAAGCAGGGTAAGGCGATCCTTCCTTGTACCACAGGGGGCCCCGATCAACTCTGAACTCTTCGTGAAAGATAGCGGCCATCTCCAACGACTCAATCCTCTGCACTCATTGGCCAAGACCAGGATGTAAAGTGAAGTAAAGAAAATAAGTACAAGTGCTCGGTAACTATCTGGGCGCCAGCCAAAGGATCGTCATCAATCTGTCGGGGTCACATGCTGGAACGCGGTCGCGTATACGTCCACCCTGAAGTTCATGTTCAATTTGGACTCCTCGTATTACTGTGAAACCTCGGTTCGCTCTGTCAAGCATCAGCTACGACGTTAAGGGCTTGTCTCTGCACTGCTGCAGCAATCTAAACGACCTCAACTTACAACACCACCCGATGTTTTGAACTTGGAATCGACATGTCCGAATATTCGACGACCGCGCCCTCAACGGGCCCAAGATCTCCTCTCTTCGGAACCGCTACCTTTTCAACGTTATCCGCTACTCAGACTCCTATGTCCCCCTCAATATTCTCTTCTTCCGTTCGCAGTGGTAAGCATCGTGCATAATGATACTTGCCAGACTAAGTGTTTCCTGCAGCTACCCCAATCGCGTCATCATATGACAGCGACGACGCGTCCTCGGGCCGTCAGATGCGTAGAATCATGGTGTCGCCATCGCCGACATCGAGAGACTCAGACAGCCAGACTTATTCCGACGAAAATTCAATTATAGACGAAGCAGAAGTGGAAGCCGCCATCTCGCTCGACGATGTCGAAGACCAGATTACCGAAATGGAGGACCACCTCTCGGAATTATCGCGTGGATCGTCAAGATCCAGGTCACCCTCTACGTATACTTCATATACCGGACCGTCCACGTATACGTCACGTTCGGGGACGTCATTTTCTGGAACTGCTTCTGGATCCACTTTCACCAGCTCGCAAATCTCTGGCGACTATCGCTCGACCACGGCTCCCATGACTGAGCGGCAGAGACTCAGCACGATATCTGAACACACTGAAAACACACCCTCGAGACCCACCTCGTTCGCCCAGTCCGGCGAATCTTATAGGCTGTCTGGGAACACGGAAGGCAGGGCATCTCCTGCTCTCCATGTGCGCTCGTCCACGGATCCGGGTGAAAGGGCCGCTACGCCCGGCAGGACGCATCTTGTACCAGGCAGGCGCGTCGGAGAGCTTGTTGCTGCCTTTGAAGACAGATCTGTCACGACGAGTGGAAGCGGAGGTCAGTCCCATGGCCATACGAGGACGCTGTCGGCCCCATCTGGTCCACGGTCTCCCAGTCCGTATTCGACATCCCAGAGCCGTTCCATGCCCACACTAAGTAGCTCCGCTTTCGGCTACGCGAGCTCGACTGGGTATGGGTACGGAAGCACGACTGGATACGGCTCAGGGTCGCGTCCCTCATCGCCGACGAAGAGCAGGACTGGTACATCTCTGTCGTACTCCGGTTTGGACAACACTCTGTCATCACTCTTGTCTCCGCCTCCGCGCACTCCGAGCGCTCTGTCTCGCGACTCGCACTTTCCCTTTAGTGCTGATGAATCATCGACGTACACGGCTGGCAGAAGCGCCATGTACACTGAGTCGGACACTGCTTCAACGACAAATCCCAGCTCGCAGACGTTCACGCACACCTTTACGACAAGTATGACCTCGGCATCGAGAACACCCACACCGTCGACCCTCACACCGCGCCAAGTGTCGCCCCTCGCAAGTGACAAGAGCTCTGTCACTCGCGTGCGTAACATCATGAAGAACTGGAAGGACAAGACACCTGCATTGGGGAGCAAATCTGGCACGTCTCCATCTCCAACACAGAGTGAAGGTCTCTTTAGTATGCGTCGGCGGGCGAGTCGTGGAAGCGCCAAGCTGCGAGATCGAGCGTTGCAGGCGAATAGTCGTCAGCGCACGAGAAGAGCCAGTGATCCTCCCACCACTACTAGTGAGTCCCTGGACACCAGCGAAGTGCTCCCGCCGCCATTCGACATTGCCGAGTTGGGTCTTTATGCTGGCGCTACTGACACACAAGACGTAAGTGGATCTAATCTTATCTCGCTGATGATGAAATGAGCAATCGCTGATCGACATTCTTCGTTTTGCAGCCCATACGCATCGGATTGCTCTGGTATCTCAATGTGCATGCAGCGCCGCCTTATAGATGGCAAAGATGCCAGGCACTGCTGTACCCGCATATGCTGCTTCTTTCGTGGATTGCCCCTGGCGGGGGACGTGGAGTCGTTACGCTGGATTTGTTGAATTGCACGGAGGTCCAGTCGCTGAAGTCTCCAACGCATCCTGAGGCCCAGGACGATCCTGGAACTATTGCTGCCCGGGAGCAGAGTGCGGAGGCGAGCATGTGGGGAGACAGCCAGCTGCCAGAGGTGGTGCTAGTTGATACTCTATGCCCCTTCCAACTGTCGTACAGTGATGGTATCGAACGCCTGGCTACCGAGAGTCCGCGCGAAAGAGTGCGATGGGTTAGCGCGATATGGTATGTGCCTCATACTCGATCCTCTGTATGAGACTGACAATGTCTTGAAGGGATGTGATGGACCGGGCCGTGTCGATTCCTGATCGTTCGGCAACAGGTTCTCCTACAGGGTCCATCAGAACCATGCGCTCTTTCACCAGCTCTGACAGCGCGCGTTCTGGCTCTGCCTCTGGTTCTGCATCTACGCGCTACGTCCCCTTCATTGGCGACATCCCTGACATCTCGGACTTGCAGTCAATCTCTGGGTCGAGTACGCGCACGGGCCTCTCACGTCGGCCATCGCTTGCGTCTGCGCACCGTACACGCGCCACTGATGACTTAGCTCTTGGCACCCAAGGGTTCCTGCACCCTGGTGATCCTCGTATCATTGGGCCTAGCAGAAGCAGTTCGCTGAGGCGGACGAGCTCACTCACTGACCTTGATGAGGAGTTCGCGTCGGCCGTCCGGCGAGCTCGTGACGCACGTCCTGGCCTAGGCTTCGGTCTTGGTCTCGCTGGCGGAATTCCCGTAGGTGACGGGTCTCCAGTCACGATATCCAGTGGCCCGCGTCTAAGTGGCAATGTTTACATGTCGCCGCCGCCAAGTGTGGGTAGGGGAAGCGAGAAAGCGCACAGCCGGGCATCTGACAGTGCGACGTCCATATCAGACGACGCATTCTTTACTGCTGGATCCAACGCGTCGAAGTCCCAATCAAGCCTGTTCTCTTCGGCGTTTACGCGTACCCTCACGACTACGGACCCCTCTACGCTGACCAATACAGACACGCGTACGCTAACGTCCGCCGACACAAGGACATTCACGTCTTCAGGCTTGGTCACGGATGAAAGTACACTTGATCTCACGTCTGGCTCCGGGACAAATATCCAGGTATCAACACTCTCCTATAGGGGAACCACGTCGATGTCGACGCTTGGGGACTCGCACAGCGGCTCAAGTGACACATACTCGCTTTCCCCTTCGCGCAGTGGGCTGTCTAGGTCTCGAGAAGTTAGGCGCCGTACGCAGAGGAGCAGCTCTAGGACTCAGTCCGGTTCGTCCTACCTTGGCAGCACGGAGGACAACTCCGACAAGGAGAACTCGGGAACCTTTAGTCCATCTGGCAGCCGGTCGGTGACGGAGGGCTTCAGCACTCTAGAGAGTTACTCCCGCACGTATACACCAACTCCTACATCTGGATATACAGGCACTCGCTCCTCCGACTCATACTCTCGATCCTCAGATGAGGCCAGGAGCGACCTCTACATCCCGCGTTCGGCTACGACCTCAGAGTCTTCCGAATATGTGACGGCGAAGACGCCGTCAGAGTCATCATTTGTGTCGCTACCGACAATCCCGTCACTTGCGTCTGGCTATGAGACTGCGGAGGTTTGTCCGACGGAGTACGAGACAGCCCCCAAGTGCCCTTCAGAGCTTGGCTCGGAATATGAGACTGCCGAGGTCTGCTCTACGGAGCCACCCAGCGAGTACATCACTGCGGAGGTTTGCCCCTCGGAGCCGGAGACTGATTACAAGACTGCTGAGTGTCGCTGTGCGAAGCCGCTCGAGGCAGAACCCGAAGAGGACGTCGTCAGCATTGCGCCTTCCGCAATTCCAACAATCCCTTCGTCGCCGGGAAGCGTTGTCGAAACGAGACAGTTGTACCCAGAGGAGATCCCCTTGCCGCCTTCCGTATACAGCCCGTCTGTTGGATCCAAGGATCTGTCGGAGGAGCCCGAATCACGATCAGAGCCAGAGTCAGAGCCAGAGCCAGAGCTAGAGCCAGAGCCAGAACCAGTACCGGTGCTGTTGACCGAGTCTGAAACAGAGTCTGAGCCGGAGGTCTCATCTGAGGAGATAGTACCCACGCCATCTCCCACTGAGCCGTCTGAGGAAGAGGAATCTCCTCTCGAGTCGATCCCTGGACCATCTCCTATTCCACCATCTGAGTCTCTTCCAATCAGCCTACCGTCCGACTCTTCTATCACGTCCCCCACGGAGTCGACTGTGTCGCCAACCGATTTGTTGACGCCCAGCGTCCCGTCTAGCGTCCCATCTAGCGTTGGGCAACCGCCGACGCCTTCCAGTCCTGCCATCCCAGAGTCAATATGGGGTGCTGAGACCGATGAGTCTTATGAATCATCGCTTCTTCAGGCGTCGCCTTCCGTTCAGTCACTTGCGCTCCCTGAAGGGCCGGACACCTCGTTCGAGACTTCTTTCCTGCGGCCGAGTGGTTCAGTATACTCGTCCCAGGAGATGAGTCTGCTCACTCCCATCACAGAAGTCAGCAGTCCCTCGTCGATGACTATTCCGTCCTCACCTTCGTCGTCCATCACACCCACTCCCTCGAGTGTTTCACTTCCACCGAGTGTACCGTCGCCAACCCCTCAGCCCACAGAAGAACGTGTACCGACCGTGACGCTGTCTCGCACGCCGTCGTCAGTATCCACTGCCTCATCCATCTCAATGCGCTCTTCAATTCTAGACGCAAGGTCACTGTTGGATTTCCCCATCTCAGAAATCGAGCCATCCACCGAGCCTTCGCTGCTGTCTACTGCGAGTTCACCGTTGGCCCTGAGACCTGTATGTTTGCCATTCGGTTTGCATGAGTTAGCATATTTCTAAGGAGTTCTATCATCAGGTTTCTCCACCCATGGTGCCTTTGCCACCATCGCCCTCGTTATCTACGCCGTCTGCCACAATGAGTGTGAGTATCACGACGCCGCAGGGTGATTCACCCTCCATAATGTCAAACCTGGAGACGGTGCCGTCGGAAGCACCTAGCCATATTCTCACACACGATGTCAACCGGCTGTTACAGTACCTCCATGAAGTAGATCAGCAAAGAGGCGCCGAGAACAGGAATCTAGCGGAGCAAATTGAGAATATCATGCCCATGTTGCACGAAATCTTGGGGCAATTAGGACACAGGCTGGTTTACGAGGCGGCCCCTCCAGTACCCAGGAAAGACAGGTCGGTAGGTGGCAGCAGTATCATATCTGCTTCTCCTCGTGCGACACCTGTGGTATCCCGTGATGTTTTGTCGCCAACGCCTATAGCCCATCGCGATGTAGCGACTATGACTCCCGTCAGTGGCCAGGAGGCAGCTCCACGAACTCCTGTCGATCGTCGGGAATTTGTCTCACCGACCCCAATTGGCGGTCGACACCTAGTAACGCCCACACTGATGGGTCCTCGGGGCATCGTACAGCCATCCCCTCAGCACCCTCAGAGACCTCGACTTATCGCAATATCTCTGTCTCCTCCGCCTGTGAGGCTTTCATCCCCAGATAGTTCGATCGCTGAGTCGATGTCTTTTCTGCCTTCGGCGCATTCGGATGATCTAAGCTTGTTAGAGTCGGAATCCTATCCTGCGATGCCTCCGTCACCGTCTTGGCCCTCTACATCCAGTCCCTCTCCGGAATCGTCCCCGCCTGCCTCAAGCGTTTCGATTAGAAGTCGGTCTCCCACCCCAAGTGATGTTTCATTGTCGCCGACACCGCCACCTCCGTCTCTTTCGCCATCATCTGAATCGAGCGGGACAGCAAGACCTGTTCCTCCAGTCAGCCTTACACAGTTTAGGGATGTCTTAGCCCAAATTCAACAGGAATTAGCTGCCCTTCGGGATGGTCAGGCTGTCACTAGTCAAACCTTGGACGAGTTACGGTCTCGCCCATCCGTACCTGATATATCTGACTGCTGTAGACGTATTGAGGAAATCTTGCAGCATCTTATGGATCAAACTCGACGGCCGCCGCGCACTGCGCAAGACGATGTCTCTGAGGCGCTATATCCGTCAGGCTCGGATACTTCTCTTCTCGAACATCTACGTAGGTTCAGGGAAGAAGTAAGTGGGGACCTCCCTCCCCTGCAGATGCCAATTCCAGTCCGGGCAGGCCCCTCGATCGATGAACGACTGACCGAAATGATGGCGGATGGTCCACCTCCAGTGCAGCAGCCAGTCCAATTGCCGCCACCAATAATCCCCCTCACTTACCGGCCAGGTCCCAGAATCGCACGTCCCAGGAGCGCTAGCCCGATCTTTGAGTCTGACCTGCCTCACCGTCCTGGCACTTTCCCTATTTCTCAGCCGGTTGTCTTCCATGAAGGTCCCCGTAGACCAGTAGCTCGTGTGCCTCCGCGAAGGCCTGCACCGGGACCACCGCCATCAGAAGGCGGAGTCTCTTATACACCCCGCGTACACTCTCAAGGCCCGCCGATACCTGGTCCTTCAGCTGTCCCTGAAGGTGATATTAATTTCGACGATGAAGTGCGGAGGCGGCGGATACAACGCGTAGGGCGCGGATCTGGCTTTTACGTGCCTGGGGAGACAGTATGCCCTGTTATCATTCTTAGTGTATGACATACGAATGACGTTTCATAGGAAGGGACTGAACACAGACCTACAACGGCACCTGCACGATTCGCCGACACACGGCCTCCGCCAGCTGTACCAGGATCTATTGGTCCCACTCCTGCTCCTCCAGGTCAATTCGGTACACCAGGTCAGCCTAGTGCATTCGTTCCCATGGCTACTGCACAACCGCCGGTGAGTGTTGGACGTGCGTTCACGCAGCAGCTCAATGATTTATGCCATTCACTAGACGATCTTACAGCTTCCATTCGATGACATTCTGTCCCTACTGCGTGTGCGTCTGTCATGTCGGCATTCGTATACTGTACTCTCAGACGTTTCATCTGATTACAGGATAACCGTGCCGCACAGTTGGCAAACATCGAGAACAATCGAGAAGTAATGCGCTATCTCAGAGAACTGAATGAATGGCTAGCCCGCGATGTCCATGATAGACATGCTGAGGTTCGCGGACTTAATGCCCGAGTTGACGAACTCCGGGATCTAATGCGTGATGTCCTGGATGGTCGTCGTCCTGAAGGTGAGTTCATTCCTGGTGTTTGACAGCATCGGCTGATGTATTATAAGGTTTCACTGCTCCTGGAGTGCCACCACCACCGATCCTTGGTACCCCTGCCGTACCGGTCATGGATACTCATGCTCAACAACCGTTTCCCCCTGGTTTCATACCACAGCCCACATCTGTTATTCCACCTTATCGAGACGACAGGACACCGCCTCCCGACTTCACGCCTGTCATACCCGCATCCCCGCCTGTCCAGATGCCTTTCCCCCAGATTCCAGTGATCCCCGGCCCTAATGTGTATGTTCAGCCGCAGCAGCCGTTTCCGCCTCTCCAGCAGCAAGGCTGGCCTGCCGACGACGAACGAGATGTGATTCCTCCTTCTCCTTCTTTCTCGGATGCTGCCAGTGATCTCACCCCGAGTGATGAGGCTCGATCCCCGGACGTACGCGTCATACCACCACCGCTGGACCCTATGCAGGCTGCCCCGCCATTTGGTATCCAGCCCGGTCCTCCTATAACAGTCATACCGCCACAAACGCAACCACCGATGATTCCCAGTGTTATTCAGGCCCCTATGATGGAGCGGAGTGTTGAAGGAACCCCTTCTGAAGAGGATGAGGGTCGTCCAGCTCGTTTTGTCAGCCCGGGGCACTCCCCGCCACCTCAAGTCCTTCCTGAGGTGCATCCGCCCACCATACCTCATCCAGGGACCCCTCGACATCCTGATGTACCTCCGGGTCAGCCTATACCATCTACGGCACCTGTTATAATTCAACCCGCGCCTCCCATGCCACCGGGTCCGCAACAAATCGACGTACGGCCTTCCTCTGCTTTATCGAGACGTTCCCGATCACCGACACGTTCGCGGTCACCGAGTGGAGAGCCCACTTTCATGATACGTACAGAGCGCTCCCCCGAGAGGTCAGCACGAAGTGTCAGGTCTCGATCACATTCACCCACACCTATCATTATCCCACCATCTGGGCCGCATGTTCCAGTTGGTGGGCCTCCTGTATATTTACAACAACCGCCCCTACAGCCTATGAGTCCAATGGTGATCAGGACGGCGTCTCGGCCGGGAAGGCATATTGATGTTTCGCGATCGCCGTCCCCTACACTACTACCTCGCGCGCGCACACCAACCTCTGTCACGATTAGGACCCGTTCTCCACGGGCCAATGAGGCATTAGTTGTTAGAATACCCTCGTCCTCTCGCCGTGGCCCAGAACGGCCAAGAGATGACCTCGGCAGACCATACTCGCCTCACGAAGGGAGTCAGTATGAGCGCACCACGAGCAGGCGTCCCAGCGGCAGTCGACGTGCACCCAGCAGGGCCCCTTCAGAGGGATACGGGGATCCTTCCTTGGCAAGGCCTGTGCGACCCCCTGGCGCAAGATCACGCTCTCCATCTCCTACATTTGGATACGAAGAACCGGAATCACCCTCAGATCGTCCCATTCGACAGAGAAGTACAGGACGCTCTGAGCGTGTGCCTCGTACTGGTCGACCATCTCCTATTCCAGAACGCGAAGGGTCTCAGTCTCCATCACCAACTTATCAAGAGGAGTCACCTCCACTTGTCATGAGAGGCCCTTCAGTAAGACGTGACGCCCCCGGAGCTACACCCACCATTATTGATTATGGTGAGATTGAGCCTCATCGTACACCTTCTGTTGCCCCCAGCGTTGGTCCTGGCGCACAGCGGCCTTCACGTCCTGACCGAAGACCCAGCGAAGGTATATTTACTTTACCTTATGCCGCGAATCTGTAACTGAATGCTTCTAGTGACCATGGTCCCGTCGGGTGCATATGGCGAGGGCGGGCTCCCCGAAGGTAAACATTCTGGCCTTCATGACATGACTGGAACAGTACTGACATCTCCTACCAGAAGCTGAAGATGTTGATATGGGGCGTGTTCCAAGTGATGGTATGATGGTCAATGATTCACTGAGATTGGTACGGCAACTGAATTCGTACTCAGGTTCACAGCTAGCCAGGGATTATGAGGAAGCGGACAGACGCACTCCTGGAGGTGAGTTTGATCATGACAATGGATGACAGCTCTGACGCAGCTATAGCATCTCGTGTGCAGACTCGTCGAACCGCCACTGCGCGATCGATCTCTCCTTCGTTTGAGCCTTCCCACGAGGACGATGCTGCCTACGAGGACGAACCTGCGGTGCCTATTGCAACTCCATCAGTAGCACGGGTGCCAACAGCGACCCATGTTCCACCTCCACGCTCGCGGCTAGAAGAGCACTTCGAAGAGCCTGACGAAGGGCCACCGAGAGAAGAATTTGCGGGACCAGCTGATCGTGATCAAGGCATAGTTCCCACTCAGCCTCGCACCCCTATGCGGCCCACAGCCCTTAGTCCCCCTATGCCTGTGATAGAAAGAATCTCTGGCCCAGGAGATCTCGGATTTGCGGATGCCGAGCGGGAGCGCCAAGATCGCTTTGATGAACTGGAGCGGCAAATCACGGGTACCCTCACTGCTGCACAAGATGCGGAAGAACGACGCGAGCAGAGTTTCAGAGGGCACGAAGATGAAAGAGAGCGTGTATTCTTGGACCGCGAGGCTCAGCGAGATGAAGAACATCGACAGGCATTGCAACGTTACGAAACTATATGGAGAGATCTGGAGGATCGCTTGGCTTCCATCGTTCCTGGCGCTCAAGCCCCCATCCCGGTACCTCCCCCTGCAGCTGAGGCCGAGCAGGAGGAATTCGAGCATGCCATGGAGGATGTTGCACCTACCTCGGAAACTCCTGTGCAACCTATTCCGCCGCCTGCTGCAGACGCACAGTCAGTCATCGAGTCTATTCGGTCAGTAACACAGGACGCAGCTACGCGCCACGCACAGGATATCCTAGCAACTGTGCAATTGGAACGTGAAGAGCTTGCTCGAGAGCGCGAAGTGGAGAGGGCAGAACGGGAGCGGAATCAAGCTGCGATGGAGGCCGAGCGGGCACGGCTTTGCGAGGAGCAGCAGGCGCGGATCCGTGCATTGGAGGAGGAGCTCACCCTTGTCAAGGCAGAGCTTGAGAACGAGCGACAGCTCAGGCTTACGGAGGAGTCGGATAGACGGGAACACGAGCGTATCGAGATCCTCGAGAACAACGAGGCGGTTCGAAATCAGCTCACCGAGCTGACCAACCTCGTGATCCAGCAGCGCGAGGAAATTGTCGTTAAGCGGGATGCTGAGGACGAGAGATGGGCCCGGAAGGAGGACTACATGGTGCAATCGGCTAATGAGCGAGCTCAGCTCTCGGACAAGCTAGACCGAATCCTGAACGATATGGAAGCTGAGAGAGCCCGCGCTGAGGAAGAAAGAGCAGCCCGAGCAGATGATCCCAGTACGTGATGCTCAATCTAGCTATGAGCATAGCAAACTCACACCATACTAGCCCTGCAAGACGTCCTTGCCGAGCTGGCTCGCGTCCGGGGAGAACTGGGCGAATCGGTTGCTGGTATGCTGGAATGTAAGTGCGCAACAGCTCCCTGCCGTGTATGTCTCTGACGAAAGGCAAACAGCCATCAGGGCTCAGTGCGCGGAGCAGCATGAAAGGACCATGGAGGCTGTCAGGGCTACAGCTCACGATCGGATTTCGTTCAATGTGCAGGAGGTAAGCGACTTTCGCATCATAACCTCCGTCTCAGGGAAATAATGCTTGCTTCCTACAGTACCTGGAAGAGTTCAGCAGGTCGCTAGCGGACGAGGTCCGCATGCTTCTCAATGAAGTCGGACGGCTCAGGGAAGAACGGCGCAAAGAACAATAGTAAGTACTTGCGCATGACACTTCGAAGGAATCTCTTGCTAACCGCTCACAGTGAACTTGGTGAAATGTTGCAATTCAAAGCTAAATTTGGTCCCGGTGGAACGTTCGATCCTGAATGGTACGTTGTTACTCCGTGAACGCGGCAGGATACTCATACACCGTCGACGTAGGCGACCGGCCTTTGGACCGTATGCAAGAGGCGGCCCTGGTGCACCTCCCGCGGAGGCACCGGCCGAAGCCCCCCCTCCACCCCCCGAAGAGCCGTTGCCCGCCCGTCCTGCATGGAGACAAGTCATTGCACCGAGAGCGTCTCGTCGATCGCGAAGGAACCAGCCTGCACCTCCTCCTGCCCCTGAGGCCCCGCCGGAGCCGAGGGGGCCTGTGTCGTGGGCACAGTGGCGTCGTAAGTGACCGATGCGACACATAAAGATGTAGAAGCTGATCATTTGCCATCAGCTGACTCTGCATTCCAACCGACCCCGCCTGCTGTCGAGCCGACCTTGCTAGCGCCCCCGCAGTCCAGCCCTGGTCTGTTCGGGCCTCGTTCGCCGCGCGACTCTCTGCACCGCTGAAATTATTGTTTGATTATGAACTCACGGACATGAAGATGTTATGCGCTCATGTATGTCTTATGGTCTTCGCTTTTGCTGTTGTTCATGACCCGCTGCTCGGATGCTTTATGTACTATATCTGCTATGATTTATGTTCACGATATCTGGATGCTTTATGTTACCTTTTGCGGATGTTGTACTAGATGTATTGCCACCATAACGCCTGGATAATGAGTAATGATTACGTTTTTGTCAAATCATGAAGTCCGTGCGGAGAGTATGCAAAGCTCGTCAGCCGACGAGACCGCTCGACTAATGTCTGAATGAGTCGTCTCAGAGTGGCGACAGGCGGCTGAAGGACAGCAGTCCTATGCTTGGCCTGAGACACAGCACGACTTGGTGATCACTTTAGTATTGCCTCAAATACTAACACCACCACCGAATCTGTACTGCTAGCAGCCAAAGTTACATCTCACCACGATGCCGTAGCGCATCGATGCATCAAGATCGTCATCATCAGCGCGCTCCATTGCATCATCGCCGCCTGTTGTTGCCTATTCTGGAAGGCAGCTTGCCCAAATAGGTAAGCTGCCGTTGACGCGTCTTGGTTCTCTTGATCGTAGTAGTGGCAAGCATCTAACGGCAGCGGCTTTGTGATGAGGCTGTTTCGCTCTTCCCCCCCCCCCACAGAATTACCCAATCTCCTTGACAGCCTAGATGTACTCGACTCAAGGGAATCAAGTGAGGTGCTCTTTAGGCTTAAAGCAAGCAAGGCAAGTATGGCTGAGTACAGGGTCTCTGAATATGCCGTTAAGGAAAGCAGGATTATGCTAAGGCTGGCATCATCCATACTTACTCTACCAACCGGAAGGTAACGAACGTGATAAATCGTAACATGAGGTCACTCGTACACCTACTTTCGGTGGTCGAGCACGGATGAGGCCAGCCTCAATGCAGTCTTTCCAGCCGCACTTTGCGGAACCCGGAGTTCAATTTCCCAGGAACGATCGGTGACCAAGCGCCCGTTAATTGTCTGCCCCGGAAAGGCAATTGACAGTGCCAGATGCATCGCATAGCTCACTGAAAGCTCATCTGAAGCTCACACAGTGCGCTTGTGAATATCCTGCTATGCGGGGGTAGGTTTTCAAGCTGGCGGCGATTCTCCTGATTTGGATATCCCAAAGCTGCCGTGCAAGGACATGTTTCACGCAGCTCGCCGATGTTAGCGCCGTGTCCCAATATGGCAGGCAGACAATTGTGTGCGTGTGGGAAGCGCCGTCGGAACACAATGACGGGCGCTTGCTATGGAAGAGAGTCTATTGTGTGCCGCGATGCAAAAGACAAAAGACAAAAGCCATGCTCCTCCTGAGCCTCCGTTCGTCTTCGCTCTCCTCACCTTTCACCATCTTTTCCTTTCGTGCGTTGTCCGGCGGACCTCGCAGTCGACCTTTCGCCATGCCTTCGACGACCGCAACGACCCCCGACGCCTCCGCCTTCGACCTCGAGCAGACCCATGACTCCACCACCACCATCGACCAGCAACCCGCGGAACCCCAGAACCTCATTCCCGAATGCCCGTCTCCACAACCCTCCATCCGTCTGCTCTTCTCGTTGGTCTCGAGCCGCGACTTCTACCTCATCGTGCTTCCAGCCATCCTCACCTCCATGCTCGCGGGTGGCATCGCGCCGTTCATGACATACGTGATTGGTCTCTCTTTTGATGCATTTGCACAGTTCCCGACGACGCCAAACCCATCCGAGTCAGCAAAGTCCGCGCTGCTGCACGGGGTGGGGCTCGCAGCATTGGAGCTGGTTGGCCTCGCAGCTGGTGCACTTGCCCTCAGCAGCATCACATCTAGCTTGTGGATATGGACAGGCGAACGTAATCTCATGTCCGTACGCAAAATGGTCTACGCAGCCGTGACGCGCAAGGACATGCCGTGGTTTGACACCAGGATGGGTGCCGAGGACTCCGTACAAAGCGCAGAGGGAGACGGACCCCTTGGTGCCGGTGGGCTAATGGCCAAATTCGCAAGGTGCGTTGTGATCTTTTTTTTTTTTTCAGAATGGCCGCCGCTCACGGCGTTTTCAGGGAAACGGACGAGGTCCGCATGGCTTCGTCTTTGGCCTCCGGGATGATCGTGCAGTACCTTACGACTTGTGTAACCTGCTTGGTCCTCGCCTTCACTCGATCCTGGTCGCTCACGCTGATCATCCTCTCTGCCGTTCCTGTGCTCATGTTCATTCAAGCATTGTCGCAGATCTTTGCCGGTGCCCATCTTACGGTTGAGCGGGCACAGACAGCTACGGCGGCGACTCTCGTTGACCGTGCCCTCGCTGCGATTGCCACCGTGAAGGCGTTCAACGCAGAGACGTACGAACATAGCAACATCAGCCGCGTGCTTGACGCCATGCAAACGGCCGCTAACCGGTGCATCTCCGTCTGGGGCGTCACGTCGAGCTGCGCACAGTTCGTGATGATGGCCATGTTCGTGCAGGGCTTCTGGTTTGGCTCGAAGCTCGTGCGCGACGGCAAAATCAGCCCGGGCGACGTCATGTCGGTCTTCTGGGCATGTCTCATCGCAACGAGCAACCTCCAAATGTGCATTCCGCAGCTCATTGTGCTCAACAAAGGCAAATTCTCCATGGCGGCCCTGGTCGCCCTCGCGGATTCGACCGTCACTGCTCCCATAGGACAATCTAACTCCACTGTGCACGCTCCTTCGAAACTTACTCGCCGCCCAACACACATCCGCAAGATTGTGCCTGCGAAGTGCAGGGGAGAATTCGAGCTCGACAACGTCACGTTTGCCTACCCTTCACGGCCCAGCATGCCGGTCATACAGGATGTTTCCATCTTCCTGCCCTCCCACGAGATGTCGTTCATCGTTGGCGGCTCTGGATCGGGCAAGTCGACCGTTGCGCAACTGCTCCTGCGGATGTACACCCCGCAGCACGGCGCCATTCGCCTCGACGATCAGGACATCGCCTATCTGGATGAGAACTGGATGCGCGCACATGTGTCGGCGGTGTCCCAGGGCTGCATTCTCTTCGACATGAGCGTGCACGACAACGTAGCCATGGGCCTCGCGTATCCCGGTAGTCCACGACGCCCGGAGGACGTGACGCGCGACGAGGTCCAGCAGGTGTGTCGCGCGGCGCTCATGCACGAGTTTGTGAGGGACCTCCCGGATGGGTACGACACCCCCTTGGGTACAGGAGGCGCGAATCTCTCGGGTGGTCAGAAGCAGCGGCTGGCAATCGCGCGGGCGCTCCTCCGCAATCCCACTGTCCTTATTCTTGGTACGTATTGTTGTGATGAAAGATGTCGACGATGTATTGAATTTGTGTTGCAGACGAAGCGACATCTGCGCTGGACGCAACGTCCCGCATTTTGGTCTTCGAGGCCATCAAGCGGTGGCGACACAATATGACAACCGTCGTGATCACCCACGACCTCTCGCAAATTGAGCTCGACGATTTCGTGCACGTGCTCCACGAGGGAAGGCTCGTCGAGCAGGGCTTCCGATTCGAGCTTGAGGAGCTTGAAGACGGCGAGTTTTGCAAAATGGCCGACACTCAGGACGCAACGGGCGGCTTCCTGGAGACGCAGGACGAGGAGCCGGAGCCGGTCCCCGTTGAGGCCATTCTCGAGCAGCAGGACGTGGAGCTTCAGGAGGAGATAGCGGCCGTCAAGGTCAGCACGAAGGCACTGAGGCACCAAAGCATCGCACACTCGACTTTCCGGCCGCTCACCATGGGCAATTGGATGTTCGATGTCGTCGCTGACCTCACGAGGCCGACTACGGTCGTCCCCCCGCCCGCCGTCCTTGCCTCCCGCGAAACCCAGCGGCTGAGCCGATTCGTCCCGCCCGAGGCGCCGGCTGAGGAGTCTCCGAGGGAGCGCCGCCGCAAGACGCTGCACATCGACATCCCCTCGCTGGCGACGCCCCCCGCTACGCTGACTTCCGCGAGCCACCGCTACAGTCTGCAGTTCACCCCGACGTCTCCCACTATCGTCTCGAATCGGTCGACGACCACACTTTGGTCGCCAGTAGTCCTGGACGACGACGAATTCGATGCCGAGAAGGCGGCCTTGCAGAAGACTGGGGCGCAGGCGACAAACAGGCGTTGCGCCGCAAATGCGGAGGCGGGGAAGCTGCACGCCAAGCGGGAGCGCTTGCGCTGGGACGAGAAGGGCATGTCGGCCCTTACGGATGTCAAGGTTGACTGCATCGAGTGTACCAGCGCCGAGCCAGAGGCAGCTGCTCAAGCCCCGGGCGAACAGTCGTTCTGGAGTCTCATTCGCGATATCTACCCGACGCTCCCCAGCAAGCCCACGCTCGTGGTCGGCATCCTGATCTGTCTCGCGAGCGGTGCGATGACCCCCGTCTTCTCCTTCCTGCTCTCCCGCATCTTCTTCGAGGTCTCCATCGGTGCTCGCGACAGCTCCGTCATCAACATGTACGGCGGCATCGTCCTCGCGGTCGCCGCCGCCGACGGGCTGTTCATCGGGCTGAAATACGCGGTGATGGAGGTCGTGGCCATGAGCTGGGTCACGCGCATCCGCAAGGTCTGCATGACGCGCGTGCTGGCGCAGGACAAGAAGTGGTTCGACAAGAGCGAGAACAGCCCGGCGCGCCTCGTGCAGATCCTCATCAAGGACGGGGACGACGCGCGCTCGCTCATCGCGACCGTGCTCGCGCAGGCGATCGTCGTCGTCGCGATGCTCGGGATCGGCTTGACCTGGGCGCTAGTCCGGGGGTGGCAGCTGACCCTCGTCGGGTTCGCGATCGCGCCGGTGTTTGCGCTGACGATGATGGTGCAGACGAACCTGGTGGCGAAGTGCGAGACGCGGAGCAAGCGTGCGCGCGAGGAGGTCGCGAAAGGCTATTACGATGTACGTCGTTGCCATGAGTGGTTTGAAGCATTCGGCTGATCTGATTATAGGCTATATCCAACGTGCGCGGCATCCGCGCGATGGGCTTCGAGAGCGCCTTCCAGGAGAAGTTCGACGCATCTGTCGACAGGGCCCTTTCCACTGGGCTGCGCGGTGCTTTTGTGGAGGGCTGCACTTACGGGGTTGCCAGTGCCCTCATCTATCTCGCTGAAGCCCTTCTATTCTACGTCGGCGCTGTTCTTATGGCCCGCGGTACCTATACCTACCTACAAATGGTACAAGTCTTGAATTTGGTGGTGTTCACCGTCTCGATCGGCTCCCAGCTGATGGCCTTCAGTGCGTGAACTTCGTTGATACTTAACCGTCATTCTTATTGACTCCGCTTTTAGCCCAAAGGATTGCCAAGTCGGTGCAGGCGACCCGAGACTTCAACCGGCTGTTGAAGCTATCGGCTTTCACAGACGAGTCGCGCGGTGTCCTTCGCCCAACGATCCAGGGCTCTATATCTTTCAATAACATTTCGTTCTCCTACCCCGAGCGACCGGATGTTCCCGTCCTCAAGGATCTCTCCCTTGAGATTGCGGATAACGAATGTGTCGCTGTTGTCGGCTCGTCCGGCTCGGGGAAATCTACGCTTACTGCGCTCCTGCAGCGCCTATACGAGCCTGGCTCCGGGAGCATCACGGTGGGACTGAATGAGCTGCGCTCAACTGAGGTCCACCACCTGCGCGAACACGTTGCTGTCGTCAGCCAACAACCTAACCTCTTCGATGCCACGATCGCCGAGAACATCTCCTATGGCAGCAAGTCGCTCACCCTCGAGGACATACAACGTGCAGCAAAGGCCGCACACGTACATGACTTTATCGAGTCGTTGCCCAAAGGATACGACACTCTCGTCGGTGAGAACGCCTCGTTGATCTCGGGCGGGCAAGCACAGCGGCTACAAATCGCGCGGGCGCTGGCACGACCAGCACACATACTCATACTAGATGAGTGCACTTCCGCGCTGGACGCGGCAAATCAAGCAGCAGTCATGGAGACGCTTCAGCGTGCCAAGGTCGGCCGGACGACAATTGTCGTGACGCACAAGCTGCAGATGATGCGCATGTGCGACAGGATCTTGGTTCTGCATGACGGCGTCGTTGCCGAGCAGGGCTCGTACCAGACTCTCATGGAGAAGCGCGGCGTCTTCTCTCAACTGGCAAGTGGCGGCGAATGGACGAGCGATTAACGTCCCTTCGCACCTTGCCTTTTCTCTCTGTATTTGGCTTCTTCTCATAACATCTGTAGCACTGACAGTTTTCTCTCACTTACGCATCTCACGGTCTCATGGGTTATTTGACATCTGACATGGAAGTATAACTACTGTAGTACCTATTTTCGACTTTCGAGTAGTACAATTACGCCGCACACATTCCTCATTGTAGTAATAACACTGCATTGCATTTGTATATCAATCAGCGCCATAGAGCTCGGATAACAATGCTATCTACGGTCAATGTACGATGTATGATAACCGTCCTAATAGTTGCTTTGATGTTTACTGAGTAAAGCAAAGAGCAAGTAGCTGGAGCCAGTGGAGGCGATCTGCACTTTGTAAATGTCTATTTATATATATACTTATACCTCGGATTAATTTTACAATTAGGCAATTGCTGATATGACTTATCTATTTATGCAAAACATAAGTTGCGCTCTGATTCCAGGAGCGTTGTGGACGGCTGGTTCTAAGAGTCTGGTCAAATAGCAGGTCCGCAGCTCATATTGCTGTCAATCTACGACCAGGGATGTTTCATAGCATCTCGGGCTACATAAATCGCTTATCAAAGACCCCCCTGCCTGGTGTGTGCCGGTGCGCACCGCCTACCAGCGCCTCTACACCGATAAATGCTCGGGCGTCATGTAGGCCCTGACCTTGGCTATGATCCCGAGTTCGTCTTGGCCAAAAAATGGTCCCCCATGAGCTAGAGTCGCTTCTCAACCGGTTACAACAACAGTACGCCTCGAACAAAGACATCGTACAAGCTTTTAGGGAGCAAGTTGTCTCCAAGATTCCCCTGTCCGATGACATCGTATGTAGTAGACTTCGTGGAGAAGAGGATTGCAACTTTGGGTTGACCAAACAAAGAGCGGTATACTTCAGCAGGTGATTTCTTTGTTTCCAGATTCCCCGGGGATTGTCAACGATTTCATCGGTCTCTTACCAATGTGAGAATTGGCTTATATGCGCAATACACCGAGTAAACCAGTACAAGGCGGTGCTGACACTTTGACTAGCATCTATAGTCCAGAGCGCACATTCCCAGAAATACATAAGGACTCTGTATTACTGCCCCAACGAGGCGATTCGCCGACACTGTTCACAAATTCGCCCGATGCCTTTTATCGGGTCTATCTCGCCATGCGGTGCCCATATAAGGAGATACACATTTACAGGAGATCGTTGCGAGTTCTTCTAGAGATGTGTGAATACTACGCACGTCAGCATTTACTCTCCCGTATCAAAGACCACGATGACGCAATCAAGTCCGTAGTCTGGAGGTGAGTCTGCAAATGATATCTCACCTACCATGCGTTTTGAACGACTATGCTAAATTGTCCCATAGGTGGTTCCATATCTTTTACGAGCAGCTCATAGCATGGTCAGAACTCCTCTATCTGGAAACACTCGTTCGTTGGCGAGACATCAAGATAGCCGTGGAGAATTTATATACCACCTGCCCAAGTATAATTCGGGATGCTCCAATACATGGTAACAATTGTGAGCTTTGACCTGAGTATTCGTGGAGTAAAAAATATTCAGACAATCATAAATCAGTCTTCCAGCCATCCAGCCAAGAAACAATACCGGCACTCGAATTCGTCTTGGGAAGCCAAGGGAGTGTCAAGACGTTGTTCTCCTTGGAGGACGATGAAACATCGACAATCATGGAGCTTCTGGACGAAGTAAATATCGTGACTATCGACGCTCCTTCATGCTCGTTCAAAACATACTTTACAGGCATTGGACCACCTGCCTACACACAGCCCCTTTCACAAGACAGCATTTCACACGCTGCGTAAATTGTGCATAAAGAGCAGGTCACTTCCTGCTTCGTGCATAGTGTCGTCAGGGAAATTAGAGAAGAAGGGTAAACATGCTGTAGCAGCTGGAGGCTTTTCGGATGTCTGGCTTGGACACTACGATGGTCAAGACGTAGCCCTCAAAGTCTTCCGGACATATGAATCCAGCAGCGTCCGCACGATCTACGAGGCTAGCCCTGCGATACTTTACTTGTCTACTTGAGGCAACGTGTCTGACTAGTATGCGCAGGGATTTTGTAACGAAGCCATCCAGTGGAGGCGGCTACATCATCCCAACATCACTCCGTTCATCGGCATAGACACCACACTCTTCCCTCTCTGTATTCTAAGTCCCTGGATGCCAAACGGAAATGTGACCGCGTACTTGAAGACCAATCCTACAGCGGATCGCTTCGACCTAGTGGGTGTATCTACGGTGACATTCGGGAGCCAGTTTTGCTCATCCTGAAACAGCTCATTGATATTGCCCATGGTCTCGGATATCTTCACCGCATGGGAATGGTACATGGCGATCTCAAGGGGGTAAATCGAACACACATTATCACAAGGGTCTGATAATTGACGCCATATGTAGGCAAACATCCTGATTGACAGCGATGGCCACGCACGTCTATCAGATTTTGGTCTTACGAGTGTTATCTATGACGGAGATACAGTCAACACTGTGACTACAACGTCCATTGCGCATGGGTCTACGCGCTGGATGGCGCCAGAGCTGCTTAACCCCGAAAGCATAGGAGAATCGCGCTCACGACCCTCAAGGAGGAGTGACATCTATTCATTCGCTATGGTTATGTACGAGGTGCATTCCTATCTAGTATATTTCTTGCTCTTCGCTAAACCTGTGTGACAAAGGTCCTCGCAGGTCGTCTCCCCTTCGAGGAGTGCCGTCGCGACCCGGCTGTGATATATCAAGTCGTGGTGCTGCAGAATCGCCCGAAGCGCCCTCCAGTGAACGACCTTTCCGACGACATATGGGCACTCATGGAAGCATGTTGGAATATGGATCCTGGACAACGCCCAAACATGCTGACTGCCCTGACACGGCTGTCATCAGCATGTGGGCGTCCATCCCGACCGGAACCGGGAATTGGAAATATCAACTCAGCTGAGTTCAATGTTGCAGGCAGCTATTTACCAGCAAGTGACGTTGAGACCGGAAGTGTTCCTGTAATTGAGATTGTACCGCCAACACCGCATATAGTCAGTGGTATTGAGCACATGGTGTTCCTCCTCGGATTTCTGACAGGTAAGGATAGCGTGTTGTGTCTCCGCCAATCATGGATCAAGGTGGGTGGCCTCGTCATCCACTTCTTTTGAGCGGAATTTAATGATCCGTACCAGCTTGGGATAGTTCTTCAAATACCATCGGTCCTCGTCCAGCAACGATAAGGGAATTGGCGGAGCGAGCCAGAGTTGACTGGGACTCATCTAAAACGTTAAAATTCTGGCTTAAAGCAGCTCAAATCGCCCGCAACAAGGGAAAAGACCTTGTAAATGGTGAAGACATGGAAGGGGCATTCGTGGAATATGCAAAGGCTGCCACAATCGCTCTGGAGATGATCCCTACACATTCCGAGTATTACGTATCACTCAACATCTCTCAAAGAAGTAACCTGGATCAGGTGCGCAATCTTCATATACTTAATACTCTCTACATCCATCCGGTCTGTCTGCTGTCTGCTGAGGACAGATCGGCTAGGTATGAGTTTATAATAGAGCTAAAACGTACCACTGTTGAGCGTGCGTGTGGATATACATGCTAGGTCTCGCTGTAGGACACCGCGGGTTCATCTTTTTATCCTCTGCTTGCCTTGCCGCCATGATCAGTCGTTGATTGATTCAATTTCAGCATGGACAACAGTTACTAGACAGACTCTCGGGATTGAAGGCGATACTGGTAAACCGATACGAAATATGGCGTCGGTCTCTTATAATCGACTCGGCGTCGAATAGCTTGACACTCGATGAGGCGATTGCATCCTTTGACGGCTCAGCAGACGTCAAGACGGTAATCGTGACAGATCGGAAAGATCTCATTCACTACCCGATTTTCAAACATCAGCGTAAAGGAGAATATGTTCCTAGTACACCAAAGCCAATAGTTGTCCCGGATACGCATCCCCGGTCCACGCTCCCACCTAGCAACATTAGAAATCACTCTTCTGGTTTGACACCGGTCAGATTACCTCGGGAATGCCTACCTCGCTTCATATCGATCGCAAAGGTCAACACCGCACTGAACAAGGAGACCTGTGGGCTCTTGCTCGGCAGAAAGCGTGACAGCAAGTATGTTGTTACGGCCCTGCTGATCCCTAAGCAGAGATCCACGAGCAATACTTGCATGGTTGAAGCCAGCGATCTGGTAAAGAAGTTAACAGAAGAACGGGGGTTCCTGACTATTGGATCGGTGAGCTGTCTCACACAACAACTTCATATTATCTAGGCTGAAAACACGCCGTCTTGAAGATCCACACACATCCCTCACAGTCATGTACGTACTACATGCTCTTTACAGTGTACCCGACCCTCAGCCCAACGTCAGGTTTCTTGACTTCGGAGGATCTACATACACTAGCAACACTTCAGCGCGTGCTGCCAGAAGCTTTCATGGTTGTATGTGCTCCTTCTTCGACCCCGGAGTGAGTCGTCTAGTGCTATAGATATGGAAGCATCACATTAAGCAACAACTACTCCTCGGATGCATCGTTCAGTCATGGCATCTTTCGCTTGACCGACCCACCAGGCTTACAAACAATTTTGGACTGCGTCTCCAAAGAGACGTTCCATCCACATCCTGAACTTCCGATATATACGGTATGATGTGTTAAGCTTGGAACACGCCGTTACCCATGCTTATCGGTCACTACTAGGACTGCGACGGTGCTCATGTGAAACTGCGGGACCTGCCACTTGAGATACTCGACTTGCGGGTACGTCACGACAACTAAAATGGTTCATGCCAACTGACATCATGGTAGGATCCGTCGTACGCGTAGCATGTCTTCTTGGTGCACATTATACCGGTGTAGGATCATGGGAGAATCACCATTTGTACCGCTGGCTCATTACCATAGGTATCATCGGATACGATCGTGTGCGGCAGCGAGGAGGATAGTCAGCCGGGATGCTGGTGTCACCCAACGGATGGCGCTATCTCTCTTGATGATAAGGCTCGCACCATGCTGACTGTGTGGCGTAACTTTCTGTGAAGCCCAAACAGTAATGGATTTCGCTCTTCGGCATGTATTTTCGCTCCGTGAATGTTTACCTCCCTCCACCAAGCCGTTTGGGTACCATCGTTATCGAGCTCCGGGTCCTTCGAACGCGTTCATCACGTGTGCGCGTCCTTAAGGGCTTCGATCACGACTTGTCACTTGTCATCTTCGCGGAGCTCTGTCTTCGTGACGTCATCATCAAACAGTCGGCGCGTCATGGTGAGGAGAAGGATATGTCAGGCCCATGACAGGCGAGCATATTCCTTCCGATCTGTACACCCTAGGCAGCGTTGAATAAAGCTCGATTGTGAACATGAAGTCGGCCCTCGGCTTTTTCTCTTCATTCACCCACCAGCATACTCCTCTCAACGCAAACAACAGCCCGAACACCATGGCTCCTATCCCAAAGGCTGCAAGAGGCTTTGTGATCGACTTTACAGGTGCGGTGAAGCCACAACGGGTAGGGAGCCTCAGGAGGACTAACAAAACTAACAGGAAAGTGCATCATCGTTACCGGCGGAAACCGTGGCATCGGGCGTGCCATGTCTGATTCTTTGGCGGCTGCCGGCGCGCGAGTCGCGATCATATACAGAGGCTCCAAGGACGCGGTCGAGATTGCTGAGAAAATCGGCAAGGACAACAACGTCAGGTGCAAGGTAAGCCCATTTCCCACCCGCCACTGACTCGCTTGGGTCTCAACGTCTTTGTAGGCATACAAATGCGACGTGTCCGATTCAGACCTCGTCACAAAGACATTTAAAGAGATCAATGACGAGCTCGGACCAGTCACCGGTCTTGTTGCCGTATGTATTCTTCGCGCCAATCTTCGTTTATGCGTCCTTACAACGTTTCCTGTAGAACGCCGGTGTTTCGGTAGTCAAGCCTGCGCTGGAGATGACGAAAGATGACTTTGAGAAAGTGTTCACCGTCAACGTTCTGGGTGTATTCAACGCTGCACGTGCGGCCGCAAAACTCTGGGTCGATAGCAAGTATCAGGGCGGTTCGATCGTCATCACGTCCAGCATGAGCTCGCAGATCATCAACCAGGTTGGGGTTGGAAAGCCATTGACGCAGGCCGGTCTTCTTCTACCGCGATATGTCTTGCACGTGAAGCTAAGTATGCGCCACAGATTTTCTACAATTCTTCAAAGGCGGCCGTGTCAAATTTGATGAAGGGCTTGGCCGCCGAATGGGCCCAGCACAACATTCGTGTGAACGCCGTGTGTCCAGGATACGGCGAGTTAAATATTTTCTGCCATAAGATTGTCACTCAATGGCCTTATCACAATAGTGGAGACCGACCAGACATCGAGCATGGAAGAGTCCATTCGGAACTACCAGGCATCCCAAGTGCCGCTGGGCCGCTTCGCGAAGCCTCATGAGATGGCACCTCAAACATTACTCTTACTCTCTGACTATGCTAGCTACATGACCGGAGAGGAGTACTTCGTCCATGGGTGAGTAAATATGCTCCACGTCTTCCCTCACGTGCTGATGTTGCAATGGCAGTGGTCAACTAGTCTCCTGAGAAAACAGTTTCCCACACAGTCCTAGCTATGCATAAGCTCCCTGTAGAATGATAACAAGAGTCACGAAGTGTATACCGAGTTTATTTGTACCCGGGATAGTAATGGATATGTGAGTGGTTGGTTACAGTGCCCCGGCCGTTTTCTGGGCTTGGTCCATCAACGATTGATCGATGAGGCTTTGTGTAAGAGTATAACAGCGTGGCCTAATGATCACTTGACCTCTTGATTCTGGTGCATTGCTCATATACGATGGGTACAAAACACTGAGAGAGCTGGAGTGTGGCAAAGGCGTCTGAACGCTCACGTGACTGACGCGATCGAATCGCGATCGTGGCAACCGCCATCAAAGCCACTTTCTGGCGCAACTATCCGCTTATGCAGTTGCTCACAGTGCACTTCTGTTCATTTCATTCCTCGATAAAAATAGGTTAGCAAATCGAAAGAAAGGACCTGAAAGGACACACCATGAGGTATGTGTGATCCACGCTATCAGGCTGGAATTGGAGAAGGTGGCTTATCTCACGGATCCACCTCATGATCTGTGTGATCCCGGACCGTTGGTTATCTATCAAAAGCCGACCTGAGAGTCGCATTCGGAGCAGATTCGGCAATCCTTTTCTTCTGCACGTTCTTCTCGTCATTGCTCAAGAACGGCGCAGGCGTCATGCTCCTAAGCTGTCAACTAGGTATTATCGGCACCGCGGTACTGGCGGTCCTGTCGTCAGCTATATGCGCGTTAGCATCACCTCCGGACGATACGACTTGTGAGAATTGCTTGTGATATAACCTTTAGCCCCATGAGGCTGATATGCTATGGGCCTCGCCAGTGATCCCGCCAACATATACGCGCCTACCGACTGGTGTTGTGAAACCATATGGGTGGGCGTTGAACATGGCAAAGGTGCAGGCGCGCGGACTCGCGAGCGAACAGCCGCTGTGGTACAGCTAGTGAGTAGAGTCTAACTTCGTGAGGATATGCTCAAAACCGAATGTATAGCGTGAAGGACTCGGTATGGCAAGGTGGTACCATCGAGTATAGTGAAATGCAAGAAGCCGCGCCATACTGGTTGTAAGTCTCCCTCTCGATGTAAAATCACTTGGCAGCATTGAGCAGGTGCTCTTATTCGTAGCAACGGTTGGGTTGCGCTCGCTCACCAACTCGAAGACGAGACGCTCCTCCGGTACGTGAAGACGTTCCTCGAACACGTCTACGCGTCGCAGGAGCCGTCCGGCTACTTTGGGCCGCACCCGTTCAATACGTCGCTCCCGACGCTCCTCTGGCCGCGCTACCTCACCATGCTCGGGCTCATTGTGTGTTCTGTCATACATCTTCACGCATATATGCATCCGAAGCACTGACACCGGTGTTTGTGCGTGATGTGTACGCATAGCAATATGCCGAGGCGGACGGGAACGAGAGGAAAACCATTTGCGACCTCATACACGCATTTGTACCATATGCGGCGGAGAAGTTCGCGAACAACGACGTTGGCGACCCGGCGCTGGGCGGGCAGTACGGGTTCCAGCACGTCCGTTGGGAAGAGGTGCGCTCTCAGCTTGTGTTAGCACGTCGTGTAATTTATATGGCGGCTTGTATGACTAACAGCTCGTCCTTGTTCTGCAATGGCTTTATGACAACGACCCGAGGGGAAAAGAGCGTGAACTCATTTCACTGATGAAGACCGCGCGAGAACACGGATTTTCGTGGAAAGGTGACTTCTTCGTTGACAATGGCACTTTCCCGCGGACCGCAGTCCCAGAGGAGGAGGCGACGATGGCAAAGTAAGGGTTCTCATTTAGAACGGGAGATGGAAGCTCAATAATGTTATAGTCACGGTGTAAACATTGCCGAAGGTATTGCAGCAGTCATGTTGATCGTTTGAAGAGGCTGACGCAGCGTTCCAGCGCTCAAATCCGAGGTCCTGGCATGGCGATTCACCGGAGACATAGCGGACATTGACAGCACGTAAGACCCGATCCTGTATTTCCTGGGTACATATTTCTCTGACGAATTTCTGGAAGGTATGCTCGCCTGGATATGATATGGAAGTATCACGGGCGTCCGCAGGGCATCTTCAGCACCGATGAGTACCTGGCTGGTCTACATCCCTCTCGTGGGTATGTGTGACGATCGTCGTTGAATGTTGATCGTCGGCATAACACTCAACCTATCCTATGCAGTACAGAGTTCTGTGCAAGCGTCGAGGCAATGTTCTCACTTGAGATGATGTATGCCACACTGGGAGACCCTGCGTGGGCTGACCTCACCGAGAAGATCGCCTACAATGCTATGCCTGCTCAGGTACTTGTATACAACATCCCTCTTTATTCCCGCGCAATGCTTGAAGTATGCTACAGATCACAGCCGACTGGTGGTCGCAACAGTATCTGCATCAGACCAACCAAATTTGGGTTGGCAACCACACCGAAGGCGTGCCCTGGACGGACAATAAGTACGCGAATGTGATGGGGATGGAGCCAAGCTACCCATGTTGTATGCGTACCTTCCGTTCAGCATTCGTGGAATTATCAGCGTTTACAAGTTTTCCAAAGGCACGGTCAATCATCCACAAGGATGGCCCAAATTCTGGAGCAATAGTTTCCTTCTGGCTGACAACGGCACGGCACTTGTACACGCGCTTCTGGGCCCTGCGACACTCGGGACCACTCTGGGCAATGCAGTCGATACGAACGGTAGGTATCGCTGGCCAGTAAATCCGCACATCCCTCGCTGAAAATATTTGATAACAGTCACCGTCGACACATTATACCCCTTCGGCTCACTTTTCTCGTACACGATCGCTTCATCCGCTCCGTATACGTTCTACATTCGCATTCCCGGCTGGGCAAATTCGGAGAGCTACATCAGCGTCGATGACCAAAATGCCGTGCCGTTATTTCCCCATGCAAAGAGTGCACTACAGACGGTGCATGTCAACACAGGTGTGACGACCATTAAGTTAAACCTCGGAATGGACATCGAGGTCGAGCGACGGTCCAACAATAGTATCGCAGTCCACCGTGGGCCGCTCTTTTATGCGGTCGACCTGGCCCACAACGATACGACAACGTCTGCTCTGAGGTAAGGGCCACATCCTTGGTGTTAGAATATATGATAGCTCATGCTAGCATGCAGAGCGCCTGGCCCACTAGCACTTCTGCACAGGTTGCCCGATGTTCCGCCTTCAGATGTCGCTGAGGTAAAGCAATTTCGAAGGAGGCACTGAGAGCAGGATTTGACTTATGGTTAACCTCTTGTCCTCACGATAGTATGACAACCACACACGCGACCATACATGGCTGCCGACGGTACCATGGGATATTGCCATTGACCCGTCGACACTCAGCTTCCATGAAGAACTCGTAAAGCAGTTGCCATACTATGTATGGGAGCGTGGTGCCCAGCCGCAGTTCATCACTGCAACAGCATGCGAGATAACGTGGACGACAGTGATGGGTGATGCCGATTGGCCTCCACAGAGTCCAACCGTATGCTCGAGCGGGATGTTTACTGTGACATTGTGGCCGTTCGGGGGTACAGAACTCAGGGTTGGGGAGCTACCCACAATGTCAACGACGTACGTCGCTGGTGATGATGCGCTTGCTGTATATTGACAAAACACTACTTAGGTTCTCGGAACTTCGTGTACAATGAAGACTCGCTTTCATGTTTGTCATCCTGCCTGGATCGCCAGGAGTGCAAGAGAGACAAGAACTCAGAGCCAGTAGGGCACACATTTTATTTCGAATGTAGAAGAAGATATTTCCATCAGAGAGATTGGAGCAAAATATCCCGCAAGATCATATCATCGACCAAGATTCAAACGTGCCTATTTGAGCCCCGGCCCCGCACAACGCCGTGTTACTTTATATACTTTTCCGACCAAGATCGATTTATTTTACTGAGATATGTCTAGTGTTTAATACATTTATGACGCATGTGACAAGTCTTACTCTAGATCGTGACGGTGGAAGGTCTAACAAGGTTTGTCTATATTTCGTAGCTGTAATCCCAACATTACTGACGTTTTGCCACGAGCCTCTTGAAGACTCCAAACAGGCTTCCCGAGCGCAAGCGGAACAGATAGGTAAAGAGGTAAATACAGCATACCTGATCTTACAATTAGCGACGTAAAGCGAAGTGCAGAAGACAAGACTTACATTGAAGAGAATGAATGCAAAGAAAATACCGAAATCGCGCCAGTGATGGGAGTAATAAATGTTGAAGCTTTGCCCAAGGAACGCATCGGTCGTACTATACGAGCAGTATTGGCAATTGCTCGACGCGTCGCCATCCGTGATGTATCCTCCTGCTTCCTCGATGAACCGGCCGAGGTACTGCTGGCAGGTCTGACCTGAAGGCGGAGTAACTGTGACGAGCTCAACTGCATCACAAGTGACGCTGCTATGCCCGATTGCTAGAAGAAGCGTAAGAACCAGAACAATTAAAATGACAAGTGGAGCATATACCTTGTCCTAGTAGTGCTTCGATGAGATATGTATAGGGAGACAGGCGGTACATCCACTGCCACCAACCGAGTTGGCGGAAAGGCTGAAGGACACCATCACTACAAGAACTGCGTGAGTCGTTGATTTCGCGCCATAATGAGTCGACACTCACAATGATAGAACAAAGCTAAACAGGAAGCTAAAAACAAGTGCAGCGATCTCAGCATTTGGACACATAGCCGCGATAGCCTGCATATAAGACATCAAAAGTTGTATAATAACGTGATTGAATCGTACCACTGACCTGGCCAATGGTCGTGTAGTACAGCGGGAAGACCACTCCCAACATCAGGTATGTAAATCCTCCTCGGTCAGTCGGGAAGCCCACAGTCCAGTACCAGCACAGGAAATACAAAGATGACCCGAGGATATTCCAAGGGATTTCCACGAGGATCTGCGAAGTAATAAAAGCTGTCCAGCTGTACATGCTACTGTGGCGCTCCCGGATTTCGAATATGCTGCGCATGTCGAGGAACGGCACTTGCAGCTGATTCGAGAGCGGCACACTGATGATTGTAGACATGAAAATGGCCTGAGAGCGCGGAAATACGAGTAAGCGATTTTACGCTGAGAACGGACGTAATCGCTTACAAAAAGCTTGTTTTGCGTTCCCTGTACAGTATCCTTTGCCTTGAAGAAAGTAAAACCAATGAGTAGACCTGCCGCAATGTTTACACCGAGCTTGGCTATCAAGTATGTCGGATCCCGCCAGTGACGCTCGGCATTACGCTTCAGCAGCGTTGCCAGTTGGAAGCTCCAGGACGTCTGATAAACGCTCATCTTCGCCGACGTGCTGACAGTCTCGCGCTGCCGTCCTTCAATGTGTATCGTATCAAGTTCCTTGACGAGATCACTCGCATGATCCGACTTCCTCCAAGTGTCGGCCCAATCAATGTCGGTCGTCGCTGTCGCTCCGGCACCGATGGCGTCAAGAATGTACTCTGCAGGGTTCTCGGCCTCGCCGCACGGACGCGCGCCATTCGACTCGAAATAACCGATGAGTGCGCTTGATTTCTCACCCACATCCCCGAAATATACGGTCTGTCCGCCCTTCCGCAGGAGCAGTAGCCGATCAAATTGCTCGAAGAGCTCGGCTGATGGTTGGTGGATCGTACAGACAATCGACTGACCGCTGGCTGCAAGGCTGCGCAGGAAGCTGACAATTGCCCAGGCGCTCTGCGAGTCGAGTCCAGATGTCGGCTCGTCGAGGAAGATGAGCGAAGGTTTGGCGACGAGTTCAACGCCGATGGTCGTGCGCTTGCGGTGCTCAACCCCGAGAGAGCCGACAATTGCATCCGCAAAATCTTTCAGACCACACATCTGCAGGCACTTGTCGACCCAAGCCTCCTTTTCCGATTGTGGAACAGAGGGGGGCTGACGCAACATAGCGGAGAAAAACAATGCTTCTCGGACGGTTGCCGTCGGTAGATGAGTATCCATTTGCTGCACATAGCCACTGCAATGAGGGTGTTTCAGTCACCACACAGTGCAGTTCAATCCGTTGGCTTACGTTTTCTGCCTGAAATCCGGGGGCAAGGTCTGGCCGTTCATGAATCGGTTGCCGGTCACGACGCCGCCCGACGTCCGTTCAGATAAAACATTAAGCAGCGTAGTCTGGAGGTGATGATGGTGAGAAACCTCAATCTCTCGAAGAATGTTTAACTTATACCTTGCCGGCTCCAGATTCTCCCATCAAAGCCGTCAGTTTACTCGGCGCCACGTAGCCGGATACATTGTCCAAAAGCTTCCTTTGACCGCCGCCCACAGGTACGACATACGTCAGGTTCTCGAACGAGAAAGTGTTTGCTGCTGGGGCTTCCTTCATAGCCTCACGTGCGTCTTCTGATACTCCAGTCGTCTCCGTCGGGGACGGCGGGCTGTTACGTGGCTTTTCCTCATCGTCAGGCACGGCTTGTTCCATGTTCGCCTTTGCTCCTCGCTTAAATAGTGTCACGGTCGAGTCGCCAGCAACAGAGGTGTTAATCTCAGTCAGCAAGAGCAGGGCGCTCAAGAAAACTATACCGAAGGCGATTATTATACCGTAGTTCTGTGGTACAACATCAGACACCGCAGTCCGTTTCGTTGAAGAAGACTCACCCGCCACAAGTGACTATACGAATACCCGTAGGAAAGTGCGACATATCGAGCGCCGTTGACCGTGTCCTGACCTGGCTGCGAGCCTACGGTGGTGCAGACCTGATTTTGCAAAGACACTGATTCGTATCCGGGTCCTGTAGGTATGAGCGACGAGCAGACAGCGTCGACTGTACGGAACTGATTGACCATGAGGGCTTCGAAGCCATAGTGCAGAGGCTATCAGGCAAGTCAGCTCATGCATATGAAAAATCAGGGTGAGGTACTAACATCAAGCCACGTAAGCCATCGCAATGCGCCGATCATATATGGTTGAGGGATTGTATAGCCAGTGTACAGTACCAGAATCAGAACGGATACTCCGGCAATCGCCTGCGCTGGAGCTGCGCTCTTAAACGCCGCCGCAAGTGCACGGAACCATGCCTTCATCGTCAACGTCATCGAGTAAACAAAGAGCAAGAAGATGCTGCGATGTGGTGAGTAGGGGAAGGTGCAAAAGTAAAACATGAACTCACAAAAATTGCCCAGCGGACGCTTGCAAGCCCACGACGAAATATAGGACGATGCAGAACACGATGATGGTCACGGCCGTGATAGGGGCATCAACCAACGTTAGGGCTACGGCCTCGACGAACGGGTGGTACATCGCAGCTCTCGTATGCCGGAGCACAATGGGCCGTTGACCGAAGAGCGCCGGGATCTCCGCCATCGTCGACAAAGCGGAAAAAAGCAGCGCACTGTGCGGACAGTGAACGCGAGGTGTGGGAGAAAATTGGCATCACGTACAAGAACATCACACCTCCTTGCGAGAAAAACGTTGATGTTGTATCGCTCACCCGCAAGAAGATAGTGCCCACAATCACTGCCTGCAGCACGAACGACATCACCTGAATCACCTGCGCGCCGACCGCACCCTTGATGATCTGGACCCGCCGCAGCATCAACGCTCGCGCCTGCATCGGGATGGAGATAATGTACGAGCTCCTCGCACGACTAGTTGTCGCGTGCTCCGCACGATTGCTCTGGCGGTACGTCTCGCTCTTCTCCGGGTTTCCCTCACACTCCATGCGGTAGTGCTCCATGTCCTGACGGTTTGCGGCACCGAGGTCGCTGCTGAGGAAGTACTGCGCGAACTCGTCAGCTGTGCGCGGCGCGCGGTCTTCGAAGCCCTTGCGGAGCGTGCGTCCGTGTGGGTCTGTCACTGCGACGAGGAAGTCGGCCGTGGTCTGTCGGTTCGCGGGCTCGTATCCCATGTCGATGAAGTACTGCCGAGCGTGTTCGGCGGGCCCGAAGTACGCCATCTTGCCCTCGTAGAGCACGCAAACCTTATCGAAAAGCTCGTACAGCGACTCGCCTGCCTGGTAAATAGCAACGATGGTTGTCACATGAGCAATGTCGGTGGCCAGCCGGAGGGCGCGGACGAATTCAAGTGCTGTCGACGCGCTACGTCGGGTGTCAGTGTTCACATCAGAGGCCAAGGGTGGTTACGCACTCAAGTCCACGGGTGGAACTGGAAATATCTTCTTCAGTGAAGGAGACCAGAATCATGAAGACATTCTTACTTATCCCAAGCAGTAATTCGGCTCCTCGTCGCCAAGACTTCGCTAATAGACACCCGCTTCTTCTCGCCGCCGCTGACGCCCCTTATCCTAGCGTCGCCGACGAGCGTGTCCTTGACATGTCTCAATCCGAAAATAGTCGCCAATATGTCCGTTATCGTCTCGCGATGCTCTCGGCGAGTTTCGGCGATACGCGTCTGCGGGGTGCGGGTCTTTGCAGCGAAGTCAAGGGTCTCCTTCACCGTGAGTGTGGGGAAGTGCACATCGTCCTCGGGGCAGTACTGAACGTCTCCGCGATAGTGCTTAGCAATTTCTGCGGGTGTGAATGTGTCGTAGAAGACGTCTCCATGAACGGCGTGGTAGTCAGCCCGGTGGTTGGCGAGGGTCTTAAGCAGGGTACTGCAACCCGCGCCCGGACGGCCGAGGACCACTGGAAAAGGAAGTCATATTACGTAGATATACATGAATGTGGATACCCACAGAGCATCTCGCCCGGCTTCACACAGCCTTCGAACCCAGTCAAAATGTCGCGAACAGGTGGGTGGCGAAGCCGCTTCACGATGTCGATGAATTTGAGCGGGTTGAGCTCAGAAGCCAGCGTGGCTTGGTACGTGGCTCCTGCGCCTAATCCGACAACCCTCAAGTTTTCAAACAAGACTCCAAGTTCTCTGGTCTTGATGTCTGACTGCTCCAGCCTGCGCTAGCGTAAGTGACATTGTCCTTTTTCGAGCCTGGAAAGCATACCTCCTCATAACGGTCTTCAGCGTCTTCTCGAAGTCAAATGGTCCATCTCCAGGTGTCAAAGTACCCTCATCAGAGGTAGCATCCGACCGCGTCGGCTGACGGCTGATTGACTGAGCATCCGCCCTCCTCCCAGAGGAGACGCCAGAGGCGCGAGACATTGCTCTGCGGAGCTCATTGACTCCGGATGGATCGAAGTGCCCAATGTCAACATGTCGTGCAGATCGAGTCTCGTTGTGGTCGCTGCTTTCTGCTTGTGGATGCGATAGGTCGGTTATCACATTGTGTATCGCCGCGTCTGCGTATGCCGCTGCCGTAGAGGTTCCCAAGGGCAGCTCTGGTAGGTTGTCGTTTGCTCGGACGTTCTCCAGCTGTTCGGGGTCAATGGGTGGGTCCATGGCGATGGTCTAGAGAATAGACGGAACCACCGGGCAAAGCGGGAACTGGGCTCCATTGGCACTGAATGTATACTGAGCCGATTGCAAACAAGGCTAGGGGCTGACGACCGCGGCGCGGATGGCGTTGGCCCTCGGCTCCAAGCATGTGATTTCCCGCCGCGCAGCTCCCGACGCTCCAGATCCATCGGCAACAGGCGCCTATCCAAGGAACGTCACAGAAGATCCGGATCTCCGGACTCTGAAGGCACCCGTAGCCAATCGCATAGCTTCTTGCAGCCGCTCTCCCTGCCTCAATGTGTAACAACCGCCTGCGTCCGCTCGCATATCAGCAGATTGCAGACATTGCGAGACTGCAGCAATCCTTACTTGGTCCACATCCAAATACATATACTTACTATGCCTTGCAATCATTATGCGAAAACACATACTAGGTGTATGTCGGGCCCAGATGTGTAGTATCTGGCCGCAAGAACGACATCCAGCCTTGGCTACGATAGTGAACGCATCATCAGATTTGTCACTATCAGCCACTCCGCGATTCCCGGAAAGCGACGATTTAGCGCGCCGAAAGGACGCGTAAACCTTGTCTCGTACCCATCCCCCCGTATCCGCACCCCACCACCGCGAAAAGGGGGTCTGGGGCAGTTAGATAGGCGCACCCCCCCCCTGGCTTAAGCGCCCCACAAGCGCCGGAATGTAACGGTCACAGGTTGCTTCTGATACCTAGAAATGATGCGATCTTTGATCGCTTTCCAAATCCGGTACTCACACCTAGCAGGTCGTGCTCGAGGAAGTGTCAACAAAGGCATACCTGAGCTTGTAAAATACTTGAAAGGCCACACAAAAAGTATCTATGCCAAACTCAGCCTGTAAGTTTATGACCAAATGAAGTATCATGTGGAAAGCATCATAATGAAAGCTGCAACTTCTCCTTCCAGTACCTGTGGCATCTTCATGATGTTACTGGAGGGGTATATCTCATGGAATACTTAGGTTGCTGGTGGATATAGTATATGAGACTTATCTAAGATGCTTGAAACAAGTAAACTTGAGATTCTGTAGCAGACCACAATGTAGCGTCCACCAGTCTCGAGCACGACCTGCTAGGTGTGAGTACCGGATTTGGAAAGCGATCAAAGATCGCATCATTTCTAGGTATCAGAAGCAACCTGTGACCGTTACATTCCGGCGCTTGTGGGGCGCTTAAGCCAGGGGGGGGGTGCGCCTATCTAACTGCCCCAGACCCCCTTTTCGCGGTGGTGGGGTGCGGATACGGGGGGATGGGTACGAGATAAATTGGTAGGTGCGATTGGGTATTTCGACAGAGCAACTGCAGCATTTCCCAAGATCTCCGACAAGGTTCATAACAATTACCGGCAAGATGGTATACGGCAGAGGTAAAGATAGATATGGCAGTACCCGCCTGTACGCCTCTCTCCCTCCAAGAATAGAGAATGACATAAGACACTCTCGAGAAATACAAATCAACATGTAGCATTCTATAGACACAACATGCCGAGAAACATTACAACGCAAACGAAACATGGCACTGACAAACCGTAAGCGCTAACCCCTATAGATTTGTAATTGTGCCGATTGACGTCTCAGACGTCCTCCATCTTGCTAGTACACTTGGCGTCCCGCGGGACATATGTGCGTAAGCGACCTGCTGCTTCGCCTGCTCACGCGCCAGGCGGATATGTGTAATGCTACGTGCGAGTGCGGGAGACACGCCGCCCCGGGGCGGAGGTGGGGCCACGCGTCTACCTTGCTCTGCGCGCAGCTGGGCAATGACGGAGACAGCTTGTGTAACCCCATGTTTGCGGTGGCGGGCTGACATTTGCTGCATTGACAGGGTCGAAGGCAGAACGATCGGTGTTGGCAGTGAGGAGCTGCGCGCTTCCAAGATCGAGGGAACTACAGAGAGTTCGCGAGCATTCATGAAGGCAACCTGCCGCTCGTGTTCACGCCCGGCAGCGGACGATACCGGCAGCATAGCTACCTTCTCGCAGGTTATTTCCTGTGCGTACGCACCGCGGAAGAACGTAGAGGACGTCGCGATCGTGATTTGAGCGGCCTGCTCTTTGGCTACCGCAGGCACCCTCCATGGTACGAACGCAGCGTGCGCGGCAGTGTTTGCTGATTGCTGAGCAACGGCTTCCAGCTGTGTCGAACGATCTGCGCCCGCAGCGTGAGGCCGACGTGGGAGCGTGTGTGCCTGGCCGAGCGCAAGGGCGTCAATGGGACCGAGGTCAAGGTACGGGCTGCCATTCTTGGGCGTCCAGCCACGAATGTCCAAACCACGGTCTGTGGTCCCTGTGGTGTTCGCATCGTGATTGTGAGACGGCGCCTTGTTCAGCACGTCAAGGATCGTTTGCACGGCGCGGGCTGTGTCAGCCTCCTCCTCCTCCTCCTCCTCCTCCTCTCTCAATTCGTTGGCGTCACCGCAAGCTAGAACGGCTTTCATGGGTGAGCGACCAGCGTGGTCCGGGCGAGGGTCCATGCGGGAGAGAGAGGAGCTTGCAGATATCGCCTTAGCGAGGATGAACCCCAGAGCCATCGCTGTCGAACGCGAAGTCGCTTTTGCTGGGGAATCGGGCGGTTGGACGTCATCTTCGTCGGGGATGTTGATGAGATCGTCGAGAGACAAGCATGGTGTGATGTCAGATTGCGAACAGGCTGTGGCTAGCATGTCAATGAATTCCATATCGTGGAGATCGAGGGAGAGCTGGCAGGTCAAATTACAGGGAGGACCTGAGTTGCCACCGTAAAGACGCGACTGCAATGACCACTGTCAGCCTCACGTGCTGACAGATGTCGGGCTCATGTTGTGTGATTTTGAAGTGTCAGTCCGAAGTGTGAATGACATTCCGATGTAGACTGGCAATCGATTGTCATAGCAGCGGCGAGTATTGATAAAAGAAACTGACTTACTCCCGGGCCGGCAGCGATGCTTGCCCGACATACCCAAAAGTCAACGCGTTTCTCGTCAACGAAAACAAGGAAGAGTCATTTTGCATCGCATATTGCCCTTAAACAGATTTCCGATAGTCCTCATACTCGTGCAGCTGTAGAATCGACCACACTTGTTCCTACCTGGATCGAGCGGTAGGTTGACGCGTATGTGTGTGTGTCACATGACCTTGTTGGTCCATGTATACGCTTCGCTTGAGCTTGCTTTGCGCCACTAACTCGCGCGTTGATCTCGGCTATGTGGCGCTAGCTCTTAATCTATTCTTGATATTGCGCAAATATTTCGATGCCCATTGACCCGCGACAGGCCTACCCCAATCACCTTCTCCAAGACGTAGGGTACCACAATAGCACAGATATGTGCTCCGACTGCAACGTATTCCCTGACGCGGTGAAGGAGTATATAACACTCTTACATGACGCGTTCCAACTTCTGACATGATTGAGATAAATATGTTGTTGCACATTCTACACGAAGCAGATCCTGTTTTCGCTGTCATCGTGGCTCTCGGTTTACTATGCCAGCAGTAAGCATCATAGCCGAATGCTTAATGCTTCAAGACGTATTGGGTCTCATTTGATATGTTGTGGTGAGCTGTTCCAAGCTTGTGAGGACCCCATAAAGATGACTCTCACCTCACTGGCCAGTCAATAATCATCTCAAAGCAATTTTTGTGGGTGTAACACGGTGGGTCTACCATGAGTGCCTATGTTTTTCGATCCTATGAGCCTGCGACAACAATGTGCGGAGCGGCGGCGGATTCTGAATCTCGTCATGATGTTGCTTCGCCTCCTCCCTCCCAAGGGTTTATACGCGATAGTCTCTAGAAGCGTGAAACTTTCTCGCTGTTATTGCAATACAAGAGGTGAAACGTTCTCGAGAACACATTTGTGGTAGAGCACCCTCATTAAATGTCTCCGAGATAACGATCTACTCAATCCACCGATCAGCTGCTGAAGTGAACTAGATCTCAGATGATATGCCTGAAACGCGACTCTTGTTGCACATGCATCCATGTCGACTATCCATGCCCGGACAGTATGCAGAATCCAAGGCAGACATGTATGGGATGGAGAACTGTAACGACAATGACATCTGTGTGGTAGCTGGCAGGACTAATGTACATGATACAAGTCAAAGTGATACGTGATAATTGATGGGAAGCTTGATCACCGACCATACCTGATGCCATGTAAAAGTCAATACAGGCATAAGTACAATAGCACACTCGAAGACGCACTTCTGTAGTTCCCACTCTCTGTTGTCCAAAGGGCACACGTTCCTCGTCTTCAGCCAACGTGAGATGCAGTGGAAGTGGAATGCATGCTATCAAGGAGTATTATTAAGTATTGGTATTCATTAGAAATCGATAACTACGCACGTTGCAAATTCCCCATGCGGCGTTGCATTCCTCGCTAGTGGCAGAGACCTGATTCGCTTGACAATCAATGCCTGAGCCACCATGTGCAGCACGTCAGACAGGAAATAAATACAATACTAGGATGAGGCGTACACAGATCCATGATGTGGTTCCTGCAGATGGCACAGTTCTCAACAACAATGTCTACACAAGGACAATCGTAAGCTGGGCTGGCATTCTACGCCGTCTGCACCACGTACCCCATGCCCATAGAGCAACCGCGTTCCACTGTTTCCACAATCGAAATCGGCAATGTCCAATGAGCACTCTCGATAGTGGCGGAACGAGCCGACTGATACGGGCATACCTTCTTCACCTCGAATCGCTTCTTCTCATCCAACGCCCTGGCAGCAGCGGAGGAGGCGGGGGGGTCGACGTCCATATCAGCCATAATGAGAGCGAGGATTGAATCGACAATACAACCAGCGGCCCTGGGAGGGGGATGAGAGTAGGAGGAGAAGGGGCGCGGCGTAATAAGCGCGCGAAGCGTCCACTATACGGAAAGTGACGTCTGTGACTGTGACGAGTACCTTCTCGCCGCCATTCTATTCATTCCTCACCCGCACCCAGCACCGCTCAGTTAAAGACACTGCATCAGTCGCAGGAATGTCAGAAAGCAATCAATCCCTCGCCCAGAAGTTCTACGCCCACTTTCATGCGACACGCTCTGGTCTGCTGCTCTCTGCGTCCTGGTCTTTTTTCCAGATCCTGAGAGTATGAACAGAGTTCCAGTCTCGTTTGGAAGCCGTAAAGGCTGTGGCGCCAGCTTCCGGCGCCTTGGAGCAGCTATCGGTGGACGTAGCAAAGCTCAGGAAGGAGCTGACTGACGCAACGGATTATCTGCCTTCTTATGATCAACGCCAATATGAGCTGGTATGTTCTCCTCACTGGCTGCAGAAGGTTGTTGAGCGTGAATTGAAAATACAGCACTTGAAAGAGATCGAAGAGTCTCTGGATAGACTACGAAGCGCATCTACGGTGAAGCCGAAATTCGCCTTCAAGAGGAAGACACCAAAGGCGACAGGAACGCCCGCTCCCTCTCCTGTCTCTTCCTCTCTGACTCCTGCTGTATCCGTGTCCTCTGAGAATGAGCCTACGTCGAGAAGTCTTGCCCTCTCGGGTCGCTCGCACGCATACCTGGACTTCACATCCCTTCACTTTCCACCGTCTGCCGCGTCCGACCTCACTATGTCCGATCTCGATCACTGCATCGTGAATCTACTGCCCTTGGCAAACGAGAGCCGATCCTCGCTTTTCACTGCATTGCACGTCCGCAACGTTCGCAATTGTGTCATCATCTTGCCTCCCATAGATGGTAGCGCCCTACTGCACGACCTCACCCGGTGCACATTAGTCCTGGGCTGTCACCAGGTCTGCTAACTGTAATCCTGTTATATTTCATTGGCCTTACGACGGATTTCTACAGTATCGAATGCACACGTCCACTCAGGTCAACGTGTATCTTTCCGTGGCTTCAAATCCTATAATCGAACATTGCTCAAGCATTCGCTTCGCCGGATATCCATCTTGTCTTGCCAATCGGCTGGGAGGTGGAGCATCCGTGAGTATCTTTTCCCTGCTTCAAAGTTGTTGAGGCGTCCAGAGACTTACCGGGCCCATAGATATCGGACATTACCCCGATGATGATCCAGGACTTCTCCCACATTAGACCCACTCCGTCGCCCAATTGGGCTATGCTGTCGAGAGAGAGAGCCGTAGCGGACGAAGACTGGCTTCAAGCGATGCATGGCGAACGCAATGACGTTGATACCACACTGACACGGCTACTGCCTTCCCTCTAGCTGTGGAAGTTGTTCCCTGTGGCGCAGTATTGTGGATTTTGGGACTTCCGGGAGCGGGAAAGCTGTCCTTCACCGGTAATCTGCTCTGTGCTTGAGATAAGATGAAAACAGATCGCGTAGATATATTACTTTAAGTATCATTACAACAACAATAAATTGTACTCTGCGCGGGGACGCACGCTCTGCCTACACAAGCCGATCACAGCTATAATCACCGACTTGATGTGTCCGGTCCTGCGAGCAGCAGTATAACTGCATACCAGCAGCCGATAACTATTGCGGACAGTGCGGTTGAAATCCTATGCTAATTACTGGTTCACCGACGTGCCAAACATGCCTCTGATACAAGGCACTCGTCATAACGATCAGAAGCGTAGATTCGTCACTCATACGGTGCACAGGCAGGCAGTGAGATGTCCATCGGAAGCTGCCTGCCACAGGGATATTTGAGGACGTGCAAGTCGTATTCTGTGGCCAAACGCTGATCCTCGGCTTCGCTGCCTTTTGAGTGGTCTTCATCTGGAATAACCGCGTGGCACCTTCTTTGCAGGCCTGTCCAGTCATTCCAAAAGCGTATGCACGGTTTCATCCGCCGGAACGATGAACATAGAGAGACATCCCGGCTCCCTCTGTACTCTTGTGTCTATTGAGTTAATGTAATAAAATATCGCACAAAAACTTACTCGTGCAACCCATGCTGGCAGACGGTGTGCATCTTGGAGAAGATCGATATATTCCTTGACTGACTGCGGACATGCGGGTCCAACATCGCGGTCTCTCAAGCGGATACAAAACTGGATGTAAAACAAAAACACAAAACACAAAACATCGCGGTCTACGTTCTGGCCTCCGTGGCATCTGACGTGTTGTGCGTTTTGCGCAAGATAGGCTTCATACGGGTTCATAACTAGAAGGTAGGCTGAGCTCCCGAGATGTGCGAGATTTGTATGGAGGGAGAGTCTATAAATTACAATGCAAAGACACAGAATCCGCGCATTGGCTGTGGCAGACGCGTGGTATCGCGCTCTGCGAAGTCTCACGCATGTGATCTTTGTGGGCAACGCCGAGTGCCAGACGATTTGCGCTCATTGTCGCTCAGCAACATTCTATTCTCATCTGGCTACACTGAACATACCATGCCTACGCCGTCAGACGACTTGAAGGCATCTCTAGAGAGGCACAATGCCACGTTCGAAACACTTCTCAAATTAATCCCTGCAAAGTACTACCTGGTGCAAGAAGCGACTGAGGAAGAGGTGACATGGTTCCATGTTTACTGGGCAATCCTAGTTCCGTCCCCAGTGTTTTCTAAATCCTTAGGGTCTAGATTGCTTCTAAATACCAGAAGAATAGCAAAAAGCAGAAGGCACCAAAGCAAGCCATCAAAGAGGCCTCAAAGAAGGCAAAACGAGAGAAGGTCATATTCCCATAATTCTCTTCCTGGCATCGCACTTTATCTGACTTCATAGTTTAGCTTGACCCCGCGAACAATAAATCTGTAATCGAGATCCAAGATGAGGCCTTCAAGCAGACGCAGGCGAGCAGTCAGGCAAGCAAGAAAGGAAAAGGAAAAGGAAAAGCAACAGAGCCAGACTCAGACCTGGACGATGACTCCGTGGACCTCGACATGGCTGTGGAGATGGACGAGGACGACTCTGATGTGGACATAGATGTAGCCAAGTCGCAGCCAGTGGCTGAGAAACCGCTGGTGCCGATGCCAGAGTCTGGGGGCATACAAGCACTTCGTGAAAAATTGCACGCGCGGATGGCCCAACTCAAGCGCGGTGGTAGGTGGCAGGCGGGAGGCGGAGAGGCGGGTAGCAGGGACGAGCTGCTGGACGAGCGCAGGAGGCAGCGGGCGGCCATGCGTGAGCGGCGGCGCAAGGAGACGAAGGAGAAGATCCGGCGAGAGGAAGAGATGAAAGGAAAGAGAGGGAAGGACAAAGAGAGAGAGAAGGCGAAGGGGTCGTTAACCAAGGTTCGTAGCCCTCTGCACTTTCTGGATTCGCTGACTCTCGCTGCAGACACAACTGCTTGTACCAGAAGAGGGCTCGTCATCCAAGTCTGGACCATCACAAGACACTCGCTCGGCAGTGACGAATGTCGCCTTCTCCGCGCTTGCTGGTTCGTCTGGTAGTAGCAAGAAGGCACAACACCTCAAGACCGCATCAAACCCCACACAGGCGCTCGAGCAACTTGCAGCACGCAGAGAGAGGGTTGCCGCAATGCCAGAAGAAAAGCGCAAGGCAATTGAAGAAAAGGAGAAATGGCAGAAGGCGGAGGCGCGGATGGAGGGCGTGAAGGTGCATGACGACGAGGCACGGCTCAAGAAGGCCGCCAAGCGGAAAGAGAAGGAGAAAGTGAAGAGCAAAAAGACTTGGTAAGTCAACAGTAAAGGTCTCACGGATGGGCAGTTCATTGATGCACGTGTGCAGGGAAGAACGAAAAGAGCAGCTGGCAGCGTCCATGGCTACCAAACAGAAGAAACGGACGGATAACATTGCCATGAGACATGAAAGGAAAAACGACAAGCGGAAGGGTGGCAAGGCGAAGGATAAGGGCCGTCCTGGCTTCGAAGGAAAGTCGTTTGGGAAGAACAAGGGAAAGCCTGCCGCGAAGGGTAGAAAGTGATAACTCACTTGTTGTCGGAGACAGTGTTCTATTCATGGCGGCTACGACTTACACAGCGCAAACGGAGGTGGGTTTGTGAGGGTATAAACACGAAAGCAAAAGGTATAAATACATCCAAATCCACCCACTTTCAAATGGCGCACATGCTCCCTGAATACAGTGCGACTGAATTATCCCCTCACAACCCCTACGGTAATCTCTGCCTCGGCTTCTGCACCCTCCCCGCCCCTCGAGCCGAAATGCAGTGCTTGCGAACAGCGCCCCCAAGCCCACTTCGTCAAACTCAACACCTCCTCGTCATCCATGTCCGGGCGTACGTGGAGCTCGAGAGTCACGACGAGCGATTGCGCAGGTCCCTGTATCTTCATGTCGACTGCAGCCACCGGATGAGTGTATATGTACTGGTCTTGAGGGAGCGTAAGGTTTGGCGTGAGCTGCCAGATGTGCGGTGCCGGAAGATGCAAGACTCGGGGGTCCCGTTCGATCTATCGACGAATCTGCAAGACGATCGATGCACAGCACGGATGGACGCACCTGTCTCATGGCACGCAGGAACGCCTCCATCCTGCCTCCTGCAAGTCCACGAGCGGGTGACGTCTGCAGGAGTGTCGCGCCAAGGGCAACTGCTGCGGAATATGCGACACTGAACGTGACGACCGTCTCCACACCAGCCAGAACAAGGTCGAAGTAACGATGTTGGTATCTGCGTCTCCCAAATAGTCGTGAGCAGGCCACAAAGTAAGGCAGTGAAAGATGCTCACGGAGGTATAAAAGTCGGCCCAAAGAACAGTATCACAGCAAATGATATGGGCGTTAGTGTGTATGGATTGGATAATAGATTGATTAAACGGGGAGGATAGGTATACGATGATGTGAAGTATCGATAGCGAGATGGCAGCAGCGATGATAAAGGAGGGATGTGATTGCCCGCCGCTGATTAAAAACCATTAGCACTAGCGTTCGTAGGCTCAATAGCACTTCTACGACTCACTGCTGACGAGCTTGGAATGATTGTCGAACGCAAGAGCAGTGGTGATCAGCGAAAAGAGTGTGATCAGTAGCAGGACGGACGGAAACTCAATCCTGCGCTATATTAGACATAGAACAGCTACAAGACGACGCACATGCTTACCCAAAGAACTCCGTCACCTCGTCGCCATGATGGTGATGGTGCCCTTCGCCTGAAGACAGTAGCAAGTGCTCTACAGTCTCCTTACAGACATACACTGCGGCAAATATTAGGTACACAGACTGCGCGAATGCGACTACCGTTTCTATTCGAGCGTTCCTGCACATGCGGTCAGATCACACCAACTTTCGCCGACGCTGCCACTCACCCGAATGGTCTCCGGATATCCGCCCGCATGGATGGCTTCGCAAGGTACCCGGGCAATATGTGCGCAAGCGCGACACCTAGCGCGTCGAATACGATCCAGTACCCCAGTCCTGTGCAGGCGAGAGACCCCACCTGTTGCGCGGTGATCCATAACCACACCCCGAGCAGGAATTGGGCGATCACCGCGCCCACCGCCTCTGGTGCTATCTGCGGCGCCTTACGCGCCGTCGGCCGTGGACTCCCCGCCCGCGGCAAAGCACTCGCCGCGTGGTCCTCGAGCACCGCTCCTCTCTCGTTTGTCGGTGACTGCGGGAACGGTGAGATGGGCATCCACGGGCTGACGGGAACTGGGGCGGGCAGCGTGTGCAGCTCCTCCGGCGCGCCTTCTTGCTGTGCGCCGGGCTCCAGGAAGGAGAAGAAGTTGTGCGATAGCGAGTGCTTGTGGTGGTGCCCCCGCCGAGATGCTCCGCTGGACGAAGGCGTATCTGCCATGGAAGGCATCGGGTGCTCCAGAGACCCAGACGAGGGCGGGCGCCCGCCGAAAGTGAATCCTTCGCGAAAGTTCCGCTGTCCTGGCCCTGGGGATGCGGAGGGCATGGGTATGCCCTCGGGCGGCGGCGCGAACATGATGTCTTGGCCCCCATCCTCTGCGATAGCTGTCGCGGGAAGCGTACCAGGGCGCGGGAAGAACACCGACAAATTGCGCGAGTGCACGCGCGAGTGCCGCCTGGTGTGCGCTTGCGAGGACAGCGAGGGCGACGGGCTTATGCCATTACCGTTCTCTTTCGACCGCAATTCCGGGGCAGTGGACGAGGTGGGGAACCTCCCTGTGGGAGGAGACTGAGGGGGGAAGGAGAACGACAGCGGGGACGGACTGGCTGGAGAGAAGGGACCCGAGACCGAGCGTGTGCGCGAGTGCGAGCCTCCCGGGAGCGACAGAGACTGCCGCAAACCAGGCGCCTGGTGTCTGTGCGGCAGTATATGTGAGTTGGGCGTACCGTGTATAGTCATTGGTCTCGGTGCACCGAAGCCAGTTCTGTAAGGGCCCGCTGAAGGCGGCGGGTCCGGGTACGACGACGATGTTGCCGGAGGAGTTGATACGACGCGGTTACGCGTCGGTGACGGCGGAGGTCCCAAAAGTCCATTGGCTGTGCTATCTTCTGCGCTGCCAGGGGCAACTTCGGGCTGTAATGGCGGCGTACGGGCCATAGGGAATGTCAGAACATTGTCGTCTTCTTCCTTGCTTGACTTCCGACGGTGCATGCGAGCAACACTTGTTCGACTGCCACCGCTCGACATTTCGCGAGACACAGAGTGCGAATAGACCTCTAATGACTCTCTGTAGCGGGATTATGCCGCCGTAGCTTGTGAGGGGTGTGTTGTGAGAGGATTTGGGCTAATCGTAGCTGAACCAGCGGGACCGATGTCCGCCGTCCGCCTTGGATTTTGCACCTCCCAATTAGATACCCTGCAGCGCTGGTGGTAAATTTCGATACGACGAGGTCTCCAATAACATGACTAGACTACTCACCTCCGTAAACAAACGGTAGACGAGCGATTGGAAGCTGGAATGCCAGTGAGACAGATGCCTTCCTAAATTGGTATGCCATCAAGTCTGCGAGTATGGGCGCTTGGCTGATCCACCCGCTTATTACTCGCCTTCTTACTTCCGCTGCAGTTGCATTCGTATTCGACGAGCGGTTGTGAAATGGCCTCTCAAGCCCCTCGCAAGATAATCCTTACAAAGGAGCAACTCGAGCACTTCCAAAGCTCGCAAACACATAAGGACATCGTCTCGTATATCGAGACATTGAATACGGCCGTCGTGGGCGTGAAGTTGACGGACGAGTGCAGCCAGTCTTTCGTACGTGAGTGACCCTTGCACTGATTATAGGCTACTCAAGAGGTCTGGAATCGCGGGTAACTACAGGGCGTGGAGGCGATCCTGAACGTGCTTGATCGCGTAGAGGATATCGCCAAGGCCACACCACCTGTAGACAACAAGGCGTCGCGGTTTGGCAACCCGGCCTTCCGGACATTCTATGACAAAGTTGCTGAGGTATGTCACGCGCTAGTCACAAGTGTGCTGTCGCTTCACAACGTGGGCATCAGGCTGCACCAGAGTTGCACAAGACGCTACCCGGTCTGCCCCAGGAGGCGATTCCGGAGCTTGTCGTGTACTTCGGCGAAGCGTGGGGAAACCGGACACGAATCGACTATGGGAGCGGAATGGAACTCAACTTTCTATGCTGGCTGTACGTAAGGCCATGGAAGTATTCTCATCCGGGGGTTCTGATGACAGCTACCATGGTATAGAATCTGCCTTGAGCGGCTGAAGGTGGTCGAAGAGAGTGATCACGTTTCATTAGTGATCAGAGTGTTCTGGAGGTGCGCCCTCCCATTGCGCATGAACTAAATGCATACCTTGCTGACGGCATATATGCAGATATGTGCAAGTGATGCGAGTTCTGCAGTCGACATATTGGCTGGAACCTGCCGGCTCTCATGGGGTTTGGGGGCTGGACGACTATCACTTCCTGCCGTTCCTCTTTGGATCCGCGCAGTTGCGAGGCAAGCAGTGCTTCTCTTCACGGTGGCCGCAGTCTAATGTTATTCGGCACCGACAGGCCATAAATACATCAAACCGAAAGCTATCCATGACAGCGAGATTGTGGATGAATACTCGAAGCATTACATGTACTTCGCATGCATCAGGTTCATTAACTCGGTGCGTCACACCTGGCGTGATCGAGAATACAGGCGCTGATTATGATCATGAACAGGTCAAAACGGCCTCGTTGCGGTGGCATTCACCTATGCTCGATGACATATCCGCGGTATGCGATTGGCTCCCTCGAATTTGATCACTAGTGTACGGTCTCACGTACAATTTTAGGTGAGGACATGGGAGAAAGTGAACGCAGGGATGATCAAAATGTATCTCGCGGAGGTGCTGGGGAAATTGCCCGTCATGCAGCACTTTCTATTCGGGTCGATTCTCTCATGGGACGGACCGCTACCGCCACCCCGAGACGACATCAGCCAGGACGATGCACACTGGGGCCATGACCATGCATATCAGGGCGATTTGGGTGGCGCTGGCCAGCGCGAAGTTGGATGGGGCGACTGCTGCGGCATCCCTGTCCCTTCTGTGTTCGCCGCGGCCGAGGCGGAGAAGGGCAAGGTTCCCGGAGCAAGACTCGCTGGTCCAGGCATCAGGCCGGTACCATTCGATTGAGCGATCGTGTGTATGTTACTGACAGCCGTGAAGCCTGGTGTAATTGTATCGGATTCTGTTCGCATGTCCCCCTCCTACTCGTCGTTACCTTGCGTCATGGCCGCGCATCGAGCTTCTTGCATGTTGCTCCAGTACTGCCTGGCTAACTTTACGCGCGCTGACGGCACCTAGACGACCCTCGCGAGGCCCGGAGCACGTACACTGATTGATGGCGGTCACACGAACGTGACCTGTCGCGACGTCACGACAGACAGGCGCCGTTCATTAGACTCACGGCCTCCGCTGCGGGAGCTTCTATTACATATCCGCGCAAGGTGAGTGGTCCATGTGTCCCCCTGGCGTCTGCACAGGCGTGCGCGCGGGAGAGCGTGTAGCGAGCAAGAAACGGTGATAAAAGCGTCTTAAAGAATCGCAATGGACCGTTGGACGTCTGAACCCTCGCGCCGGCACAGCCGTCTCGGAACACGTCAGTATGTCCGTCGTTGTGACTTCTGCTTCTTGAGCGTGCTGAAACGAAGCCGTGACCTCTCATCCACGCAGTAGCGTTCGGCAAAAACAAAATGGGTTATTCAGACGCGCGTTCCTGCCCGTCCACCATTGTGGGGTACGCGGTAGCTGGGTCAGTATTCACGTCCACGCCGGCCGGCCGGGAACAGGGCCAACTGCAAGTACTGATGAATGCAGTATCTTTCCTAGGCTAAGGCTGCGTTCGTCCGCCTCCAAGTACTACAGCATCGTGGATGATGATGATCCTACTGTAAAGCCGCCGTCCCCCGACGGAGAGGACTTGCCGGGGTACGGGTACCCTGCACCGCGCCGGCCGTGGTGGCGAAGGCGTTGTTTCATAATCTCTGCAGTGCTGAGCTTGGCAGCTGTGGCTCTTTTGTCTGTCTTCGTTTTCAAATTTGGCACGGGATTCCATTGCCATCACGATGCAACAAATTCGCTATCGAAAGTCACAACGCCCAATGCGAGTTACCATGTCATGAATATGAATATGGTAGACGAAGCCCCCACTACGCGACATTATGATTTCGTTGTAGAGGAAGCGATTGGGGCGCCTGACGGCGTCGAAAAGCTGATGTTGGTTGTCAACGGTTGGCAGCTTTAGGACAATCGCGTGTGCTGGTGCACTGACGGGACTTGTAGGGCAATTCCCCGGGCCTACAATCGAAGCCAATGCCGGGGACAGAATCGTTGTGAATGTAACGAACAAGCTGCCGAATGCCACGTGAGTACGAGGAATAACTGCCAGAGTCTGAGGGTCTTGTTTGACTGTTCATGGCTATAGTGCGATCCATTGGCACGGACTCTATCAGTGAGTGCATATGTGTCTATGTCCGGAATCATACTATATAACTTTGCAGGAATGGCACCAATTATTACGATGGAACACACGCAGTCACTCAGGTACGAGGGCTGGAAGTCTGCTTGACTTCGTGTTATTGAATATTGTGTGCTAGTGTGGGATCCCACCAGGAGAATGGATGGTTTACAACTTCACCGTGAGCTAGCTGTCAGCTGACATACTTTCGGCCTCTGATCAGTTCATCTCACTCTAGTTTGACGGTTACGCTGGAAGTACATGGTGGCATGCCCGTAAGTGTGACTACTTTCTGCTTATGCTGCTGTTTAACGCTCCCGCAGATGCGGATACACAATACACGGACGGTGTCGTTGGTGCCCGTTAGTTGCGCCCACTGCATATGTCGTGGCGGCTTTCTCACAAATCTGAACTACAGTCATCGTACACAGCAGGGACGAGCAGGTGCCTTCATATGACGGCGATATTGCTCTCCAGCTCTCAGATTATTACCATGGCTTGTCGGCCGACCTTCTGGAATACTATTTCACTGTGAGCGAGACCTTTGACCTATGCCTGACGCCGAACTCAGAGCGATGTCAGCCCGGAGGAATTGAAGGCGGTCCTGGTAACGAGCCTGTACCTGACGGCGGTACAATCAACGGCGTGGGTCAATATGGATCGCACAACTCATCTTTCTTTAATCTCACGTTGGAAGCGTCAGTGACAGTAGCTGCTTCCTCTGAGATCTGCTCACGCATTGTTGACCAGAAACAAGACATACCGCCTCCGTCTCATTAACCCGGGAACATTTGTCCCCATGCAGTTCTCATTGGATAATCACCTGATGACGGTCGTTGAGGCCGATGGCACCGCTGTCGAGCCTGTAGAAGTGTCAAGCGTCTCGGTTGCGGTCGCTCAGCGCTATAGCGTGCTGCTGAAGACAGACCAGCCCGCCGGTGCATATTGGATGCGCGCCGAACTAGACTCAACCCAATTCACGGTATGTCGCCTGCGCCAGTGCGCTGTTTTCCATTGACGGTTCGCGCGTAGTACGATAATCCTGGCTGTCAAATGGAAATTCGTGGCGTTATTCGCTACGGCGTTAGCGACGATACGATGCCGGATGTCGCACTTCTCAACAATCCACCTAGCTTGCCAAGTGGCTCGCCAGCAGAATTGGATGAGTCTGATCTGGTTCCAGTGGGCGGTGGTCCAGCGCCCGAGCCCACGTTGTACGTTTATCAAACTCGCGCCTTTCACCGACTCTGTATCGATGAATATCTTCTCGTTTCAGCACGACGTACTTCGCCATGTCGATGCAGTTTGAGAATCCCGAGGATTCCAATTCACGCTACCTCGCCTTCATCAATGAAACGGTAAGTTGACCCTACCTAGGCTTCACATCTTACTAACACCACTGCCGTTAGTCTTGGGAACCGCTCAACAGAACTGCGAGCTTATTTGCTCATCTCGGCCAATCCGCCCCGTCAGGATCTGCCAATTACGAGGTATCGCAGCTCATCACGACGATCAACGACATTTCCGTCGTCGATATGATCATTGACAATGTTGACGACGGGGATCATCCTTTCCATTTGCACGGATACAAGGTATGTGTGACTGTTGAGTTGTCCATGCGTGGTGCACACCGCCTCTGATTTGTGTCAGTTCTGGGTCATGGCATCTGGTGGAGGTACGTATCAAGGGCAAGCCGTCAACAACACAGCTCCACCACTGTAAGCACACGTTCTTCTGCGCTCGTGAGGCTTGCAATAAACCATGTGCATGACAGGCGTGATACGGTCGTTATTCCCGCAGAAAGCTGGGCGATCCTCCGTTTCGTGGCGGACAACCCTGGCTACTGGACTTTCCACTGCCGTATGTGTATTCCTCTTGCGACTACCTTATTTATGCGCTCACTCCATCGCCCCGCTCCGATACAGATATACAATGGCACATGGTAAGTCATGTGTTCGATCCCGACATACATCCATACTTACGTTGCCATACTCCCAGTCTGCGGGGCTCTTGTTCCAGTTCAACGTTTTGCCGTCAAAGAGCGCACAATTCGATATTCCGCAGTATATGCTCGATCAGTGTTCCCGCTGATTAAAGTCCTTTCGTGCCAAGATATAGAAACAGGGCTGGTCGCCATATACTCCTATTTTATGGTTCTCCATCGATGTAGCTCTATGAGAAGGGCTCCAAGATTCCATCGCTTAGTCTGGGTATTCCTCCTCACCGTTGAAGCACAGCACAGCAGGAGGGTCGGATTTTGCCTTCATCAGAATCAGGAGCTAAAACGCTACAGAAGTACATCGCTGGATGTGTATCATGTACTTTTATGCTCGTGTGCCTTAGATATTGCGGGCTCGACATTGATACCGGAGCTTTCGTAATGGAGTTCACTGTCTCATAATGCATTCATTCATACACGTATGAGAATCACAATGCTACCCAGGACAAGTCATGCACCAGCCGGCTGAACGGACTCGGCCGTCTTCTGCTGTGTTTCATTCTCCTCGTCCTTCTGCTTCGTCTTGCCCTTCTTGGTGTCCAATCGTGTGACTTGGCTGTCCTGCGTTCAAAGCAGGTCGGGATTCCTGTCCATCACACCCTTAATGTATCCTTCTCTAACAGCAGAGAATCGCTCCGCCAATTGTGGACCCCATATCACCGCAATCCGAGCAAGCACAGAGGCGTAATGCCATGCACCGATTGGACTCGAGATATCGAATGACTGCGTATGGCGTTCGAAGATTTGAACCACCTAGATCCATATGAAATGGCATCAGTAGCGCAATGGACAAACATTGATCGATACATACTCCATCATTCACCCAAGCTGTCGTAAGAACAACACTAGCACCATCGGAGACGACGCTGAAAATCGGAACTTTGGTGATCCCGATGGTCTCCAGGAATCGCGCTGCCGCGGTGCAGTACAGGCGATGCTGGTTTTGCCCCTTGACTCGGTCCGTCTCGGTCTTCTTGTACTCGATGAGCAGAAGGGGAAGCTCCAGCGCCTTCTCAATACTTGAAGGTGTCGGCTTTGACGCCGCGGGCGAGACATCGTCTATCGCAGCATTTTCCATTAGCTCCATCACCATCTCCAGCATAGTAGACTGTCGATCGGGCCGGGCTCTCGGTTTGGGCGGGCTGAGCTCGTCGGATTCACATCGCGAGAATTGGTACAACATGCCGTGGTTTGACGGACTGCCTCTGGTGCTTGAACCTGTAGCCGATGACCGGGTCTGCTGTATCGACGTTGCACGACCTGCGCTCTCCGACTGGCCTGCTTTCAGTGATGGGGATAGCTGCCCCTTTAGTCCCTGCGGCTTCGCTTCCTGAGACGAGGAAGATGGCCTTGTCCCGAAGTCATGCGACTTGCCTGGCCGCTGAGCATCAGCAGCAGGCTTCTCGATGGATGCGGGCGGTCCAATTCGAGACACAAAGCGATACGGGTCAAGTATGTAATTTGCGAGGGGCAACGTAACACGCACGGTGCCTATAGCGTCGCAGATTCCTCGTAAGGGTGCGGACTGCATGGAGGTCTGAAGCCTTTTCATGGTGATAGTCTTGTACCATTTGTTCACAGCAGTAGTGAACTCTAACCGAGCATCCTTTTCTACCTGTGCCAACCTTTCGGCTCTCATCCGCCTACCGCCCCATTCCTTGAGAAGTTGCAACTCGGCACGAAATTTATCCTCTATATCATATGTGAACGTGTATGCCTCTTTCTTATTTCCACTTCGAACGAGAACGTCACTGAAGTAATTTCGAGGCAAAGCGATTGTGCGCTCGAGCCTGATTTCCCAGTCAGCTAGTATTTGGAGCGCGGTTACAATGACGTACGAAGGGCGAACATGGACTGACTCCGGTGACGTAGGTTCCCTACTCGCAATGGAGTCCCATACACCGTCAACAAGGAAATCCACGCAAACACGGTGAAGGTCGTGCCGGCAAGTGGCCTCAATCGGCACCTCCCCGAGGCGTACCTTCGCTTCAGCATGCATGCAGGTATGTGCTATCGTTGACAGGCTCCCAGTAAGCAGCTCAAATACCTGCTGCCACCGTGCGTCGTCTACGTCGATCTTGTCTACATTGCGATCGATGTCGTTGTTGCCGTACTCGTTATTGCTCTTGGTGCCATCGCTCTCGGTGCCATTGTCCTCGTTGGGCCGTTTTGATGAGGTTTCATCCAGCCAGTGGTATCCCCGCTTCTTCCGTATGTTAACTAGTGCCCACAGCCTGTCACGAATGGGATGTACGGTATCGTCGACCAGAGGGAGATCATTCTACTGAAAGTATTAGAAAAAACCCCTACGATGGACATTGTGATTTACCAGTGTATTCCAGGCCTTTGGCCATATAAACTTTGTGACATCCTCATAAATATTGAACATCTCACTGTCTGACGTGACAGACACCAACGCAGCCTTGCGATCAAAAAGCCAGACAAGGGCGTGATCGTCTGTGCTGACGCCCGCTTTGGCACAAAACCTTGATAAGCGCATCAACGGGTGTGTGTGGTTGTGAGCACAGGAACATACTTCGAACGCTGCTCGGGGGCCCCTCGCACCCAGAACCTAGGCACTTTGTGACCATCCTCAGACATCCAGATGAACGATGTCGGTGGAGGCTGCAACTCGCTGAGGGGATGTGAGATAGGCACAACGGGAGGCTAGGGAGCACACGTACGCCCCAACAGTCTCAGATTCCCCCAATTCGCTCTTTGCAGATCCTGCCGCAACATTTCTGTGCTAACCTATCAGTCCCGAGCAAGTCGCCAAGAGACAAATATCAAACACTGTGGTTGCGGGCACTTCAGACGGTGGTAGGGTGGTGATCATGGGCTGCAGCCCAGCCCTTCCTTGAGATTTTGCTGATTGCGACATCGGGGGCACAAGCAATCTGGTGCAATTGTCAGCTTGCCATCTTTATAACTTGCTTCATATATGGCATACCCAGTTGCTTCGGAAGCTTCTACGCCACGCACCAAGACATGATGTATTCTTCGTGGCCGAGAGTAGTATTTGGACTGTTAGTTGTTATCGCAGATGTTAACCTCCACGGAGTGATACGTTGTTGTCGTAATGCATCGCTAAGAGTCCCTCGCGAGGCAAATAGGCTTCGATTAAGAAAAGAAAAGTGCTTCGAAATGGCAAGAAAGAGTTGCGCGAGGGCGAGGGCACATGCAGCATCGTTTAGGTTGATTACGGGTAATTCGTTCACCTGCGCTATATGCACCCGAGGCTGCAGGCTTAACCCATGAGCAATGATCTACGTCAGATGATAGCCTCATTCTCACCAGAATCCGCCCATCCTCCCATCTTGAGTCATTCCACCCGAAATGGAAGGCAATTGAACTATCATACTCACGGAACGACACTCCTATCACCGGCTCGTCAACATGCCAGACATGTCTCTGATAGAGCGCGCTGGTCATGATGATGGGCAGTGTCGATTCATCACCCATGCATAGGATAGGCATGCAGGCATCTGTCGGGAGCCGTCTAAACGGCACGTAGTCGAGGATGTGCAAGTTGAGAGAGCACTGATACTCGACGGCATCTTCGTCTTCATCAGTGTATTCGTCTTCATCTATCTCCCGATTTGAAGGGAGGTCGAGCCACTCGCTCGCTGTGTACATAGGCAAGTCCGGAAACAAGAACACTGGCCGCTTGCCTGGCTCCATGCATACTTCAACTTGTGTTTGCTTAATGCCGTTACTACCTGCGAGCCGTGTTCCTTTGTTTGCAGATCCCTTGCCATTGTCTGCGCTTGTGCGTGAATTATTCTCGTCGCCATCGCAGTTGTCACCACCAAGATCGTCCATGTCTCCAGCAAGGGCCGGCGAAGTGGGCGGGACCTCGGCTGAAACCGATACCAATAGAGCGGCTTCGACCGTCGTCTCCATATAGCCGAAGAGAGGGCTCGATTCGCCGCTCCAGTGTCGAGGCAGAGCGACCATCACGCTTTCGCTGCGGCCGTCCGAGTGTGAGCAAACGGTAGCAAGCAGAAGTAAGCAGAGACACACTTGATGCGGAGCTCAGGACGATTTGTACAAAGCGCATTCCTGACCAGTGTGCATAGGAATGATTCCGTTGACGTGCGCGTGCGGTCTACATGATCGACAGCCAATACGCATTGTCAGCTGGCACAATCATTGAGAACAATATTGAAAATACGCCTGAGGCCGTCATCATCGTCCTGATTACTATTCCGGATGACATTCCCTTCACAGACATAGTGTTTTTCAGGGCCCGGCTCGGGCCCAAAGCCCTACTTTGGGCCGCACTTTTGGCCACCGGGCCTGGCTTCATAGTCAATCCAAGCCTGCACACTAGGCTCCGTGGCCTCTTGAAGGTCTTTCGAGGACTTGTGTTGAGCCATATGCGCCTCAGCCAAGCAGGGTTCGGCGGGCTTGGGCTGTTAGATTTTGGGGCCTGCGGTGTCGAGCGGGCCGACCCGACGCCCCTGTGCCTAGCCGGGAGAATGATCATAGCATGATTGCCAAGTAAAAATACATCGATCCTGTAGAGTACTTGTACCGTAGCGCGGCCGTACCTGGCCCCCACGCGTTTGTAACAATCCGCCAATTTTGCTCGCTCGCGTCCGCGTTCCCACTCCCCTCGTCTCGTCCCCAGGCGAAAGTCAACATGGGCCTCAAAGCCCGATTGTGAACATCACTACACAGACAGATGTAGTGCGAAGGGAACGCCGCAATTCCCGCACCAACGGCAGAACCCGAGGGTACATGAACGGATACGGTCCCTGTATACTTTCAGTATCTGCTTCGTGTACAATTTGCAGCAACATACTTCTTTCACCCATGTCGGAAGTTGAAACGCGTCATGTAGGAGTGTTATATACTCCTTCACCGTGTCGGGGAATATGTCGCAGTCGGAATATGCATCTGTGCTATTGTGGTATCTTACGTCTTGGAGAAAGCCGTTGAGGTAGGCCTGTCGTGGGTCCAAGGGCATCTCAAGATTTGCGCAGTATCAAGAGTAACTGAAGAGCTAGCGCCACATACAGCCAAGATCCAGATTCCACAGCGCAAAGCAAGGTCAAGCAAAAAGTATACATGGACCAACAAGATCATGTGACATACACACACGCGTCAACCTACCGCTCGATCTATCATCCAGGTAGGAACAAGTGTGGTCGAATCTACAGCTGCACGAGTATGAAGACCATCGGAAACTCTGTTTTAGCGGATATATGCGGTGCCAAATGGTTGACTGGAAACAGGCATCCTGGGGGTTGAGAATCGCGAGTGTCACTTTCCTTTACCAATACTCCACGCTGCCATGTCAATGGGTCACCGGTCACCGGAATGGCATTCACATCTCAGACTAATAGCAGTCTTGAAACGCAAGACGTGAGCCCGCGCTGCCAGTGTGTGTGTGTGTGTGTGTGTGTGTGTGTGTGTGTGTGTGTGTGTGTGTGTGTGTGTGTGTTACCCAACTGGGTGCGATTTTGGTCCTTGGAGAAGATTATTGATAGGCTTAAAAGGAGCGACGCCTTGATTGTGGGGTCTGCAGAGAGCTGGGCCCAGGCATTTCGCTCAAGGCCGTCGTCTACCGCCACAGCCTCTACTGACAAAATAAGCACGCGAGACTATACTGCTCGACACCGTGACTCTGAGGGTCAACTCAGAAGAGTGTGATTTGGATGGAGACGTGTACGACTGGCTACTCGAAGGCCGCGATGACTGGTGGCTCAACAGCAAGATGATCAACACCCACAGGTACACGAACCTGAAGACTGCTGTCGTTGACCGGGTCACTCCGCCATCGGCAATCACCAAGCACATCAGCCGTACAGTTGCATATGGCAATGTCGCGCCGTACCTGATGTTTATATATGACTGGTGTTGACTGTCGAGGTGCGCTCCCGTAAATGAAACTTGTCTGATCTGGACTGACTTTGGTTGTGCTCTGAGGTCAAGCCCTGTAATGACCGCTGATGTTTGAGTGTGTATAGCGGTCCAGAGCGTACGAAGGCACTAATTTAAATCTGGTTTTCATTTCACGTCCAGCGTGGCAATCTGTAACCCAATAGCTCAATGTTCTGCCATTCTCTTACCGAAACCTCTCGAGCCTTCACGGCTATCTCTGTAGAGCATGCACGAGACGGCCGAAGCTGGGACCAGAGATGATCATTGTTACAGCAACTACACGTCGCCTCGCCAGACAACGCGCAGTGTAATATGTGATGCGCGGTGCATTATCAGTAACGCGTCTCGTCGCGTCCGAGTGCGAGTTTTGCAGATCTGACATAACGAGGGGGAAGTACTAGGTAACTGTCTTCTTCCCGGATCTATACTCTGAGGAGGACGATCCAGCGATGTGAAATATAAAGCACAGCTGCTCGCGCGCCATATTGCCACCAGTGGCGATGCGCAACAGCAAGTACTAAAGATAAGATGAAGGTTAACTGAATGCTGAGAAGGGAGAAGGAATGCCTCACTGAAATCTCCAATTATGCGTATGCTAAGTTGAACGCTGTCACTACTGAGCGCTGTTCGAGGGCGCATCCGGTTTACCCGTCCCAATCCACCCATTCCCCAGGTCCTGAGGTGAGATCTCCGGACCGCGAGCGGGCTGCCCGCCAGCGTTTCCGTTTGACGCGTTGTGCGATATCTGCGACATAGACGGCCGCGGCGATGGCTGTGTGTTCACAGCCCCGAGCCCGTTCTGGGCGGCCTCCCGCTTCCTCTTTTCCTCGTCGGCGAAAAAGTTATCCTCGTCGAAGGACTTCTTGCAACAAGATCCGAAGCAGCCTGCCTGGTGGCCGTCGGAATTGTCACAGCACTTGGCTAGAAGCGCCATCGATATGGGCATTGTGGTGTACGAGGCAACATAGGTACGCACTGAACAAGAGCCAGGTCCCGCAGGCCTCTGTGCATGCAATACCTGCGGGCTCGATCAGGGCTTGCACAAGCTCGGAGCGGGAGAGACTGCTCACAACATAAGCTACAGCACCCCTCGCAGAACTGTTCTCCTGGGCCATTCATGGTTGCTTTAAGGGGAAGGGGTATGATTCCAATAGATCTCTGTTCAACGAGCAGCTTTGCGAGAATGTTGGCGAGAGTAAGTTGTTGACGTGCTGGAGATTGTCGATGGAGGCTAAGTCATAAAACGAGTGTGCGGTGGAGAAGCGAAGTGGAGTAGTAGCGTCCGCGTTAGGGCCCGTGAACGTGCCTCCTGTCAAAGTCACAATGTACTGCTACCATAAGGCGATGTAGTCGGTCAAATATCACCGAGCGTGTCTGAGCGGCGCCCCAATGCTCTGTCGTGCCTGACCATAGAACGGCGAATACAATGTCTACTAGGAGATTACTGTATAGGCATATTCACGTGAAGTCAATTTCGAAAGGACCCAATGACGACAGCTGGCATTATGGGTTGGATGATAGTGCGTTCCAGTCCTGAGTAGGGCCTGACTGAGGAGTCGTGTATGGAAATATGTCCTAGTTGAGATTACGAACTACGCTGTAGGGATATGAGCAAAGTACATGAGGTCCGTGTGCTGGTCCGAGAAACAAACGTGCGACAAGTATGTAGGAGTGTGTCCGTGGCTGGTGCGTGCATGCATACGAGCGAACAGAGAAAAGACAGTCCCCGAGGTCCCAAAGTCTATAACAATCAGTCATACGCACGACAATGCAGCTCACGACGCGCGGCTGAGCAGCACTCGGTCAATCGCCTCGTTGATGACACGCTTGCGCGCCGACAAATCCATACCGAAGCGCTGCTCCAGCTTGCCCCGGATCTCACGCTTCGTCGTCGTCGCGAGATCTGCATTCTGCAGGACGTCCTCGACCGCCCGGTCGATCTCCGTGTCCGAAGGCCCGCTTGGTGAGAAATCCATGTCCTCGGGACTTCGTGTCGTCGGGATCTGCACGTCGATGTAGTTGCTCGACGGGCGCTGCGCGTCGATGAAGTTGCTCGCAGGGCGCGAGGGCGTGGGCTGATACACCATTCCAGGTGAGGGGTATCCTACCATCGACATGGTGGGAGTGTTCCGCCCCGATTGATACCCTGGCGGCGGGTACATCATGTGCGCCTGCGGTGGAGAAGGCGAGTACGCTCGAGACATGGCAGGTTCATAGAGTGTCTCTCGGCCGTAGATAGACGCAGTGTGGCTCTCCGCATATCCATCGTGGAACATCTTGGTAGGAGGGACCCACGATCCAATGCTGTGGTTCGACTCCTTGTCCCAGAGTTCGTTTTCCTGGATGTGGCGATATTCAACACGCGGCACTGAGTATCAAGGGACGTAAGACTCACGTAATCATTCCAAGACTTGAGCGGGATCGAGCGAGGGTCAAATTTGCCCTCATCCTGCCACGAAATCAGCCTATGCTCACGAGAAAAGACGAGACTACGCACGTGCACGACAATCTTCTTGCCAGATTCTCCCAACACGACACGCGTAGAACCCCATGAGAAGTCGTCCATCTTCCAGAAAGAGTAGAGGGGAAGAACCAAAGAGAACAACGGGATAGCCAGGATGTAGAAGACCATCCAGCCAATCATGTCCCACTTCGCGCGCAAGACAAACACCAAGGCTTGCAAACCGTAGACGGCGGCTATCATGATGATGGAGATGGTCGGGATTGCCTCCTTCAGGGCAACAGCTCTGTAGATGAGGTAGGCGATCTATACAAGAGCCGTCAACACAATCGCTTGAATAAGTGGAAGAGCACGTACGTAGCCGACAGTGACGGGCTGGATCAGCGTGGACACAAGGTCAATCATGACGACAAAACGCATCGAGAAACAGCAGAAACCGCAAAGCTGGTCTAGGAAGACGAGTTCACCCAGATTGTGCACAGTGGAGTTGATCCAACGCCGACGCTGAGATAACAAGACCTTCCAGTCGTCGGGTGCGACTGTGTATGCGTGTGCATCTCGAACGAACATTGTCTTGTAGTGCGAGAAGTACTTCAGCACGATCGTCGTCAGATACCGATCTTCACCCAGATGGAGCAAGTTCTTCATGTGTAGAGTGTCCACTCGGTTCTCGGAATAGTCATCGATGATCTGGTTGGAGATAAAGAGGGGCTTGTGCGTGTCCGGAGTGCGCAGACGATATAGCGTGAAGCAACCGGGAAGACAACTGACGGAACCGAAGAGACTTTCGAATGCCTTCGCCATGTGGTGAGAGATGAAATACTCGTAGACCTATGCAACACTTGTGAATGAGCGATACGACACAATAACTCTGCATAATTACCTGCATCATGGTGATCAAAGACTGCTTCGCATTTGCCAGCTCAGTCTCTCCGCAAACACCAATGATTTTCTTGTCGTGGACCATACTACATGAGCGCTGTCAGAACTGATCGCAGACGTGGTAGAGCTCGCATGACTTACGCAGAGACGAGACGATTGAGAGAGACAGGATGGACCGTGGTATCGGCGTCGACCATGAAAATGTACTCATAGAACGAAGGGTTCACGCCGATGACATTCTTAATCTGGTGATACATCTCCAGTTCCAAGGGGTTCATTGGCGAATTGAAGTGAACCTGACAGGCTATCAGTGAGCAATGATCATTCATCAAGACGAGAGCCATACCTTGTTCAAGAAACGCATGATCAACATCTGCGTGTCACGCTTGCCACGGTTACCCGGTCTCTGTTTCTCTCCAGGCTTTCCGCATTTGACAACTACGAGGTAAGGAACGACATGGCCCGCAGTTTCATATAGTCCAGAGTAGACCTTGCCCATGTTGTGCTGTTTGACGCCTTCACCAAGGGAAAGGAAGCTGAGGGGCTCCGCATCAATGTTTGGACTTGCGCCCAGGACGTCCAGCACAATACGAGGTGTCGGCTGATCGTTACCGGATCCGACGACCATACCATCGCACACAATGAGCAGAAGCTTGCGCTTGTCATCGTACTTCATCTGCGCCAGGGAATCAATAGTCTTCTTGAGGGAGGATTGTCCTTCTGTGTAACAAGGGACCTGACAGATGACGAACTTATCGTGGTCCTCAGGGGCGCGAGCGGAACCGAAGTTGATAGATGCAATGAACTTGAAGCCGATGACACTGACCATCATGATAGACAGGGCCAGGAGAATGTACGTGGCGAACTGGCACTTCGGAGAGTCGCGCGTATCGACCATGCCAACAGCGAAGAGGTTCCGAAGACAGGTCTTCTGCCAAGCGAGGACTTTCGAGTCAAGAGGAAGCGAGTCGATCTTTTTCGTGACGTCCTGCCCAGAGTTGTACTCGAAGACTGAAACGATGCTTTGGTCCATGAAGTGGGTGTCGATATCAGTAGGGAGGATCTCGTTGACCAGAGGCGCAGTGGACGGGCCGTCGCTGATGTACTTGGATAGATCGTAGATGATTCCATCATACACTCCGACGGATTTGCCTGAGCTTGCCATACTGGACAAGTCCTTCATAGTGTAGCCTATCCAACCGACACGGTTGTTCCACCGCATCTGCACCATGGATTCGAAGTACCAGTCCGGACGCGGGTCATTCGTCCAAGCACGGAAGTCGTGGTACTGCGCGTTTACATCTGTGTTATTCCCAGAGTCGAAAACGACGTAGGGGTTGACAGAGCCGGTGACACCGTTGCACAACGCACTGACCTGTATAGCATTCCGTCAATAACTACCGGCACCGTGAGTACCGAAAAGAGAACTTACTTGGAGCGGGAAGAGAGCGTCGGCCGTTGTCCCTGCATATGCCAGGATGGACTTGGACGGGATAACTGGTACGATGACTTCGTGCGTTTGAGCCGCCGTCGTCAGGTCAAAGACCTCTCCATGGATTGCGACGTAGGCATTGTTCGGGTTATTCTTGTACGAGTGCGTCTCCAGCTCATTCGTGTTGAAGACATGTTGAGTCGGGCAGATGAGAGGGCCGAAGATCGCAATGATGAATATCACACAACCACAAACGAACCAGATGAGCATGTTGATCGCGAGCTTTTCCCTCCACGCCTGTTGGACGTCGGGACGCTTGATGCGGCCAGCCCATGCCAACAGAGGTGTAGGCACCCAGAACGTGAGGACCCAACACAGCATGACCCATCGTCGACGAAGCGGGGTTTCCTTGAGGATTTCAGCCGTCTCTCCATCTTGGATCTCGCCGGCGATTGGCTCTTTCTCGAGAAGACCCTTCTTGTCGGCGTCCTGGAACATGTTGCGCGAAGGAGCATATGACTCGGTGAAGTTGGATACCGACTCGTTGTCTCGGTGGCTCGTGTAGGCGCTGCGCCCATCAAAGTCATCACTGCGGAGAGACTTGCGTTCATCGTACTCATCGTAAAGGTCGGCGCGCTGGAAGGGAGCGGCATTGTTAACGAGAGGAAGGGCCTGGTTGGACTGCCCGAAGGGATCATTGTAGCCACCCTCGTAGGGCGACTCCGCGCCTGGTGTCTGGTACGGGGCGTACGGGTCACCGATGCCTCGAGGATCGAGCCCAGCCTCCGCCTCCGCATCACGTAACCTGTTCCGCTTTTGCTCCTCGGTGTCCTTGGAGCGCAGATCATCTTCAAAAGCGTGAAACGCGGCTTGCGAGAGGAAAACCTGAAGAATTGTTCAATCGATGCTGGAGGAAATCCTAAGTCAAACTTACCTTGTTTGTCCCGAGAACGACATCTTTCTCTTCCAAACCCAGTGCTGTCCTCGCCTGTTCAATCTGCTCCCTGGTATCACCCTCAACAACGTTGAGCGATGTGAACTGCGCCTTGTACCGGTCGACAAACTCGTCCTGCGTCATGTTGGCCTCGAAGACGTTGATGTTCCTGCGTGCGATCTCCGCGAGCCCAATGCTCCTGACCTGCCCCTTGACCGAGCGGCCCTCCAGCTGATTGGGCAGCTGCGAATCGTTCGGGTTAATGCAGAACACATACCACGACTGTGTCTCTTCGAGTGTCTCAAAGAGGGTATCCAGCGCTGCACGGAACTCGCCGCCGACGCACGGAGGGCCAATCGCGGCAACAGCGGTGCCAAGGGGCTCCTCGTCCTCCTTCTCCTTCTCGTCAACCTCTCCATGCTCGTTAACGGTCGGCATGCGCTTGAGGGTACCCTTCCTCCGCGTAGAGGGGGCACGCATCGGCTTGACGGGCTGCTGCGCAGCGACGATGGTTTCCTCATCGCGAGGATGCGCTTGCGTCGCGATCGCCTTGGCGGAATACAGGCCACGTACAAATGGATTTGTGGAGCCTGAACCATCGGCAGGGGGTGCATCAGGAGTCGCACTTGTACCGCGCAGCAACGAGACGAAGTCGGGGTTAAGGGCGTCGAGATTGCGTTCGAGGAAACTCTCAGCAGAGTACGTGACGGGGCCGCCGAAATGGTTCACGGTGAAAGTAGGGAATCCCGAGCGATCCATGCCGCCCGACTTGAACGAGGAATGGTTTCCCCAGCGCTTGGTGAACGACTCCACCATGGTATGGTCGTTCTTTCGGGGTATCCGGCGTGCTTGGTCATCCATGATGTGAATCAGACCGCCAGGCTTGTTTTGGAGAAGGCGCAGGCACTCGGAATTGTCGAAGTACGGGATCTGAGGGACGAAACGGGATATACCCTCGTTCGCGTACTCGCTGGCATGGCTCTCGAACAGCCGCTTCTGGATGAAGTTCTGCAGCCGCTCATTGGCGAAGTTGATGCAGAACTGGTCGAGCGAGTTGGGTCGACTGGTGAGGTTCTGTGGGCCTGGGAGGTCGAAAAGACCGATAAACGTGTTAAAATCGTCACGGCACAGTCGCTGATTGATATGCTCGTTCAGCCAAGCAAAGAGCAGCGCGTAAAGCGACTTTGCGAGCTCGTCTCGGTTGTCCGAGGCACCGTCAGGATCAAGGAACACCGTGCAAAGCTCCTTCTTGACGAGCTTCGTGCGATATGATAGCGCCGCCTCGAGAGCAGCAGGCTGGACGCCGAGGAAATCCGCCACGATCTCGAGAATGTCAGTGTTCCTGACGACGGCCGCATCTTCGTTTCGTGCCCGATCAATCGTAAACTCGAGGTTGCCGAGGTGAAGAATGGCCGCGAGTAGCTGGCACGTCTGCGCAACATGCCGCTTTGAGAATCCTACGTTCTTCAGTGCTACTTTTAGCTGATCGAACCGCACGGCGTCCTCATTCCGCCCGGCATCCCCACGAGCGCCCGCGTTGCGCTGACCAAGATACCGATACGTCGTTTTCTCCTGCAGGTGTAGGTGCTGCCGCTCCTCAGCAGATGCGCCAGAGACGAGGTAGTAAAAGATGTGAAAATTACGCTCGCCAGACGGCGCGCCAGAGACCCTGTTGCGCTCCAAGTAGTAGTCCAGAGTTTTCATACCACTGAGACGGCCACGGTCGGTGAACTGGAGCTCGGTATACTTGCCGAAACGTGACGCATTGGGATTGAATAGCGTGCGTGAATTTCCGAACGCCTCCAGGACGAACTCTGCGGCAGGGACCTGGTGGGCGAGCTTGGAGCCCTTTTTCCCTGGCTGGCTAACACTCAGTTCGAGCAGTGTTTTGATGGCCAATCGCCGGTTCTCCGATTTCCCACTGCCCGTCTCTCCACTTCCCAGGCGGTCAGAATTGGCCATATGTTGAGCGGATGCTGCCTTACCTGAGTAGAATGGACTGGTCTTGGTTTGTCCTTCGCATGTGGTAGTAGGCATTGTTGGCGAGTTGGAAGATGTGAGGCGGTAAGAGTTCCTTGCCCCGAGAGGTGTCACGATACTCGGCCGCGTATTTGTGCAACACAGCGTCGGAATTACTGGAGACATACTTGTGCGGGTTGACGGCAACAAGAGCAGATGTACCGGTCCTTGTATAGATGTTGTCAGACATGAACCGTTCGCGGATGCATGCTACGATGATGTCCTCCGAGACGGGTGAGAGCGTCGTGAGGTCGTCAACGGTCTCGAGCCGCTGGCGCGTGGTCACTGTGGACTCCCGCCTATTCATGGCGGGCAATCCTGCAAAACGTAGGCTATGAGGCGCGTTGAGAGCGAAGGAAAGAGAGGGTGGGGGGTCGTCGCCGTTCGGACGGTCGTGGAAGGTGAGAGAGCAGTGCGACTTCCTCCTTGATGGGACAATATGGTTGGCATGCCGGATTCGACCTATCGGATATTTACTACATGCCAATATGAGACTTATATACTTAGGTGGCCATAACTACACCGAACTCTCCCTTGTGCGCCCATCAACGTGGACACTCAGATACACCTCACGAAAACGCCTTGGGGAAACTGGGCCAAGGGAATCAAACTAGAGTAGTATGATCGTACTCGACTAGGGTTTGGGGAATAGTCTGAGCAATTGCAGATAACCGTGACACGCCCTGTGTGACGCAACTTAACAATAACGTGACAGTCGCGTCGCGGTCTGGGCACGGCGGGACTTGCTTCGACTCTCCATTCACGATATTTCGCGTCCGTCCACAGTCGTTCCTCAGCATATTGAATTTTGTGTAAAATGGCTCCTCGATCTTCAGGGCCGAAGATAATTATAAAGCCGCGACGTGCAAGGGGAGCAGCGGCTTCGCAAGGAACCCCTCAGGAAGACGAGGATGTAATTATCACGGACGCGGAGGAGCACAATGAAAACACAGAGCTGGAAGGCGAAGACGAGTCTGTAAACGCTGCGCAGACGCCTCGAGACGAGGAAGAAGATGACCAGGCGGACGCAGCCACTCCGGACGCAGAAGACGGCAATACGCTAGACGGGGCATCGAACGCAGGTGACCTTGACATAGACGAAGGTGCAACACCAGTGAAGAGAGGGCGCGGGCGACCAAGGGGCCGCGGAAGAGGCCCAGGGACGTCAACACCTCGTGGCAGAGGAAGAGGGCGCGGGCGTGGGCGCGGACGGGGCAGAGGCATCACGATCAAGCTCCCCCGACGAGCAGATGGCGAAGCGCAAGACGAGAGCGAGACGCTTGTGATGGACGACCCACAGCCCGCGTCGCAGGAGGCAGAGGAGGAGGGCCCAACGGGCGGCGGCAAGCCCTTTCGACGAATACAGGGCAAGGTCTATATTATCGAAGGCGACGAGTACGTGACGGAGGACGACCCGAAGGGAGACACGAAGATTGATCAGCACGGCAACTTGCTTGGTGGTGCGTCTGTCATATACCTGTCTGTGGAAAAACTCTGACACGCACCCCAGGACGGAGGTTCAAGGCACAGACATTCACGCTACCCAACCGCCATCCCGAGCGCAAGTACATGCTTGCCATCGACGCCGCGCGTACGTCCGGCTTCCGCGACTCACTATACTACTTCCGGCGGAACCCACTTGCGATGAAGCTCAACGCCACGCAGGCAGAGAAGGAGCACCTTATCGAGGTCGGAAAGCTCGGCTCGCATCTACGCACACGCAGTGTCACGCTCATCACTGCACGCAGCGCATACAAGCTGCATGGGGCGAAGATGATGGCAGGTACGTCTCCTTGTTTGCCATTGCGCCATCTGTCTCACCTTGCACACTCAGACGGACGGTGGGTGGTAGATGACTATTATGAGGAGCGTGCACGCGAGGAGGCAGCCGCAAAGGGTGTCAAGGCGGGTGACTTCGTCGGGGAGCTGCAAGAGGCGAGCGCGCTCGCGACGGAGGCCGCGGCGCTCGGCCCAGGCGCAACGCAGAGCAAGGCTGAGCGCGGGGGCAGCGGGCAGGGCATGTACCGCGCCGGGGGACCGACAACGCTTTTCGGTGGGTCTGGGTGGGGCCCGTACAGTGACGGTCCCCTGAACGCGGTGCGCAAGTCGCTGCTGACGCGCGACGGCGTGAACGAGGAGAACTGGATGGCCGTCGCTGCCCAACGGACAGCGGACGCGAGTGCAGAGTGGGCGCGGCTGAGACGCGAGGCGCTGAAAGCGTGCGGCGGCATCCTAGATGAGGAACGGGGCGGGGAACCGCAGGAGGGCACAGGTGAGAAACGATCAGCGGAGAATACGAAAGCGGAGAGAGATGTGAAGGGCAAGCGGCGGAGAATATGGAATGATGGTGAGCTGCCGTTTGGGGTGTACGAGCCGCATACGGGCATCGTGCTCTGTAAGTCGTGTCGATTTCTCTAGTACGGTTGCCTCACTGACCTGAATGCTTCTAGACCGTTCCGACACCCAACCGACTCGTGCGCGATGGGAGGCACTTCCTGATGACGGCGAAGCACGACGGGTGCTCGGGGGAACGAAGGCAGGTGGCGGCGCATGGGGACTCGCATGGGTTGACACCATCGTAGAACTCCCAGCGGAAAACGAGATCGATGTGGAGGGCGCGATGACGCGAGAGCCTTACCTGCAACTCGTGAGTAATCCGTCATAGCGTGTCGTCGTGTTCTGGTGCCGGACCTTAGCGTAAGGCTGAATATCGTAGAAGATGAATCCTATTGTATTGTCATCGTTTAATATGAGACCCGCAAGTATAACTAACACGCAATGTTACGAATGGTCCAGCACGGCCGTCATCCGTAGAATACTTATCGCAAATGGTACGGTACCTCACTCCTTGGCCGCCCGGGCTTGCAGTATCTCATTCAGCCTCTCGGCAAGGCCCTCGGTCAACTGGAGCACACCATCCGCTGTGCAGAGGCGGTATGAGGGCATCGGCTGGTATGTATCTGCTAGGATCTACAACGCAATTTGCGCGAATGAGCAAGAGAACACCAGCAGGAAGTGTCTACCTACCTTGCCTTCCTCTACTCGCACCGAAGCGAGAATGTCGTCGGGGTCGCCAATACGCCCAAGGGCGGGAATATTGCGGCTGTCTGCGGTGGAAAGAGGTGGTTGTGCACGTGGAAAAACCGGAGAACGCGTTTCCGCACATACCATGTATGTGCATCCATCCCTGCTGCGTCTGGATGGCGCCGTTCTTCTGGATGTCATCTACGCCGTCGGCAAGCGCGCTCTGAACCGCTTCATGCAGAACCTCGCGGAACCTGGCTGTCCATCACAAAAACACGCCGGAGTCACTAAAAGTTCAGTGTCCTATTAACTGAATACCGAAGGTGCCAGCTCACGATTCTCGATGAAATCATTGAGTCCCGCTTCGCCCGCGCCCTCAACCGCGAGCGCACTAGCAGGCAACCAGCCTATAACGGATGCAGAGAGCACCGATGGGGGGGCGCTCTCGAGGAACGACAGACAAAACATAGGGTGCGTATCTGAGAGCGGCGTTGGCGGTTCAAAGAGGTGGTAGAACAGGTCTGGCCGGTCTGGGTCAGGGAATGAGGCGGCCGCTGTCGATAGCAGACTTTTTCTGGTGTGCATACATATAGCATCGTTGCTATGCCGTTTCGACCTTTGCGGGAGCAAGCTTAGAACGGCGGCGCGAGAGGGCGCGCTGTATGACAGATGTGCACGGTCCGACAAGCTCGCGGTCAACAATGATGAGGCTCTTGCACGCAAGATAACCCTCGATGTCGACCGCGCACAGCTAATTACGAGTTTTTGTGGGAACATAGAGAGATAGTGGCAGAAGATGAGCTGCGAAAGAGTTGGCGACGTGCAGAATACATCACGTGGAGCGCGTTGTGACGCGTCTCTCCAGGACCCCTGATAATCCCCCCGGCCAATTTCGGGGGTTGATAAAATTAGATTTATCGCGATCTAAGCGTGGAAACTTCAGGCACAGTGCATATTTCGACGTATCTTTGGGAGCACTATCCACTCACCAAGCTTGGGGGAGATCGGTAACAGAATGGCCTCATAAAACGTGAAATACTGCTAAAAGTGGGTCATTTTTAGGATCAATTTCGGGTTTTTTTGGGGATCGAAGCTCTGGAAAGACTATCAGGGGTCCTGTCTTGCCAGGCGCGCTCCACGTGATAACAAACAAACGCTATGTGTTGTCTGGCGAGGGCGCTGTAACAATGATCGTCTGGTCACAGCTTCGGCCGTCTCGTACATGCCCTACAGAGATGGCCGTGAAGGCTCGAGAAATCTCGGCAGCGGAGTGGTAATGCTTTGGGCTATCAGGTTACAGGATGCCACGGTGACGCTGGACATAAAATGAAAAGCAAACTCACATAAGTGCCTTTCTGTGCTCTGGACTGCTATATGCACCCACTCATCAATGCATCGACGGCCATTACGGGGCTTGACCTGGGAGCTCAACCGAGGTCAATCCAGCTCAGACAGCTGCATTCAGGGAAGCGCGCCTCTAACCAACAATCAGGTACGGCGCGACATTGTCATATGCAGCAACATGGCTAGTGTGCTTGGTGATCGTCGATAGCGGAGCCCCGACCCAGTGCAGTCTTTAGCTTCGTGTCTGTCGTCGCTGCACTTGTGGATGTTGATCGTCTCGCCGTTGGGCTGCCAGTCATCGCGATCTTCGAGCAGCCAGTCGTACGCATCTCCACCTAAAGCCACCTTCGAATAAGTTGTGCATCAAGTTGCCGAGCGTTATCTCCTCGCGCTCATAGTGTTTGTGCTTATGCTTGTGTCCGCTGAGGCTGTCGCGGTAGACTTCAGTGAGACGCCTAGGCCCAGCTCCCTGCAGGTCTCCATGACTACGCGGTCGCCGTCTTGTTCTTGCACCCCCCCGAGAGATCTCCTCAAAGCTCTCTCAACATCCCGCAGGAATCGGAGTTAAATTCGGGCCTGAATGTCCAACTATAGGTCTCGTCGAGTACGTCTTCGTGATCGCGACCGAAAGTGGCAGGCTTGCATGCCTCTTTCAGGGGCTCTAGGACAACGTCCCGCTGGTCGTGAAAATACACGAAGCTGCGCAGATGCCAGTAAGCGAACCAGTCGTCATGACAGACATCGATGGACGAACGGAGCTACTCCGTCTTTCGGTACGAAGAGACGTAATTCCTCCTGGACAAGCGTGAATGTCCCAGCACAGAACAATGGTTTGCTGGTGAGTCTTTGAGGCCCTTCTTCCGTTTTCCAGCCGAGTCATAGGTTGATATCGAGTTGCTTATTAACATCTTCAGTTGGGGTGATATAGTATATGGACTTGCGATTCGCACGAACAGGCTCGGGACTACCATCACACGTGAACTCAGAGGCTGTCCGCTCAAACCGCTAGTACGCAGAGACAACGTACATCACATTGTTTTGCATTTGCGGGCATAACGGAGCTGCAGGCTCATGCTGGACTCGGGTCTGCTACATCTCGATGGTGCGGAACTGTCATCGCGAAGAGGCTTCAGAAGTCCATACAGTCTGCGCCTAGTTTGATTTCCATAGGGACGGTGCGTGTTATATTGCCCTTGGCTAGAGAGATTCTCAAGTCACGCTTGTGAGTGATACGAAGCGATAGGGAATCCCTTTCGCTTCGTATCACGAATTGGTATGAATGGTGGCATCTATTGATGATGTTCAGGAGCCGAGCAAGTCACGCAACATCAAGAACAGCTTGTCTTCTTCGTCTCAGGAAGCGAAACCAAGGGGCTCGAGTGGCGGGCCATCCTCACCACTGAAGACATGCACTATGATTGAAGAGCACCAGTCTTATTGTCCGCTCTGGTGGTAACATCAGGGAAGAGAGACACAACGAGGTTTTAGAGGGTAGGCCCTATTTGGGAGATCCCCTCACTACCTGCATGTCAGGTGTGGATAAACCATTTTGCCTTTACTGGCGTCCTCGTATCCCCTACAAAAAAAAAAAAGAGCACCAGTCTTACAATGTTGAATCATCAAAGCCATTCATCGTCTACAGCCTTACGCAGCAGAGGAAGTCCTTCAAACGACAACATATCGCATAAATTCTCTCGATATGGTTCCGGCGGATTATAACCCCCGCGCAGCATCGCAGCCGACAATCTGGGATATTGGAACAGCGCTGGAGCTTCCCCTTCGTCCGGTACAAGAACACCGAGGCAGACCGAGCAAGGGCCAAGTGAACATCGTTTGTACTGCACTGCAGCAGCACAATCCCTGAGATTACTAAATTTCGGGTTTTCAGCGTTGTCTCCGAGGGTCCCAGGACTGTTCGTGGGTGAATGATGAGATATGCTCCGAATACATCTGTTGGTTGTGCTACTGACTCTATTTCATATGATCTAGGTTCTCCAAATCTTCTTATGCCATACGCAGTCATTCGATATCTCGAGCCCAAGAAGCGGTTGCCTTCAGGCCTCTGTTCGGCTTCAACATATCACCGCAATCCGAGCAACTTGCTTGGATTGCGGTGATATATTGTCTCCCGCAGGCAGACCGCATGTATGCTGACATTTCAGTTGAAAGACGATCTCCGCGTCGTCAATCTATGTCACAAGTGCCGTTTCAACCACTACAAATTGAACAATGGCAACTAATGCCTCGTAGGACGCGCGCTCAGATGTATAGCAGTCTTTCAATTTGGCACATGCGTTCTAATTCTCTTTGCGAGCAAAGCGTGGATGCAATCGACGGAACGGGTCATTACTCGATACATAGCGGTTTTTACTGCCCCACAGCTATCCCGACACGGTGACTGAGTCGGGATATGGCGCCCCTCGGGACCTGAAGCGCCACACTCGGCACAGCGACAGGCGCGGATGCGGCCTCCACATCGACGGGCATGGTGTTCATCATCATAGAGCCCTCACGTAGAGTTTTTGTCAGCATAGCATCCCCTATTGTTGCGAGCCTAGGTGCCGAGTAGGCAGTTTACTCTGCAGTGATGACATAATTGTCAGGGACGGTAGTGCGACACGAACAGAAGAAGATGCGCACTGGAACGAGCCCGCATTTTTCTGCGCTTGCGACGGAGTCTGCGAGACCTCTTCTTCTTCCACTTCTCTCTCATACTGCAAGATAGCCGACGATGATCAGTAATGCCGACACAATGCGGGAAACACACGCAACTCACCTGCTATGATGGGGGAAGTACTACCGACAACCGAAAACGGGTGGCGGGGTTATGTGAGGCGGCGGCAACTGTACAGTTCCGCTGACGTAAGCTCCCACGCCTGCTCGCAGTACTTAGTGCGCGCTGTTTTCTTGAGTTGGACACGTCTCTCTTACAGTCTTTTCCTCCGATGCCCAAACGTACCAAAGTCCCCGCTGCGTTGCATTCTGAACTCTCAGAGTATGCTGCCTTATTACGTGCACTTCGGACCAATGACGCGCTCGATCTGGCATCGCAGTTAACGCGTGCCAGCGCGACACCAGCTCCTGAAGATGATCAGATGTACCAGGACAAGGATGGGAACGAGCTTGACAAGCCGTTACCTGAGTCTGCGCCTCAAGAAGACCTTGTGGAGGACGTCTACGCCATGTCAGCCTCGGTAACGCACGGACGGAAACGCAAGCGGGCTGGTGACGCGTCCTCGAAAAGAAGGAAGGGCAAAGCGAAGGCACGTGATACGTGGACGCGATGGCCGCTGCTGGCTGGCGACGTGCATGTGCCGGAATGGGGTCTCGAGGACGAGGTCAAGCTGTTCGCGACGACACATTTATGCTCTATGTCTTCTGCGTCTGACCATGGTCACCAACCACTTGTCAACGATGAAGATGATGTCGAAGACACTGGCTTGCCATCCTCTACCATCAATGTCTTAACGTCTGAGTCTGCCGACCATCTGTCGCGTATTCTCGCGCTCCTTGCTGCCCATGTTCCCCCTGGTGAGAAGATTATGCAAAATCGTGTGCGGCCTCTCGGTTGGGAGGCCGTCCTCGATGTCGTGGGTGCAAGTGGACTGGTTGACGCCAAGTGCGTCTGCATGACTCTGCCGGTAGGTCTTACTGATGTTTAGTCCCTGTAGTATTGTCCAGAACGTTCAACGTCGTCTGCAAACCGTATATGGTCCAACCTCCTCCAATGGTATGTGTCGTGTTGTTTCAATGTCATGAATGCATGCTCACGCTCGTTGGGCAGTGGTTGACCGTGTGCAGACTACATCTTCAGTTGAGATGAGACTGGACGGTGTTTGCTCTTCGCATGATCTTAGTTTTCTAACGCTTTCTGGCTTCGATCCTACAAATTCGCTACCTAAACGTGAGTTCACCGCTCGACCGTGTAATCATTTACTCACGGAAGGTGATCAGGGAAGCGAGGACGATATAAAAAGAGCAGTTAGGTCTAGACTTGACCTGTCATTGTAGGCCCTACTAGACTGTCATTCGTGACCAAATACCTCACAGGGCAATATTGTAAGTGTTGCTTCTCCATCATCTTTTCGCGAGGCACTTCCGTCATGATGTTTGAGGCATTTGGCTTTAGTAAGGGGTCGTCCCTTACGTTGCAGAAACTTATCTCAGCTACCTTCGGACCGTCTGCTTTGGCAGGCGTGTCCGCTACTTCTGAACTTTCCAGCCTTTGATTTGACCTTTGAATATCCTGCTGACTGAGCTGTCTTTCCCAGGTTCCTCACAATACCCGTATTGTGTGATTTGTTTTGTTGGTGGTTGGTAGGATTGATTGAACGATTCAAGTGCTGGATTGTTGTATAATATTGTACTTTGCATATAGGATACATACGTTATCATCAGAATACATAATAACATTCGTCTGCAGTATGTTTGAGTCAAGCTGCTGTTCCGCTCATTACTTCGTATAGTCCGTCCATCTGCCGTCGTCCTAGGTGTTCGCTCCAAAACTGCATTATAAGCCTCCACTCGTCTTCGGAACGAGGCATACTTTCTCCGCGCATTTTCACCTCTACGACATGTCCGAAGCCTTTCTTGAATGATGCCAATGCACTCGCGGGCAACGCGGTCCCTGCAGGTGGTGGGCGGTGGAAGAGGAGCAGCGGCGTGGGGCAAGCTCGCGCGAGCGTCGGGTACGACAGCAGGGGCCCGCATACGCTCACGACGGAGCCGAGTGGGCGCAAAGCATGGGGCGAGTCCGCGCGCTGGGCTGCGAGCTCCGCGTTCCACCACGCGAGCGCGGCCTCAGCGGCGACAGTGCCGCCCTGCGCGAAGCCGAAGAGGTGAATGCGGTGCGGCGGCCACGCGCAGTCGGCAGCGAGATGCGCAAGGACCCTGGCGAGAAGCTCGAGCGCGGGTGTGGGGTTCGGCCGCTCGAGGAGTTCGCCGAGTGGGTCGAAGGATGTGTACCACTGGAACGCCTCTTCGTAGAGGAACGGGATCCTAGGTACCAGAACGATGTTCGGCGGACGATTTCATCGGATGGTATAGCAGAACTGGGTGTTTGCTTACCGTTCAGGTGCACGGAGGGCGAGTGTAGCGGTCTGCGGCAGCTTCAGCTGACGACCGAGCTTGCCAAATGGAACCTGGGTATCGCCTATGCGCCCAGACAAGTTAGCGTTGTTCGAGGGAGCGTAGAATGTGGTATGCGCACCGAGGCCGTGCAGGAGAATGAGCAGATTCTCGTCTGTCCCATCATCACTGGGGTTGTACGTAAAAGGTACCGGAATGGAGGATGTCTTGGGCCGCGGCTTCGTCTTTGGGTTGCTATCTGAACTCGATGATTCACGGAGGTGAATCTCAGACATGATCGTTCAAGGCAAAATGTTTAGTCGAGAAGAATGTTCACGACGATGCCCTCAGTATTGCAGGAACACTTCTGCATACAGAATGAAACCTATATCTGGAGGTTACGACAAACACTGTCATACACACGCTAAGCTTGGATCATATTTAGATGATGCTCGCAAAGCATGAACGTTGTGAGTGAAGGAGTGGCTGCCAATGTGAAGCTGATCCGACGGTGAGTCTTCTCGCACATTGAGCGGCCTGATGAGGCGAGTTCACATTATATCCCGTATTATGGTATTTACTCGAGTAAGTAAGTGGACATTGACCGTTCGGCATGCAATGGTCAAAACAGACGTCAAAGATAATTGAAGTAATTCTATTCAAGCTTCGTATATTGTACCTGTGCCCCCCTACACTGATAAGTGGAATACAGCTTGCTCTTCTATGCGTACTCGAAAACGGGAACGTAGCGACATCTCCACTGCAAGTCCAATCGAGAACCATGAAAGAGAATGATACAAATGCGGGAGCTGCGATGCGTGCTGTGTGCGAACAAAGCGACCAGTAGTAAGTATGAAAGACGGGCTCGGGGCATCCACACGAGCAATATGCGCACAGGAACATGCACTTGTACTAGGGTATCTATCGGGATTGGGTCATAAACGCGAGGGGAATACTGAATACACAATAAAAAGCGTCCGCCACAGGGAGAATGCGATTAGAAAGTCTGGCATTATACGAACGAAGATACGAGAACGTGGAAGGAACGTGAATGCGAACGAAGGTTGCGCGGATGTACGTCGAAGGAATCGTGAATGTCCGAGGCCCATATATGCAAGGTATACGGATCTGTCTGCCGATCGATGATGGGTGGATTGGTTAGGTCCACTCACATGTTAGCTGGGCGCGAAGGCCCGCAGTTTTCGCAGGACGACCTCCATGCCGGAATCCTTTTCAGTGGCGGTGTCGAGAACCTGGCCGATGGATGGCGACATGGCTAGCGGCAGCTTACTTGTGTACGCCGAAGACCCAAACGTGGAGGATGTGGACATGGACTCAGAGGCATGTGAGGTGCGTTCTTCCTCTTTCTTGTCGCCGTATTCCTGTTGAGCGCGTTCTGTCCTCTGTGTGTCGGAGCTCTGGCGCGCACTCCGTGGGCTTTCTGGTATCGCCGATAAGCCTGACGACGCGGTGTTCGCTGCCGTGAGCGGTGGAATCGAGGACATCGCCGAGCCCGACGAGGACGAGGCGGGCGTGATATGCCCCACATCCGAGTCCGCCAGCGACGGGATCGACGGGATATCGACACCGATCCCGAGTCCTGTTGGCAGTACGGGCGAGCTTGTCCGCCAAGCTTGCTTCTGCTTCTGCTTCTGCGAGACCGTCGGGAATTGCGTCAACCCATCCGGCAACGTGTGTGCGCGTCGCATCCGCGGCTGCACTGCGCCCTGTCCATGACCCAGCGTCATGCTCGCGCGCAACGCCGGACTCATCCGTGGCACTGGCACTGGCACTGGGCTTGCGATCGCGTCCGACTGCGGCGGGCTCGGCGCAAGCGGCGCGATGAGATCCGACACCGAGTTCTGCATCTCAAACAAGCCCTCCTCCATGCTGTCCACCGTCGAGTCCATCGAAAACCCGCGCTGCACGCCGTCGCCGGGGCTCCCGGGCCCGCCGCCCGTGCGCGGGCTCCCTGCCGATGACTTCGACCCGGATCGCAGGCGTGTCACCGCCGCCGGGCGCGGAGACTCGCCATTGGCACCGGGACCCGCTGCACCACCGCGCTGCCCAGCGTGCATGACGAGCCAACGCAGGCCTGTGATCTCGCGTTCCCGCTTGCGCGCATCCCGCTCGAGCACCTCGACGCGGCGCATAAGCTCGTTCTTCTCCACCGCATGCCGCTCGGAGAGCGTGAGCAGGTACGACGACAGGCGTTGGTACTTTGCATGCGCTGCGCTGAGGGCCTCGCGCAGCTGCTCGACCGTCGCTGCGTCCCCGGGTTCTGCCGCCGCTGCCCCATTACCCGCCTGCTCGCGCAGAACTTCTGCGCGGGTTGGCGTGACGGGCGATTCGTCTGCCATGCACACACCGTCGGCGCGGCCCGTGCTAGTTGACGTGCGGCTTGACAATGTGTCCGTTCGCCGGCGGAACACGAGCTGGTGCACCTCGCCGACGGACATGCGCGATGCGAGCGACGGGATCGTCGGTAGCGCAGCCATATGCGCCGCGTCCTCCGTCGCAGTCCGCAGAGGTGCGGATAATGGTGGACTTGGCAGTGGTTCCGTCGGCGGTTGCGTGCGTGCTCCTCGGCGGAAGTTGGTGAGTAGCGGAGGCGGCGCCTTGCGCAGGCTTAGGCTCGACTGTGAAGACGATGGCGACGCTGGTATACGGCTGCGCAACGAGGATGGCGGCGACGAGTTGACATGAGGAGTCGTATTGGCAGACGCATGCGTTTCCCTGCGTTTGTCCGCCTTGCCCCTGTCTTCATCTGTGTCTCGGGGCTTATCCTGGTCTCGCCCGACTTCGCTATCCTTCCGCGGCTTGGACAGACTGAGAGGAAGAGCGCTCGCGTGCCGCTGGAACCTGGAGCGTCCGCTGCGCGCAAGCGCAGAAAGCGTCTCGCGCGTGCTCGACGTACTGCTAATGCTCGTACGGCTCGACGCAACGTCGTCTGTGCTCAGCTCCGTATGCTGCTCCGGCGGCGGGGGTGCACCTCGGAGGCGCGTCAAACCCTGGCCTTGCGCGCGGGGTGTGTCTGGCTGAGCACGCGAGGGCGCAGCGTGCTGCGCTGGTGGTAACGGCGCACTGCGCGGTGTAGTGTATACGCGGGGGTCGTGCTCTTCGGCACTTTGCGGCGGCGGAGAGACGGTGATGGTTGGACGCTCGCCACTCTGGCGGGGCAACGGGCGGGGAGAGTCATCGCGGCTACGGCGACTGAACTCGAAGGACGTGGACTTTTGCGGGCGGAGATGGCGGAGGGTGGGGATGGCAGAATGCGTAGCAGTAGGTCGTCGTGGAGAGTCTGGAGGTACCCGCGAGAGAGAGCCGATTGAGCTTGGGGAAACGTTAACTGGGGGCAGAGAAGAAATGAGCGGAGTGGAGCTGATAGGGGAAGCAGCGGTCGTGGAGGCAGGAGTTTTACTGTGTCATCATTGTCAGTGAGATGTCCAGAGAGTATATAGATAATGCGAGAGGACATGTTTGGGAATTTTGGAAGCGACAGTGATTGGAGGGCAGAAAACATGAGGTATACATGAGGCGTGTCGACGTCAGCCTAGAAGTCTATCTTGAAAATCCATATCACGAAACACATCATTACCTCTTAGGCGTTCGAATCATACTGGACTCCTCGACGTATGCACGCATGAACCATTGTGTGGTACACTCAAAAAACCGAAAAATGCCTGTCTCATGTCTATGTGCTCTTGACTAGAAGCAGACCACTCTGGCGATGTGTACGTTGCGAATTTCATGCTATCAGTCGCAACCATGACGCCAGTACAGTTTGCTTCGTCGATACTGGACCATCGCATGCGCGTAGGGTTTCTTCCGCCCACATAAACATGCGTATGATCCAGTAGCACCGAATCGATTATTTCTAAGGACCACTGACTCCCCTGGCATGTACGTTGACGAGTAGTGCCGCTCGTTGACGAAAGAAGCGTAGCTCACCTGGTGGACAATCTGCCCATCTCGAGCTTCGGCACCGGTGGAGGCGCCTCTTCGTCCGAGCGAGTCCTCGCATCCGCGGACTTGGCCGACGAAGGGGAAACAGAGCTGGACTTGCGCCTGCGCCCAAAGAAAGACAGCCTGTGCTTTGGCTTGGACGCCCCATCGGTGTCGGAAGGAGGGAGGGTCGAGACGGGGGGCGCGGCTGGGACCTCTGACTGCCTCGGGTCGGTGCGACTGGTGCCGCGAATAAGATCCGAGATGTCAGACGTCTTCGAGCGCAGGCGACCCGCAGAGGACCGTTGGGCGGTCATGGCGGGTCTGCTCGTCTACAGCAGAATGTTGCGCGAAAGGAGGGACGAGGGAAGGTCGCGTGCGGGGCGGCGGAAGGCGCGTCTGGCGCGAGCGGGTTGAACTTTAAGGTTTCGTGACATGGGTGCAGGTGCACACGCGAGATCGTCTGGCGGCAGAAGCAGTGAAAACTGCAACTGGTCCACAAGAAATCATCTCTTGCGCAACCCTGACTGGCGGCTATCATATAACCCCGTTTGCTTCCGCGCACAGGGGTCTCCCTTCCCAAATAAAACTCTCTTCGCGCACCCACACACGGGTCGTCGTCTCCTGCCATGCTTCGCCACGTCGTGCGCTGCTCCCAGGCTTCATATATATGTCGAATACAACCGGAGCATATACAGAGCAGACGCCTGTCAGTGGTCTTGTCTGGCCCCGTGCATCCTTCTGCATCACGTGGGTGTGTCCGTGTCGGCGCACAGCAACTATGGATCAAATGCGGCCGGCGGATCCTGTCCATGTTGCAAGGGGCTCCCGCCTTGATGTGTTGCAACTTGCATCCGGCCAGGTTGCGAGCCCATGCAATGCGTGCCTCGAGTAACGTAGATACGCGCACAGGAGGCCTGCGATTGGCCGGCAAACCGGGTGAACGTTGCAGGGGCCGGCGGGCCAGTACGTCAGCACGCTGTGGCGTTCAATAGCCTCGCGGTCGGCCACGGCTCGGTCAGATCGAGGCTATACTGGATCTGGCCTTGGGGCGCATCACATCTGATTCCATCTTCCCGCGATGCGTGCTTCAGCGGCTGCTTGCTCGTCCCCGACACTGCTGGGAACAGGGAGTGCGCTATTGTTCAACGCGCAAGCGGGCGCACGGGCGGCCAGCGCGGGCCGGTGGTCGGCCGGAAGCACTGCGCGCCGCCCAAATCTCCGAGGAAGAATTCGAAGCACGCTCGACTAGGCATCGTGAATGAGATTCAATCGGTCCCCGCCGAGCCCAGACCACCGGCGGTGCCGCCGACCCGTTATATGACGCGCCGACGTTTGGAAATACCAACATGGTCCATTTCCTTCTACGGCAGGTTTGCAGTCCAACGGGACGCTGGCCAAGCGGAAATCCGTTCATTTGAACTAGCTTCTGAACAGGCTTCATTGTATTCCTCGCTCTCTGATGTTCTTACAGTGTCATCCGACCGTACGGCGCACTTAACGAACCCGGCAGATAGAGACAGCCTAGAATTCTCTCCCAGAGGCGGCCATTGTGACTCTGTCCAGCCGGCGTACCCTGCAACTGAAGAAACAGTTCATCCAGGTGCGCATACATTGAGGGGTAACCGTAAGCAGTCCCTCCCTTTTGGCGGCGGTCGCATGCCAGGAGTCCGCTTGTCCGGCCTGTTGCGCCCCTCCACTCCGACGCTGGTTGTCATGTTTCAGGTGTACAATATTTAACCTTGTCGTCCACACCGCAACCCAGAATGGTATCAAGCAAGTTCATTGGCGTACATTTCCCCCATGTATTGACCCCGACGAAGCTAGTCTGCGCAGCTCGAGCGAACCGTGCCATTGGCTCGCAAGACAGCTCCCGGAACCTGTGCCTTGATCAGGACTTGACTCTATCTGGGCTCTATTTAGCTGATTAGCGAGTGTCGCACTATTTGGCCCGAGGGAACTCCTCCAGGTCTCTCAGGCAGATTTGTGGCGTTCCGCGACTGCAACGCTCACATGACCCCTGCGCATGGGCAACAACCACGATCCGCTAGCAGGGACTTTTTTTTTTGAGCTGAAGTGCTTGCGTTCGATTTTGCATCTTTCCAGGAGGTATGATGTCGGGTACGGAATGTAAACCCTGACTACTCCAAAATTCCCATCATGTCGAAGACTTGCAACCTTGTGGTAGTGCGACCATCGTAGTGAATTTGCGCCTCTGATAAGATCCTCCTCGCGGTCTCCGCGTCTATGTGCCTTATTGAGGATTCATTAATCATCTACCGCCGCCCGGTCCCGCATCCAAACAAATTCCGCACCCTACCGAAGAGCAGTCCGTTTTTCGAGCTTGTGTACCGAAGAGCATCTCCGCACTCAGTTAGATACTAGAAGGGCATGCAAAAAATACAGCGGAATCAATATCGCTTCTCATGATGTCCGATACCGTCGCACGAACGCGTTGCAAAACCGCCGAGTCGATCTCCCTGTACATGCGTCGCATAGCCTTCCATCTACTAACAGCACAGTGAGTGAGCGACAGCGTGAGCATGACTGTAAGCTTTTGAAGACTCGCCTCTTCCCTGAATCATGTGCGTCGTTCTTTTGAGCATTTCAAATGTCTAACGTATTCAAAAACGCCGTAAACGCTACTCTGAGGCACGGCCCTGCACGCTCACAGGCTTTCACCAAGCCGGCAGTGCATTTGTCACTTACCATCGTGATATCCCACCGTCTTCCTCGCCCAATACTCGCAATGTAATATATACCCCCAATATATTGGGTCGGCGCAAGATCCAGATATGTACTGTGCCGCAACACTACCGGCCGGAGCATCACAGAAATTGATCTTCATTGAAGGCGACATAAATACAATTTCTTGGGATTACAACACAACCCCGTCTAACAGCAGCAGGCTCCGGCGATGAAGGAAACAGACAAATAGCACGAAAGAATGACCAACCTGTGTGCGTCCAGCGCTTGAAGTCTATACGGCGCCCTGCGCTGACGGCACAAGCGCCCTCCAGGGTCCGCGGGGGTTCACCCACGAAAAGGAAGAGAACTTGTCCCCGTCGCCTCTCGCGGTCTTTGAACTCCCCGGCCACTTTGCAACCGCGCGCTTGGGCGCGCCTCCCTGGATGGCCCGGCCTGGATGCACCGCCGCTATATAAGGTCACGGGGAGAAGGAATAACAAATCAGGGTGGAGGCGCAGGGAGATCAGTTTCAGCGACTTACCGAACGGCGGCGGGGTTTGAGGACCCTGGAAGCTGGGGAAGCCGGGGGTGACGCTATGGGGGTGATGGCATTAGCGGGCGGAAGCGTGCTGCGGATCGAGAGAGCTTACGTGGAACCCAGAAGGAAGAAATCCAACTCTAGAACGGTGTTGTATTCGAGACGCGTTTGCGGATCTATGTCCAGAAACTGGATGACGGGATGAGTTAAAGATAATGCTTGTGAGGGGAAAATGACGCACTCCGACCAAGACATGCAGCGCTTTCTTTTGTTCGGCCTTCTCGTCGTAACGCGCGCGAGACATATCGAGACGCATCCGCAGGTATTCTTCACGGCACTCCGTGCTCGCGAGATTGATATACTCCTTGTACCATTTCTCCTCTTGAAAGAGCACCTGTTCTATGCTTAGATGGCACCTGCACAATTAAAAATACACACGGACGCACCTGCCCCGTGATCATCTCGAACAACAGGCACCCGACAGACCACCAGTCAACCATCCTGCCGTACTCAGCCCCGCCAATAATCTCCGGGGCGGTGTACTGTCTGGTGCCGACACACTCACTCGAGCAACCATCTTTGTTAGTGAGTGGCGCCGGGCGCAGCAACGCTCGGCTGAATTCGCCGATGCGCGCAAAATTGTGCTGTGTGTCAAGGAAGATGTTTTCGGGCTTGATGTCGCGGTGAATTATCCCCAAGCTGTGTAGGACTCTCACTCCCATCATCTGTTATAAGAGTGTCAGATATTAAATCATGTACTAGGGTCATCACATACCACTTGCGCGATCCAACGAAGGGTGTTGCGCTCGGTGGGACGGGTCTTGATGGCTTCCAGGAGACTGTACTCCACGGCAGGCTGTGTGCAAGATCTGTCCATAAAACATCAACTGTTGAACATGAGTTCGTAAGGACTCACCATCACGAAGCCGATGGTGTATTTATCCTGCAAAACAGCGAAGAGCTCCATGAGAAACTTCTTGTCTGCTTTAAAATTGGTGCCATCCGCATCTACGAGGGGTAGGTCCGCGGCAATGCGCTGGTAGCAACGCATTTCGGTGGCCACCTGCTCGCGGGCACTAGGGTAATCTTGCGGCGTGCAGGTTTTGAGATCATCTTGCGGCTTGCGGGCTTTATGATCATCGTGCGGCTTGTAGGCTTTATGATCATCTTGCGGCTTGCGGGCTTTAGGATCATCTTGCGTCTTGCGGGCTTTAGGATCATCTTGTGACTCGCATGCTTTAGGATCATCCCGCAGCTTGCTCTTCTTGATAATCCTTATACTGAAGACCTGGCCGCGATGGCAGTCTTGTGCTGCCCATATCTTGCCGTACCTACCAAGCGAAGTTACGTACAGCAACGCGAAGGGACCGATCGGAGACGCTTGTGAGGCTTGCGACGTTACCGTAGGGACGGGCATGGCAGGACTTCTAGGCACAGGAGCAGCATAGATTTGCGGTCGCCGAGAGTAGGCCGGCGGAGGAGAAGTATACGAAACCGACCCGGCTAGAGTCTCGATAGGCCATCTTGCGGCACGCGGCGCGCTCGGTGCATAATTGTTCAAATAATCAGGAGCAGGACTTGAGTAGGTACAGTTTCCTTCCCCAGCGTTGCCATAATTGAAGCTTGTGCTGTGGTTGGTTGAATTGCGGCGCGAACGGCTTACCGGCGGGACCGTGGAGCCAAAGCCGACACCCGCGTAAGTCGTCAGGTCCAGGGAGCGGTGGGATGTATGCTTCTTGCCGTTCATTGTCTTCAGTCTTTGTATGGATGGGCCGGGATCACCGTTAGCGTTCAGCGATGTCAGGGGTGCTCTGTGGCCAAGTGAATCCTTGTACGGATAGATGACAAAAGCAGAGAATCGAGAGGAGTAGTATGCTGCTGGGAGGTCGAACGCAAACATCGTTAAGTAGTAGTCAGAAAGTGGTACAAGGATGGGCAAGGCTTTCGATCGAGCCACAAGAGGAGGTGGGGAGAACCGGCGGTGGAGTGTTTGATTTTGATGGATGCACCTGCCAGCGCCATTGTTGCTCGCATTTGGTAGGAGACAAGGCCTTCAATGAAGAAGAGTGGCGGTGAGCCTCAAACGGTCGGGGGGCGCGTCATGCAGAGGCAACGCAGTGTGGCAAACGCGTGCACCTCTATCGCCAGCTGATGCAGTCCGTCAAAGCATACCTCCCTTTGTCTAAGAAGAAAATATTCATAAGCCAAAGGATACGGTGACATAGCCTACGTGCATGCTGAGATTCAGCATTGATTTAATTAGCAAGTCAAAGCGCGCCGCGTGCCACCTTGGATCTAAACGCGTGTGAGGGTGGTACCAGCGATTGTCTGATTGCTTTGTCCAGCCTGTGAACCTGTAGCCTTGAGAATTTCATTCCGCATCACCATGGAAGTAAGACACTCGCGGTCCTTGATGTGCAGCGTAAGCTGCGCAATACTGTATAACAAATCTATCCACAAAGACGTGCATGGCGATTCAGCGTAGCCACGATAACTGTGTTCGACATAAGTATGTGTAGTGCATACAAGCAATGAATGACTCACAGTCACCAGTGCCCGAAGATCAGGTACTATGTGCGTTCACGACAAGTAGAGTTGTGTAAGTCGATGTCGTGCAAGTCAAATTCAATCATGATGACCGGAATGCAGGATAAGTACATAACTAATCGAGCATACTATAAAAAGACAAGATAACAAGATAACCTATTAGATACACGGTGTGGCCACAATATTACTGCTCCGCAACGGTCACGACCCGAAAACGCGTGGAACGCGTACCACACGCGACACACATCCTCTCACCACGCGCCCATCATGGCCGATGTCGACAGCTCCCAGGAACCTCGGCGTTCGCAGCGGGAGAAAAAGCAGACTACTCATTTCGTATCGGGTACGCGCTAGTGCATCCCTACCGCTTTCACGGGTCCCTAACGCGCTGAGTTTTAGTGAATAGCACTTTGCTCAAGCGAAAACGCTCCGACGCGACAACCACAGACGAGGACATAGGAAACGAGCCCTCCGAGCCCTCCGATGAGGAGTCCAATGACTCAGGACTAGAGCCAGAGGAGGGAGAGGAGTTCAATGCACCGAAGCCAAAGCCGAAGGCACCTGCGAAAGTGAAGCGCAAGGCAAGGGCACCTCCCCCGCCCAAGAAGCCTCGCGTCCGAGCGAAGAAGGCAGCGGCACCTAAAGTCGCTGCCAAGATCACGCTTCCCAAACCCAAGAAGACGACGACACGAAAGGCCAAACAGGGCGGAGCAGACTCGACCGCGTTCGACGCCGAGAAAGTTGCGCAGGATACTAGGATATCGGGCGACAATCCCTTGTTCAGTGCGTAGGGCCTTTTGGGGATGTGCCTATAGCGTTCTGACACACTATATGCGCATAGATGCGATCATGAACCCAGCTGCTGCCCTTCAATCTACTGCTGAGGATTTCCTTGAATCCCTCTCGCAAACTCCAGGAGCAAGTCTCGCCGAATTAACCAATTGCATCCTACGTGCGTGTGGGTGCAACGAATCAGTCAATGCAGACGAAGCTGTAGACTACGATGGTGTGGTTGATGCTCTCGACAACTTTACCGAAGGGCTCAAGAAGGTATGAATTGTCACGAATTTACAAGAGCTGTCTAACCTAGTACATGCAGGACGATTCTCCTGTATACCCCCTGACCTCCAAACTCCCCGTCTTCAAGCGATTCCGCAATTCGCTCTCGGAATTCCTCGAGCGACTAATTGCGTCCTCCGCCGACTTAGGCTCGTTATACACTTCCGACCTTATGCCAACACTCCAGACATGGGTTGTCGCTATGTCATCCTCACAATTACGTAGCTTTCGGCATACTGCAACAGTTATCGCGCTCGAAATCGAAACTGCTCTCTGCGATGTGGCGGCTGCTGTGGAAAAGGAGGCTGAGATCGTGAGTCGACAACGCGAGGGCGAACGTAAACGCAAAGCCGCAGCGAATAAGGGCAAGGGCGGCACTGCTCGCGAGAAGGAGCTCGAAGGCAAAGCCGCCGAAGTCCGGGAACGGCGAGCGAAACTGACCGAGTTTCTTAAGGAGTTTGTCGATGGGTGAGTGATCGAAATTAACCGACGGTATGTAGCGTGAGACTGATGTGTTCTCAGTGTATTCGTTCACCGCTATCGAGATCTCGACGCAAGTATACGCGCCGAGTGCGTGCGCGCTATGGGGCTATGGTTCGCAAAGTATTCCTCACGTTTCCTAGATGGGACATATCTTCGCTATGTTGGCTGGGTTCTCTCTGACGCGCAAACACCCGTGCGCCTAGAGGCTGTGAAAGCTCTCGCTCTCGCATACGCGCAGACAGCATACATCGGGGCGGCTGCGCTGCAAAACTTCACGGATCGGTTCAAGCCCCGTTTGGTCGAGATGGCGGTGGGCGACACAGAGCTGTCTGTGCGCGTTGCAGTCGTCCAGGTATTGCAGGCAATCGACAGTCATGGTCTGCTGGAGGATGAACAGCGCGAGAAACTCTGCCTCCTTGTGTTCGACGAAGAGGCTCGTGTGCGCAAGGCAGTCAGTGGCTTCGTGCGCGGAGTCTGGGAGGAATCAGTTGAGGAGCGACTGGTGGGCAAAAAGCCGAGCGCGCGGGACAGACAGCGCGCAGAAATCAAGGCTCTTGGGATGCTACTTGTGAGATGGGGTCGTGCTTTGGACAAGACTGCAGGTGATATAGACACCGAAGATGATGAAGAAAACAACCTGGGCGAGGGTTCTTCTAAGCAAGCGAAGGCGCGAGTAGCTTCACTCGTCGGTGCTGGTCAAAAGGGCCGCATCGCGCTCGCAGTGGAAGCACTCTGGGACGAGGTAGAGCCTGTGACTGACTGGGAAACGCTGTTAGACATTCTGCTACTTGATCACTCAGCTGCCGGGGAGGAGTCATCCTCTACAGGTCGTGGCTCAACTGGGAGAGACTCGGTGGATGAAGCATGGAGGCTAGAGGAAGTGGAGGAAGCTGTCTTACTCGAGATGCTCATTGCCGCCATCCGCAAGGCGAAGGCGGATGTTGCAGGGGCAAAAAAGGTCCGCTTCAAATTTCCCAAAATTGATACTCAAATTCAGCATGATTATAGGGCGAAGACGAAACGCTAGCATCGGATATCACGCGGTCTTTGATCAAAGCTCTTCCTAGGTTGTTCGTCAAGCATCAAACCGACGAGAACAGGATGTCCGATGTGTTGATAATTCCTCAGCTGATGAATGTGGATCTATATCTTGAAATGAGAATGATGACAGTATGTAGTCCTGTCTATCGATAGCGGACGTTACTAATCACTTTTAAAGGCTTATGCCGGCCTTTGGGAGGATGTGACGAAACAGTTTCTATCTCATTCGTCCCCGATCGTTCTCACGAACGCTGTTGCCACTATCCGGCACTTGATGGACGCGACGAGCCTCTCGAACACTAATAGTACGAAAATCTTGGAGCTGGAGGATGAGCTTTCCACTTCTCTACGGGATGCCATTGCCGGGTGTGAAGAGATCGAGATTGCGTCGTTCAACGAGGATGAGGTGCTATCCCTTACCGCTATCTGTGCTCGTTTGGCTGCGCTCGTTGGTATTCGAGACATGACCGCGTGGATGGAAGAGGACGAAGGCGGGAAGCAGAGCAGTGCGTGGGACATCATCAGTGCACTGGCCGAGCGTGGAAGACTTGGGTACAGAGAGGAAGAGATGGTAAGTGGTACAATGTGAAGTGCAGTGAGATCAGCTACCCACTTTTGCATTTCAGATGGTCGATCGAGCATTGCATGTGCTCACTCTTCACATTATCTGGAAGGCGCGGGGATTGACAGCCGCTGATGCTGAACTCTCTCCGGAGGAACAGCGTTTCAAAGAGAAGCTTCGCGAACAGCGAGAATCACTTCTTGAGAAGCTACTCGAGTTCGCGGTAGGAACTCAGTCCAACACTGCAGAAGGTGTCCGTAGAGCGGTGGGTCCTGACGGTACTCCGCTGTATACAACATATTGACAGCTATGTATAGGCTTTCCAGAACCTGATGAACTTACATATTCTCTTCTGTCCAAGTCAGTCCGTCGCTCCGGATGGGTCTCGGCTTCCAACTGCGGCATTGCCTCTTTCGCTTGATGATGAGGTGCAGTATAGATGCGCTGGCTTCATTCAGGCTGAAATAGAACGATACGCCGAGGAATTGGAAGATGCTTTACCGGCGGCTGAAAGAGGGAGCGAAGATGAAGAACAGAGCGGCGACAGCCAATCTGAAGAAGAACGACCAACGAAAGGCGGCAAGACTACTGCCGGTACTGGCAAGGGCAAGCGTTCTGCCAGAAAGCGTCCCTCAGGTAGCTTGTCATCTCTTGATGTCCGGCTTCGTACTTATCTCGCCTTAGACGGCCGTCCTGCCTCCCGCTCGCAATTGGAGAAGGAATATATTTTCATGGGCGTCGTCACAACGTTCTTGCGTGCTATCCGCGCTGGAGTCATTCACTTCCGCCATTCTACCTCATTACTTGCGCATTACGGTAGATTGGGTCCTGCGTTCGATCTCTGCGCAAAAGTTGTCGTTGATATCCTCCGCGAGGAGGGTATGTACAACGACAATGGCAGTGCGGTAACTGAGGTCATTTGTCAAGCACTTCGTGATGTAAGTCCACCGTACGGATTGAGTTTCGCTCTTACTCAAGTTCTTGCTACAGTCAATTACTCTCTTCCTTGATGGCGTCGTACAAACGGAAGAGCATGCGCTGGCCCTAGGAAGATCCCTCGCATCATGTCTCATGATTCGTGGCGCACAGTTGGCTGTACTGCGGAAGTTAGACGCTCAATATGTCGTCGCCATCCATACGAATTCGCTCTCATGGGTCGTCAAGCGCCTGGTGGCATACGAAAATGCCAAAAACAAGCGAGCGCGCACACGAAGCATACTGTTCTTCAGAGCTTTGATACCCCTCCTTTCGACAGTCGATAATCGAGATGCCCTTCACATGTATGTCTCCTGTCGTTCGGAAAAGTGGCCTCACTCACATGTCCTGTCTGCAACAGAAAAGCGCATCTCGACCAGCTGCTAGCACAGAACAAGTTACAGGTTTCTGCCACCTCAAGGCAATGGGAGTCTTACCGCGCGTACGAGAAGCGACTGTCTGGCGCCAAGGACAAAGGTCTGTTCGCTTCCGTCGAACGATATGACGCGATATTGACGCCCGTATTTCGGTGAACAGGGTCGAAGCCGAAAGGGGCCCGCAAGAAGGGGGTAAGGGGTACGGAAGGGCTCTCTACAGATGAAGAAGGCAACGAGTCAGATCGCGTCAGCGAGGAGGAAGCTGCTTCCCAGCCGACACGTCCGAAACCAAGACCTAAACGTCGAAGCGCCAGAGTTGCTGGACGCAATGCAGGCACCGATGCCGAAACCACAGACGGAGACGCGCCGCCCCCAGCGCCGGAGCCCACGACCCCAAAGGCGCGACCAAGACGTCAGGCGACTTATCGCAAGAAATCACCTTCCCAATTATCGCTCAGCCCATTGTCGGCATCTCCTGCTCCAATCGAGTCCGATGTAGAGATGTCTCACCAGCTTCAAACGCCTATGGCCTCCCGCAAACGTGGTCGTTCTGAGGATGACGGCGAGTCTACCCAAGCCTCAGTGCCACAGACGCCTCACAACGAGAGCCGCGAGGTATCACCAGCGCCCGCGACCCAGATGACGGAGGCCAACGAGCTACAAATACGAAGGAAACGCGTGCGCCATTAAACCGGCCTTCCGCGATCGTTCTCAACGCCTGTAGCTGTTTCTTATTCTATCCTGTATTCGCTGTGTTGCTGTGCCGAGTACTCCTGCATCTTGCTCAATGTATCATGATATTTGTACCAGACCTCCTGTAGCAACAGCTTTAATTGACCGGAATTTGGCAGATATATACATAGGAGATAAACGAGGTCCATGGCAGTGAGACGAAGGAAAGGAGCGACTCAGATAACACAAGACGTGGATGCAACAAAGCACGATAGAAGAAATGAATTGTGGAATAAATATCATGGGATGAATATGATTTCCGTGGTGTATGATCAAGGGTTGTACAGCAATCGAAAACTGAGCAGTCGTTAAGTTAAATCGTAATGTCATGTTCTAAATGAGGTCTCCGCAGTTGCCGGCGTGCGCAGAGCCGCTGTCAGGGTGTCCGAATTGCGCCGGAGAGTGCCTGGTGAGAGCGGGCTCCTCGAGCCAAGTGCCGCCGACATAGACTGCCGTCTTCTTAATGGCTGTTGGCCCTTGAGGTCGTCTAGCGAGATACCGAGCATATCACAGAGTTCTTTTTGCGCCTCAGTCATGGCTCTGAACTCAGACGATGGCGACTCAGTAGTCGGGCCTGTATCACTTGTCAATACGACGTCAAGCGAGCAAAGAGAAAACACGATGCTAACCTGTATGGCCCGTCGGCAGATCTGTCACGATACCGAGACCCCTACGAAGCGGTATAGGGGGCACGGGCGGTATCTCACTCATATGTGCGGATCGCACCGCTGGGGAGGGCGTCATACTACCCACTGACGAACGCTGACTACGGCGATGTGTCGAAGACTTCAATCCAGCCTTCGCAGCCCGCGAACTGTTCTTCCGCGCCAGGAACACGCGGCTAGAGCGACGACTGGAGCCCTCCCTCGTTGACGGTGTCATCTGGTCGGCTCGTCCAGCCAGGTCGTCGAAGTCTTGCGCAACTTCCTGTGCTTGCCTCCACGCCTCGTCCCTCTCCGCCTCAAGAGTCGACACCTGCTCGCGGAGTTTTTGTCCCTCCTCCAGATGTTTTTTGAGACTCTTGTTCAGTTTGTGCAGCGCCATGATGAGTGCACTGCTCGAGTGCACGTCCCGCAGATGGGTGAGCTGCCCGAGCTGCGTGGTCACGTCGTACAACTCCTCTGTTATCTGGTCGAGATTGTCGGTCACTTCTGTCACTTCTTCTAGTAGTCGACTTGCGGTTCCATACTCGGAAGCCTCAGAACCATCCATCATGGATGCCAATGAGCCTAGCAACATCCTGCGCCTGCGCACGTTAAGCTTGTAGTTTGTCCTCAGCTCAGCACTCAGTGCCTCCAGACGATCAATCTCCTCGGGAAGGGCTTCGTTCAAGATGTCAAGTGGCAGAAGCCGGATGGCGGACACATCCGCTGTTTGTCGGATTGCCGTCGATACCAGCTGTTGCAATTGTTGCGACGAGAATGTCCACTCCGCAGCCTCCTTCGTAAGCCCACGGAATTTGACAGGCGTAGTTTGGAACCGGGGACTCGACGCAGACAGGGTGGGCATTGATGGTCTGCGCATGCTGCTCGGTCCACCCGAATTGCTGATGGACGAAGAAACAGACCCGGTACGTGAGCGCGTGGACAATAGAGGCCGACGAGGTCCGATCGGCATTGCTGGTCGAATGCGCGCATTGCGCTTCAGGATTTGCAACTCAGGCGTCGCGACACGAGAGGGGCCCGCAGTAGCACTGTAAGGTAGAGGGGAAGGCGGATTGGGCGTTGTGAATGCATGTCTTGACTTTTGTACCTCCTCTGCGTAGGGGGGCGGCGGGGCCTGGTCCACGACAGAGTGCTCCTCAATGGACGGCATCGGCGACGGCGGCATAGGCGAGGACGGGAGCGGAACAGCTGACGGCGGAGGCGACGGAAGCGGCGTGCCCACCATCGAACGCCCGTCTTTGGCGACCGACGACCTCCGCGACGGATGCGTTGAGTTGGACTGGAGGCTAGATCGTCTCGACGCCTGATCGCCCACCGTATTGGGCTGTAGATGTGCGTCGGATGCCGCATCCTGCATAGACACATACGCCGGCGGAGGAGACTCATTGTCCTGAGAATGTTGTGGCGTTTCCAAAGAAGGAGGCCGGGGGAACGAGACTCGCGATTCCCTTCGCGACGTAGCTTGCGAACGAGAGCTCATCGCGTCAATCGACGTTTCCTCTGCTTGCTGCAGCTCATCTGGATGTTGCTCTTGCTGCTCCTGCACAGGCCGCGCGCGCGACACGCTTCGGGACCTGGGCGCCGGCGACGCACTATGCGACGATATACTGAACGTCTCCTCAATGGACGACAGCGGCGCGATCGGGCGCATCGATGCATCGCTGTTTGCCGACAGCACATGCTCACTACTCCCCGCCGAGCTCCCATACACACTCTCGATCGACGACGACGGTGTCTGCGGCACACGGCCTATCGGAGCTACAGCCGAGCGCGATAACAGCATACGCTGACCCCAGCGGCCCTTAACCTCTGCTCCGCCTGCGCGCGAAACGGTCATCGTACGTGGGAGCGCACGCATCCCACCCCGGGGCGGAGGGGGCATCATTGGCGACGCGATACCCGCTGACAACAACGGGCTGAACGCGTACGGGGTCTCGGGGAAGGTCTGATGCACAGAGGACGCAAACGCGTGAAACTCGGACTCAGACGAGAGCACGGGCGTGGATACGTCCGCTGGGAGGATCGCAAGCGGCGCAAGTTGACTTCCCGTACGCTCGCGCCCGCGCCCACGCGAGGACGCACTCTCACGCGCGAGCACCGCGGGCGCAACAGGGAACATAATGTCGAGCAAGTCTGGCGAGTCAACAGGCGTCTCCCCGCCGCCGCGTGCCGAAAGAGGAACGGGCGGGAGGCCTGAATTGGGCGGCGGTATCGGGCGGCGAAGGTCACTATCAGAAGACGTGCGTGCGGAGGCCGGTGACTGGGGCACCTGTGCCAACCGTGGGCGCTCGCCGATAGGAAGGAGCGTGATGGAACACTGCGGCTGTGGGCGATGGTGATGCACATGCGTGCTGGAGTCGGAGTGTGAGCGCGCGACGGAGCCAGCACCAGAGCGCGGAGATATCACAGATGTCCCTGGCGTAGAGATGCTGGCGTGCTCGAAGCTCGCTGTAGAGTATGCGGAGGCCGTCGTACCCGTCTCTGAATCAGGTGAAAGGACTGAACTGCGTGTCAGAGCCAACGCTGGCGGTACTGGCCTCACGCCATCAAAGCTTGCACGAGCGGGTTCAAGGCTCACGCGACGATGGTCATGCGAGGGCAGTGTGTCAGAGAGGTTCCTGCTGCGACGTTGCGTTGGCTCGCCAGCAAGAAACGTAGGTGTGTTAGGCGCGGTAGGTGCGGGCGACGGTGCCTCGGTAATGGGCGAAATGGGCGAGAAGAGGCCCGGCTCGTGGGGCAGGCCGTTGAGCGAGTTACGACGGGACATTCTACCGCTGTTTTCTGCCTGTGCGCTATCAGGCAGTGCTGAGAAGGAGCTGCGACGACTCTTGGAGCCAGAGGCGGGCCCAGCGCTGTTCTCTCGCGAACGTGCGGACGCTGGAATAGGTGGAACAGGTGGAACGGCCTCGCGATCTGCTGGAGACGCGTCACTGGTTGCGGAATAGCGACCATGAAAGGGATGCTCTCCGCGGGGGAGAGTGGCTGAGTCCTGACGGGTGATGCCAGAGCGATAACGCGATCCCCGCGCGTCGGAGGTGAGGATGAAGGAACTTCCGACAAGGGCACGGGCGAGAGTCGTACCAGAGACGGACGAGGAAAGGTCATCGGTGCAAACAGATCCCGGACTGACAGGGCGCGAGGGCGTGGCCGAGCCTGGAACAGGGAGATGAGAGTTGAGACCAGCGGACGGACCTGCAGAGGCAGAGCGCTGGATGCGGATCTTCGCACCAGTGGGATTGTCGGGTATCTTGATGGGAGTGGGGGTAGGTTTCCTCGTAACGGTCGCATTATTCTGGAAATCATGTCACTTGCTGTCAGCACTCAAATCAAACGATGTTCATGACGTTTTGCTCACAGCGATGTGTACAGATCCCTGAATATCACTATATGTATCAGCTATAGGTAACGGAGGTAGCTGCAGACTTGGTCAGATCGCCATGTGAGATACTCTTAGAGACAAACGCACCTCTCTTGACGTGTGCCCAACCGGCTCAATAATGATAATATCGTCAACGGAAGAGGTAAAGGACACTTCTGGCGTGCCCCAATGACTGTCGACCAGTGTGGTATGATTCGTACTGGAAGGGCCTGTCTCTGCACGCTGCAGAGATACATTGCGCTCGGGTGGTGTCCGCGCACCACTGCCGAGGAGGTCTGCAGGGAACCAATCCGAGTACGAACCCCTGTAGTTCAAGTCGAGTTGCGGTGTTGGCTCGCGCACGAGGACTGAATTGGAATCCGCGACATGGAACTTGACCGCGTCGCGAGACGTGAACGATGCGGGAGACGGCGGAGACGGGGCTCGCTTGCCCGGCGCAATGCTCGCAAATGTCTTCTGGACCTTGCGCTTGTTAAAGACAGAGTGGAGCATAAGGGGCGACGCGGTGGGCAGGGAGGGGCATGAAGAACGGGGCGGGGATGGCCAGACCTAGCTGGAGGGAGAGGTGAAACAGAGGCAGGCGCAGGCAGTCAGATACGGTGGTGCATCAGACTGGAGACGCCGTACCAACCATCGCATGATGGCGGGTATTATGGAGAGCACACGCGGAGTGTTGGCCGAGCGCTGGACTCTGCATCTGCACCCGGTGCTTCCTCCCGATGTCTACGACGATCAAGATAAGATCTCTGACCCGGACAGTCGCGGCAGCGCACGGCACATGGTCAGGGCGAGAAAGAGATCTTAGCGGTGGGCATTGCTGGAGCACGCACCGCCCACCATCGCGCGTCGCACGGTGATCTGCAGCCAGGGTCTAGGTCTGAGATTCTGTGCCTCAGAATTGATCGCAGCTTACCGGGGTCCGTCACAGCATCCGTGCTTTCCTGATGTAATTATGCTTGAAATGACTCCATTGAGCTGGCAAGACGAAGCGGGAGAAAGACCAATGTACCACGACGACGAAGGGCGGACTGAAGCGATGATGGGGATGCCGGATATGGTAGGTGGTCGGACGGACGAGTTGGGGAAGACGAGAAAGAGACAAAGGCGAACCATTCCTCGGCCCATCGTACTTATACGGCGCTGAGCACGGATTGACTTGACAGAGGGAAATAGAAGCAAGAAGACCAGGTGTCCAGATCGTGGACGAAGTGTCCTGCAAACCCATTCACTGGAAGCCATGATGCCTTAAAAGGAAGGAGCTTGGTGGGACACCGACGTCATTTGCGTGCAGAAGTCACAGCTTCTATCTTGGCTTCATCAATGCTCTGGCAATTCCTGAATGTGCCCGGCCACTGAGATCTGAGAGTCTAAGGATAGCTCGCACATATTCAGAACAAATGAGGAAGGTGCATATCCATGATCGGCTCTGTCGTCAGTCGCGCAGAGGGGCAGGACCCCGGAATCATGACGAAAGGCCATTGATGGGAAGCTGCCTCCGAGATCACTCATTTTGCGAGCTGCCCCCTGTACGGTTGGCGGGTGGGCGCAGGTCAAGATATGGTAACTAAATATGGGGTCCTGCCTCGTGTGGTACCCCGTGCTAGATCTCAGCGTGACAGAGCCTCAGACAGACCATTACGTAATCTAAACAAGGGCTGAATTCTGCTCGACGGCATCGGCGGCATGGGAGATGGGGCGCTTATGTAACCATAACTGAGTGATAGATGCTTGGAGACCTATGCTATATTCTCAAGGTATGAGCAGTATTCGCGCCATATGATACAAATAAATGAGTTACTCGCTTCTCAGGAATACTATGCAAGCACTGAGATCTGAAGGCTTGAGGTGCGACAGCGCAAAGTGTACTATGCCAATGTCCGATTACGTAAGGTCCTGCTTCGAGTCTGTAAATATACACATCTTTCAACTCCATATATATCTCCCTCTAGCCTTGTACGTTCTCCTTCTAAAGTACAATTTGAGTAAATATAGCCGGTCAAATACCATAGTAATTGTGCATCATGATGTGCTTGAGAATATTAGTAAAGTTGCACATATACAGGCTGGCACATTAAGTTGCGTACGATACGCCAAGTAAACGCAACCCAATTATTTCTTGATACCATATGCTCAGCCATCTTATCATGATAACGGTCTTAGGTACATACTCCATTTTGGTATTCTAATGGATGATTTGCTTGCCAAAGGTATCTTGTGTAAGCATGATATAAGCACGGATATCACACACAGTATCGATAATGGGAAAATATATAGACCATTACCATCACTAGACGTTACAACTTAGTCACTCTGAGGACCCCGGCAAGACCCGATCAGTGGCTGAGGCACGAAGTTAGACCTGCGCCCACCCGCCAACCGTACCCCTGCTATGATTGACTTCTTGACTTCTCGAAGCTCGGGTCCGCAACTTTGAATATCCTCGCAAGAGAACAGTCTTGAGAACCCTCGGACATCCTCTGGCTCGTCCACATCCTTCCATCCATCCTCCGAGTCCATCTCCCATCTCCCGTCCCCCCTTCCAGTGCTGGCAACTCTCCCATCTGTGCTCATACCCCCGTCGCTGCAAAATACTATGTCATCATTGACAGTAACTACTAGCCACGCTATGTATCATCAAACCGTCCAGGACAGCTTCGACGTTGGGCCCCTGATCTGAAACGCGTTCGAAGCGCGCCTCGTCTGCTCAGCCTCTGCGTCCCGCGCAGCTCACTTACTCGGGCCCCGACTGTCCTGCTCCAAGCTGTCCTGCTCCAAGCTATATCCCGCCGACTCCGTCCGCCCTTGCGAGGGGCCGGGACTGCACGGGGCGGGCGCATCTCACTTCCGGTGACTAGCCCGGCACCGATCGGAGTCGGCGCCAGCTAAGGTCGCGTCGTCGTGGAGAAAGTGCTCAGTGATGGTGCTTTTCTCCTATCGACCAACGCCGCCCGCGGGACACACGGTAGCATCCCATGCACATGCACCCGACTGCACGCCCACTTCGGCGGTTCCTGGGACCGGTGATTCTCGCGCGCGCAGTCTCCTGATGGCATGCTGGTTGCCTTCCCTGGCGTCCGCACTGAGATCGTCTGAGACCTCGCGCGCGCTACCTCGCTGCGCACGCGTCACGGGAGAACACCCGTCATCCGCACGTCAGTCAGTGCGGCGTGAACATTCCGGCTCCAGTCCACAGTCGATCGGCATCATGCCATCGTTGCTGACCGCACCGGGATATGCGGCCGGCGCACGGTAGGTGCACGCCGCGACATCGACCCCAGTTTGAGTCGGCTGGATCAGCACAGTACTTGACACGGGGCTCAATGCGACCCGGGTGCGCCGTGTTATTCTCATAAACACGGGGACGACTATACCGTGCGAAGCCCAACGGGAACGACGCGTTATGGGTATTCTGCGAGGACTTGAGGCGGCGCGATTCATCATGACGACATTATGGCGAAAGACCTTGCGCCCGGGCAGGACATGAAGCGCGAGCACTCGGTTATCACGGATACATGTATGCAGTGAACGTGAATGTGATATTGTCGCGCGCTCAAACACACAGCTGACCGAGGTGAAACGCAGAACGAGCTAAAGTATAAGATGGCTACACGGGCGAGAGATTAGATCAATGATACGACTTTGCTTGTATTTGCAGCAATGTCAGATACGCACGACTGTTTCATGTGCAATATATCGACATTGGATGTTATACTGTGCGTGAACGAAGACCACAAGGATGCTATTCAGCAACGACAGCACCAGAACACGGCATGTCATCATGGGTAGCTATACTTCAACAGACTACACCCATCCAAGATTCATTGTCAGACGCGGTCTCAACCAGGGCATCCTTTGGGGCGTGCTGGGGTGCCTGATGCGCCTGCGTCCAGCGCAACCTCGGGTCGTCTTTCTTCACACCCTCCACAAATCTATCCTTCACTTGCTCAAACCGATTTTCCAGCGCGGTGCCCCAAAACACGACGATGCGCGCTATCACACTGGCATAATGCCACGCACCCAGCGCGTTCGAGACGTCGAACGACACCATGTGCCGTTCGAATATTTGTACAATCTTGCCGCACATGCGTGCGAGTCAGTACCTCGCAAACAGCGCAACGCAAACAACACCCGGACGCACCCCGTCCTTGACCCAGGTAGTCGCAAGTACAGCCAAGGGGCCATCCGAGACAACGCTGAAAATCGGGAACTCAGTGATGCCTATTGCTTCCATGAATCGTGCCGCGGAGGTGCAGTGCAGGCGCCGCTGATTTTGACTCTGGACGTGGTTCGTAGCGGGCCCTTTATACTCGACAAGAATGAGTGGAAGATCGAGGTAGGTCGTTTCAGGCTCGTTATGCTGGCACCTAGAGCGTGAAGTCGTTCGAGGCAAGTCGTCAATTAGCAGTTGGCCCGTTGCTTCCACCTGGTTGGTGGCAGTCGACATCTGGCCAGCCTCCTGGAAGTCTTTATATACGGCAGAGGAGTCGCAAGTGGAAGAGTCGAGTGGATTATAGTTAGCGATGTTGGGGTCGAGTGAAAAGGGTGACGGCGATAGCACCGCGGTAGACTGACGACCCTCCAGCGCAGCCAAGTCGTTGTTTTCATCAAGCGGCCTTATGAAGCAGTACGGGCCAAGGGTCTCCTTGGCTAGGCGTACTGGCATGCGCAGAACACCTACTGCGCCGCACCTCGCCTGGGTGGAACTGATGGCCATTCTTTTCATGATGCTGTCAGGCATCAGGGCATCTCGCCATTGTCTCCAAAGAGTGCCCAGCCCGTGATGGATGTCCCCCTCTACCCAGGCCATCCCCTCGACCCATTGCAAACCAGAGTTCTTCCAATAGGCATGAAGCTTATCAATAGTGTATACATAATGTGCTGCATCTCGTTTGATAGGACCAAGGTCATCCAAATCATAATCACCATAGACACTTCGAGGGAGCGCAATCATGCACTCCAAGCTTCAGACAGTCATAATCAGTTTGCATGTCGCAGAGCACTTGAACAGACAACTTACACCGCATGTACTTTCCGTTGCCCCTTGGTGTTATCCTGCCCATCCATTTCAGATTGTAGGACGGGACTGATGACAGTGCCGAGAAAATCAAAGAAGAATCTATCCATATCGTAGCGCCAGCTTGCTCCGCTCGCTGATATCTCGCCTTGCATTTTCCCTCGTGAAGCAGAGCAAGTCGCCAGGATGGTCGACAAGTTGCCGACGAGTAGGTCATCCACCTGGCCCCACAACGCAGATTCCGTGAAACCTTCGTGGAATAGACACAACACGTCTTCGCCAGTGAATGACCGCGCACAGCCCTTGTCGAACCTATACAGTTTCTTTGCCAGTACACTGTCAAGCGTGGACAGTTGTCGCTCCTGACGGAACTTCACCAGCACCTTGAGCTCATCGAGGAGATCTGCCACATTTCTATCGACCGTAGGCATGTCATCCTAAATATTTGTCAGCCCAGCGCTACAAGCACAAGCCGCGATTGACACTCACCACTGAACACCACACCTGAGGCCAATAGAATTCCGTCGTATACTCGCAGATATTGGTCATCAGGGCATCCGATAGACGGGATACAGGGAAGGCCTTTCGGTCGCACAGCCAGTCTATAATTGTTGGCTGGCCCCCATCGTGATCACAGAAGCTGATGGCCCATCTCAGCGACTGGTTGCACGTCTTTTAAACAGGAAAACGTTACACACTCAGAGCACTGGTCTCCCGCATGCCATGCATCAGGCTCAGACGTCGTGGAAATGGATGGACTAGTCCGACGGTGAGACGACTTGCGAAACATAATCATACAAGCAACTCACGTGGACAGCTCGGTGTCCTCTATGCCATCAAGCCAGAGCGACATGAGGTCCTCAGGCTCACCAATACTGTCCTCATGGTCAGCAGTAATCACCGAGTCAACTCTCCACCGTACGACACTTCGCTGCCCTAGTTCATCCGCTAGTATTGCTCGTGACGATGCGAGGTCGTTTTGAATGCCGGCAATGTGTCTGTCCAGACTAACGAGAAATTGTGCCACAGTCAACGCACCCTCAGGTTTCGCAATATCAATGTCTCCTAGATGGTCTATTCGTGCGATATGCACACGAGGCTAGAACCATGGTATTAGACCCATCCGTGATCGC